CCTTGGCAATTTATTTTCTGAATCTTCCTGTAGCAAGCAAATATTCCATTCACTACTACACAAAGAGTAGAACTCATCCTTGTCTTTACCTGAAAACCTCACATGTTTACAAAGGTGGTCAAACAAATATAAGAGATGTTCTGTTCTGTTTGTATATATAGGAAGAGACCTGCTCATCATCATGGCTCCAACCATATGTTGGTCATAATGAAAATTTGAAATCATTAGCTGTACAGTTAATGCCATATGTTAGCTCTGTTGGATAAGATACTGGCATATGAGGATTTTAAAAACTTGAACCTAACGGAATGAATGGATTAAACTAGGGAGGACTTGCAGGTCATTATGAGCAAACATACAATATCATCTCCTTCTTCAGAAATACAAATATGATTATCAAATCAAAATCTTGAGAGTCAACACTGGACATGTAGGTCTACACGTACAGTATGATTATTGATAAGACTAATCAGATGTGGAATTTGGAGTTTTTAGGTCCTAAGAACGAGTACCACCGTGACTTTTTAACTATGGGAACTTACGCTGTTACCTGTAATCTAATTAGTATGTACAGAGTGCTGATATACAATGTAACAACCCTATATTTATATATTTTTTTATATTAGGCCTTCAAATTGAAAATCTATCCACTATTTCATTTTACATGTACTCTTGACTGAGCACCCTTCCTGCCCCCACCCTGCTGTAATTAGTATGTCATGTAGGGAGCCAAGCATGTCATTCAATTAGTTCTCAGGGTTCTGGAATGGATTAATGAGACAATAATTTAATGAGTCTATCTATTTGCATTGATGGGAGTGGCCCATACTGTGAGATCGAGGCCTCTGCCATTGATTAGAAATGTACATGTCAAACATGATGATGGATGGTACAGACTTAGTGCAGAGGCAATAAACAGCAGGGGTTCGGTTGATAGTTTGAATAGAGTTTGAATTAATGAAATGACTGAATGGAAACAGATGCAGCTATGATGAAAGACATAGCAAACCTGGAGCACCCCCCCCCCCCTCTTTGATGTTCAGTTTTTCACCATTAGCCTATATCAAATAAGTGAATACTGGTAGGCAGATACATTACTGACCAAATGGTGTATGACATGAAGATGCCCCACATGATTTTCAAACCAGTGTAAATTAGTCTTTTTTTGTGGGCACATAATTTCCTCCCACATGTACTATGTACATGTATGTATTCTGAAGAAGGATCTTAGAGGCAATACATATGAATAATATCCCCCCCCCCCCCCCCCCCCCGGGCTCCTTATAGGATCTCCACAGTTTTATCACTCTCTGCCGAGTCAGCTCTACAAGTGATTATTTTATTGTTAAAATAACATTTAATTATCCTAATCAGCAACTTAGTATTATAATAATAAATATATCCTCACAGAGCAAATTCAATTTCATGGAAACAGATTGATGCAATCAATTAAAAACATTACTCATCAAAAGTTGAAATGTTGCTTCTCTGCTTTTATCATACACTTTGTAGGAACTAGGAAATGCACGTACAGTTTACTTCCGGTATTAAAAAGTTTTATTATAAATAGAGGAGTATAATCATGGCTGTGCCTTAGTGACTTGTTGATGAATAATGAGGTACAGATGTTATTCTTTCTATATTCTCAAGATTATATACAGTAACTTTTGCTACAAGGCTTCACACTACTGGTTCATCACCATTTTCATGACATTAATTAATTGGTAGTGAGCTATACGGGTAGTTGTTGGTTGCTTTTCAAAATAATTAATTACCACTATTCTGATATATCATGATTAATTTGTTCAATTGCTTTCATGTGTTTACTTGAAAAAAGTCAATGACTGGTTTCGCTGGTATATGTAATTAATTTACTTCTTAATATTATTCAATGTTTATCATAATGCCAAACCTTGCACTTTTCAATGTCATAAAATGTTGATGTGCTTGAATTCTTTAAAATATAATGTGAATGAATGTTGACCCTTCAAGTTCAACCATACAATTCAACAATATATAAGCCCCTAGAAAATAACCTCATAAATAGAATATATTCTGTAACAAGTCTTTCATGTAAATAGAGCACCAGTTGTGTAAATTTAAAATGCAAATACATTACAAATCTCCAGTTCTAAAATCTCATTTTCATCAGTCATTGGTGCATGCATAATGTAGAGTCAGACCCCATGTGCATAGCTCATCAGCAAGTCACAAAGACAAGGTGTTGAACTCAACACACTGGAGAAGGCCACAGCTCCGACATGACACCGAGTAGTACAGTACGTAATAGATTCCTGGTATTTTCAAGCGGCCATTTCTCTAACACGCTCATAGGAGGCTAGCACTGAAGAAGGAAGTTGGCTTGGTCTATTCGGTATATTATTGTACATTGTGATTAAATATTTAACATATATATGTACCTGAATGAATATGGATTAATGTATGATTCACTAGTCACTACATAACTAAAAATAACAGACGTACTGTACATGTACATGTAAATGATGATTTTATACCAGCTAAGAATTGGCATACATTTATAAGCTTTTCCTGAAATCAAATTTCAAATAAAACCCACAAATCTTGAGGCCTTCAGGATTTCAAATATTTTAAAACAAATGTCTTAGACATTTCTAGCTTTTGGTAATTCAGAATTTAGTTATCAGAGTTTGACATATTCTTCATTATAGTCGTACGTTACAATTATACACATCATCTACAGCCGTTTAAAAATGTCAGAGAATTAACTTCTAAAGTTCTTATCCTCCCTTTCTTCATTTTGCCCATTTTCCCCTTTAATTTTTATCAATATTATTACTATTATTAATATTATTATCATCAATATTAGTATCATCATGAATACATTTTATTTTCACTTCATAATCATTATCCATAACATAAGCTTCTTCCACCATTCCCTTCAGTATTAAAGCAGTCTTAATGAACAGGTGTTGCATTCATCTAAAGTTGAATACATTCAGCACCTTTTGCGTTGAAGTGTTTAAAAATAAGTCAGCAGTTTCCTGTCAGAAATCCATCTTCATGCCCTTTAACACAAAAGACCTGAAAATCCAGGAAGATATTTATGACTAGTCATTCAAAGAAGATTCTTTTATCACCTGATAGTCAAATCTTCCAGGAATGACTTTAGTGGAAGTGATCTATAATTGAAATTAATACCCGAGCATAGTACAATTTATTTGACACTTAATACCCAAGCATAATACAAAATATTTGACACTTTTCTTGTTTCAGTTCCATATCGATCTACAAAACCTGTAAAGATATTTCAGGCAGCCTTCAGCTATTGCTTTATGATGTATTTTAATTTATCTGCAATCCTGCATGACACTCAGATAAAAACATAGCAGTTGTATTGTTCACTTTTATGATAATTTTATTTTAATTACAAAAAAGAACCACTCACTTATTCAATTTGTGCGAGAACAAGTCAATATCAATATATGAGCAAAGCATGGAAATGACGGGAACATACATGTGATTGTGTACATGTATAAACCAGAAGACAAATTTTTTGTCTTTCAGATATTTCTCTCATCACTCCACTAGGCATGAGCCTTGAATAGTCGCCCAAAATGCAATATCATCCTTGGTAGTAGGTACGCTTCTTCACAAGCACCTACACCAAGTTCTAGCCACCAGCATTCCAACTTAATGTGAACCGTCGATCTTCAACAAGCCGAGTGGCAGAAGCACCAAGAGAACACTGAGGAGATCATAACAACTATGACAACTCACACAGAATGAAACTACAACTTACAACCACTACAACAGCTTAACCTGCAAATTTATCATAGCAGTCGTAGCATAATTATATGAAGTTAGACCTGGAAGCTTGGCAGCTGGAGACGGCTTTCTTCCAGAAGCTTTGGTATTAAGGTGTAGAACCAAAGTGTATTCACGTATGTATGGGAAGAGGATTTCCTATGAGCTATAAATTAATCACCAACCATAATTCTCAGAAAAATAAAACATAAAATGAAATAAACAACCTTGCCATGATGTACAAATGTGTGTTTGTTTTCTCTCTCTATTTATTTCTAACTAACTTTTAGTCTTGGATCTGCAAGAATCTCCAAGGTTGGACATACTGAAGAAAGCTAGCAGATGTAGACTACACCTAGTCCAGATCCAGTAGTCAAGTAGAAATGTAGGCGCTTGTTCAGAAACCTATCAAAATGTGACCTGTAACTCCGGCGTGGAGATACCCTACTAAAACATACCCAAAATGAAGTAAATATTCAGTAAATGTCCAAATGAAGATCATGCATTAAAAGTTGTTATGTGTATTATCTGTTTCGTGTCAATTTTCTTGATATTTTTGGAGTGTTTTTCGGGAAAACAATATCAGTAGGCCTATACACTTTTTCACAGGTTTCACGGCAAACCGCTGCACAATACAAGTGCATACCGATGGTGGGTTGCGGGCGGGCGCACGCTTGTGTGAAGTTATCTACTGTGATGTCTCAGATCCTCATTTATTACGGAAGATTACTTCACACAGGCGTGCGCCCGCCCGCAACTCACCATCGTTATCGTCAACAGGTAATAAACATAACGACTTTCAACTCATGATCGTTATTTGGACATTTAATGAATATTTACTTCATTTTGGGTATGTTTTAATAGGGTATCTCCACGCCGGAGTTACGGGTCAAATTTTGGATAGGTTTCTGAACAAGCGCCGAAATGTATAGGCCTAGACGTAGACCTATTTAAGTAATTCTAATTCGGGAATTAAAATGGAGTTTAATTTTATTTCAAATCAAATCCATATGCAAAAAGTATTATATAATTAAGGCTAATAGTAATGCCATAAAATTTGTTCGACTGTGATATTACTGAATTGAAGTAATCGTGCGTGGCAAAACAAACTGGTATACATTTGGTCACTTTTCTAAAGACGCACGGCGTAAGCTCATCGATACGCAAACAAGACTTCAGCCGCAATTTCGGGGGATGAATACTACGATACTTGCCTCGCACTCGTACAATTCCCTGAGCTGTTCGTCCATCCATTCTTCGATATCCAATCTGATTCTCATTACTTTCCGATCATATTTGCAAGTGACATTTTGGTGTTTCCTCTTTGCCTTTTCCTCAGAGTTTATGCTTCCTCGCCGATGATCTACACCGGGTATTTGCTGTTCTTCTGAACCTGCAAAACTAACTCGGTTGTTGAGGTTTGGATTTTCCAGAGCGGCCATGGTTACTGGTATCCGTAGATATGTGTACGAACGTACGTAAGTTAGTGTATACTGCTAGCTAGTCTGCTACACTATCGTATATGATGCTAGAGCGCGAGCCAGCGGAGCATCCATGCAGCATGTAGTTTTTGCCGCATCGACACAACTAACTCGCCCACGAAATATTCGGCCTCACCCTACTGCTCTACTGCGCTTCAAGAGTCGAGCCTATATACAAATACAAACAATATTAGAGATAATATATATAAATCTATAAATATATATCTATTATTCAGTAAGTGTATTATCAACATGATGATGAATTGTAGACATTGTAAAAACGAATAATGTATAATTTTGGATGAAATAAAGTTTTGATACTTTGTGAGGATAGATGTACGGGGGGGGGGGGGGGGGTCACTCCCCGAAACTGACTGGCTTTACACACCCGCGTCCTGAAAAAGCGTTGAAAGGGTGTGTTTTTAGCTCTGATCATACAAAAAAAGGGGGGAACACACTTGCAACCTCTATGCCTCAGCAGTGCCGCCTTGGTCCCCCCCCCCCCTTTTTTTACGGTTAATGGAGAGCTGATTTGATAGTTGATTCACCTGTCAGTGACCTTGCAGGGAGGTCTCATCACTCCTGGCCAAACTAGTGCAGACAGGCTTTATATAAAAAGGGGTGTTTTTCAACCACTTCGCCCCAAAACCAAATAAAGGATACCTTTTCAGGTTCGCAGGTTTCGATGTTTTCTTTTAAAAGGGTACCAAGTTTGGGTTCACGATACAGCATTAGGGTCCATTTCAGTGGTTGATGGACACGGATGGGTAATGAGAGTGACTGAGTGACCACCGGGAGATAGTTTCCCTATTGTATTAAGGTAGTCACAAATATGTACTCCCACCATGTTTATCTGGCTCAGAGGGGACCAGCTCTGCTTTTACCAGGGTCTCCTCGTCTTTCTTTTAGTTAAAGGTAAAGACCAGTATTGGTAACGCCCCAATTTCAAAAAATGAAATGGAAGCTCTCATCACCAATCATGTGAAAGAATATGTTTTGACTAATACATGATGATAAAAAATTTGCCGGGAAACCGCCTACTAATTGATATATTTGGTAAATAAGATTTGTTTCTCTCATGGTCTGTGAGAGATATAGGGTAGTCCCATATACATCTTTCTGTGTATAGTGCTTGTAACTTTACGAAGAAGGGGCCAAATTTCTTATCATTTTGATGATTCCAGAACCTTGCAGATGCTAGATGCTAGATGATCAACCTTTTCTGGTCGATTCCACAACGTTTCTTTCACAATGCAATCGCATGACCATAACTGGTCTTTACCTTTAACTTTGTTTTTTTATCATTGCCATAATTTGCTGTTTTGCATTGTAAATGTGTAATGATCTAAGGCTATGCTCTATGTGTTATTTGAAAGAATGACGAATAAATATCTCATCTTATTTTATCTTATCTTATGTAGTTGTACCTACATTAAGTACATCCTATTAAGAAAACTGAAGAAGGTCGATGTTTATGACGGAAAAAAACTCGGGACGAATTGCCAGAGATTCTTTAGGGGCCGGATTTTTGAAGGGTATATTTAAACGTCTTTGGGTAAAGAGGTAAAGAGCGCACTACAAGGGTAGTCCCCGAATGAGTGCATGCACCACCTGGGTGCACTTACAGTCCACAAATCTCTGGTAGTAACACTGGCGTACCTATGGGGGGGGGGGGGGCAGGGGGGGCAGAGTGCCCCCCCTGACGGGCTCCAGGGGAAAAAGAAAAAGGGTAAGGAAAAGAAAAGAAAGGGAAATGAAAGAAAAAGAAAAAAAGAAAAGGAAAGAAAAAAGGAAAGAAAGAGAAAAAAGGAAAAAAAAAGGAAAGAAAAAAGGAAGAAGAAGAGAAAAGGAAGAAAAAGGGAAAAGAAAAGGAAAGGAATAAAAATGGGAAGAAAAAAATTAAGAACATGGCCGTAAGCACCAGGGGGGGGGCAGTTGACCCCAGATATTTTGAAATCGTACAGTTTTTTTCCTGAAAATGTAGTGTAGGCCTATACCAAATCCTTCAATTCTACTTTTGAAAATGCAAAAGTACCCTCATGAACAGTTCGGTCGCTCGAACTCCCTTCACTCCTTTTGCTTTTGAGATTCTTCGAAAACTTTTAACGCATCTTTCCCCCTCCCCCACCAGAAAAATATTCCGCATACGGCCCTGAAAAATTAAAACAAATGAAAATAGGAAAATATAAGTGATATAACAAATTTGAAACTCTTCGCTGGCGCGAACTGCTTGCTAGCCTATTTTGTATTAAATGTTTTCACTTCCTCGTCCCCCTGAAAAAAGAAAAGGATTAGTATTGCCTACAATACAATTGTGCCTGCCCCGACGGGCCCCGACCTGCAACCATGGCAACAATAACACACAAATTATGTACCAAATGTTACTAAAAGAGACTAATTCATTTTCTCGCTCGCTACACTCGCTCGCGAATAAAATGAATAGACATTGCTTTGGAAACAAAACGGGGGGGTAAGCGGACACTTTTTTTTTTTTTTTGGAGGCCAAAAAAAATCGCAACGACTCAGCCGGCAGAAAAGTCGCTCAGTGGGGGGGGGGGGGGGGGGGGGGGGGGGGGGGGGGGGGGGGGGGGGGGGGGGGGGGGTAAGCGGACACTTTTTTTTTTTTTTTTTGGTCTCAAAATTTCAAAATTTGACATTTTTTCACGTATGGGGGGGGGGGTAAGGTCACCTTATTTAGGTTAGCCGTGGGTATAATTTTTTTTTTTTTTTTTTTTTTTTTAATAAAAAAAAAAAAAAAAAAAAAGCCAAAGGGGGGGGTTTTTTTTTTTTTTTAGGGGGGTTTACATACATTAAAATACCAAAGGGGGGGGTTTGAACCCCCAAAACACCCCCCCCCCCCTGCGTACGCCCTGCCCACCACTAACCTGCTACAATATCATTAAAAAGAGAAATGTAGGGGGTTGCCTGCCCGCCAAAATGGGATTGACATTGCCTTAAACACGATTGTGCCCGCCCCCTACCTGCAACAATGAAACAAATTTTATATAGCAATTCATTGAGAGAAAGATGTATTTTCGCTCGCTAGCTAAAATGGGTATAAAATCACCCTAAACACAATATTGTTCCCGCGCCCTGCATGGGACAATTGAACCAAGTTTAAGTGGCAATTATTGAAAAAGAAGTGATTTTTTTCTTGCTCGCTACACTAGTTTGCAAAAAAATGAAATTAACGTCGCTAACAAGTGAATGTTCCCACCCCCAACTTGCAACAATACCAGTTTATATACCAAACGTTACTTAAAGATTTTTTTTTGCTCGCTCGCTCGCTCGCCAGAAGTGAAAATTAGCATCGCCTTTTTTGTTTGTTTCGGTCGCTTGCCCCCCCCCCCCCCCCTGACGGAGTACCCCAGGTACGCCACTGGGTAGTAATATGTAAAAATGATTTCAGATTTGCACAATTTTATTTCAAACATTTTTATTGGAAAGATTCATCGTGAAATAGATGAATTATACACAGTGCCGGAGGCATATGCTACATTTAGAATGACGGTTAAGAAAATAAGCCCTTTGTAAAATGTATATCGACTCAAACGTCAGGAGCACACCCTCCTCCTGCTCCAGTACAGCGGACGGGGGGGGAGGGGCGGTGGCACCAGAACTAATTCTTTCCGGGCAAATATGAATTTTATGATTCATTTTGCCAGCATCTCATTCGAACCCCTCCCCTGTAAACAGTTACATATTATTAGATGAAATAACTGAAATAAATTCAATTCAATTCAAAAATGAAAGAGATGTTTGATAAATTGCATTTTCAAACCCTAATGCCTCAGATTCGTCGTTCAACATTCAGACCTAGTGAAAGAAGACAAAAAGGGAGGAGGGGGGGGGGGGAGAGAAAGGAAGAAGAAAAAAACTCTAAAGAAGGGGCCCTCAGCGATAAGTTTTATTTGCTCAGTCACTTGTAGAGTTATTGGAGTCTATATAAATAACCAAATGCTATTCGAAATGCTTTATTGGAAGAAACAAGATATTTTACTAGCTTTTGCTGGCCAAGGGAAGGTTGACCAATATTGTTTTCATGAAAAAATGTCATTAAAACAATTAGACGTTTTTTTGTTGTCATATAGCTTCGACAATTTTCCCATGAGATGGCGCTAAGCCTCTCTCACACATAGACACAGCTCTATAGACCCTCTACACACAAACAGTCTCTCACGATCACCGTACCGACAGAGCTATGAACAACAGGGTTTTCAGAGTGTGTTTCATGCCAGGTCTATGGTTTCATGAAGAAAAAAAAAAACTTTGTTCCCTGAATTTGCGTGTATTAGTTTGCTAGTCGCTACCCATTTAATGCAAAATTGTATCGGTAATAAGACAGGGTTTAATGTGACAAACCCTTTATAAATTGTATCCAGGGTGCGGAGTATGATGTAATTATTTAACTAGGGCCTATACAAGATGCAAATCCTCATTTCTTTAGTTCCTATCCCCGCCAAATAAATGAGGATAAACTCGAGGATTTCAGGATTCCCTGAATTTGCGTGTATTAGTTTGCTAGTCGCTACCCATTTATGGCATAATTGTATCGGTAATAATTATTGTGACAAACCCTAGATAAATTGTATCCAGGGTGCGGAGATACATGTATATTTAACTGCAAGATGCAAATCCTCATTTCTTTACTTTAGTTCCTATCCCCGCCAAATAAATGACATTGGCACCGCGCGCTTTTGCCCTTCTGTCTATTCAGGGATGCCAGTTAGAATTGATTACAGCCAAAGGGCCTGAAAATCAATTAGATTGAGCTATTTTGTACATAAAAATGCCTAAACTATAGCCTGAAAATAAATCAACTAGGCCTGAAATCAGGCTTTTGCCTGAAAACTGGCATCCCTGTTCTAGCCTGCCAAACCTTTCTCTCAAAAGAAGTTTATTTTTGTAAACATTTTTATAGGTCTAGATCTAGATAGAATCTACAGCCAGCTAGAGGAATTCATATTTTATAAAGGCCACACACAAAAGGATTGCCCCCAAAACTGTAATGGTTGTCCAACCCCCAAAAAGAACTATGAAAGCACGATGGCAACAAAAAAAAGGGATTTTTTTTTTCTTCAACATTTTCAAGCAATCTAGGTCTAGAAGACCCTATAGACCCTAGGTAGATCTATTTTATTTTGTATTTAATCGGCGTTTCATTCTTTTTGAGAATATTTACAGGTTTAGAACACTCACTTTCTTTTTCGTTTAGTCTAGACCTAGACTCTAGATCTACTTTTTGTAAATTCGTAGATGTCATAAATTTCTTTCTGTAAACTGGACCTAGGTCTCTAGAACTTGAACTTGGAAGTCTAGATCTAGTTCAATTTTGAGGTCATTTACCTCAAGTCATTTACCTCATTTACCTAGTCTAGCCGACGTATGTAAGCAAAACGTGTTTTACTTAGCCAGTAGGGTTAGATCTAACAAAGTTAGGCCTAGACCCCTCTACCAAGAAAAAACGGGACTAATAAAATGGTTACCAGCTAGGGTCTACAATATTTGGATTATTTATTTATCTAGATCTAGGCCTAGATCTACTTCAGTACTGTAGGTCTACCATTTTACTGGGCCAGTAAACTTTCATTTCATTTCTTTGTCGAATTCGTCATGTTTATAATTAAATGGAAACATTACAGTAAGTTGTGAGTAAGGAGTAACAATTGGTTCTTTCTTGAAGTTGTGGTGGCTCTGAAAAGAGCCGTTGGATTTAAACCAGCAAAGAGATAACTCTTTACTTGGAGGACTTGGAGGTCTTCTTGGGCAGAAGGACAGCCTGGATGTTGGGGAGGACACCACCCTGGGCAATGGTGACTCCGCCAAGAAGCTTGTTCAACTCCTCGTCGTTCCTGATGGCCAGCTGCAAGTGACGGGGGATGATCCTCGTCTTCTTGTTGTCGCGAGCGGCATTGCCAGCCAACTCGAGGATCTCAGCTGCCAAGTACTCGAGCACGGCAGCCAAGTAGACTGGGGCTCCAGCACCAACACGGTTGGCGTAGTTTCCCTTTCGGAGGAATCGGTGAACACGACCGACGGGGAACTGAAGTCCTGCACGGGATGATCGGCTCTTTGCCTTTCCCTTAGCCTTAGCGCCCTTACCACGTCCAGACATGATGATTGTTTAGTGGGGTTATCGATTCGAGAGAGAAAAGAGAACTGTGAAACTTTCAGCGTTCGTCAACAAATTTATACGTATCGCGAGGATCCACTCCCTGCGCTGTGCGAAGTTCGGTTAGCCAATGAAGGCGCGGGGTGTTGTTTGCTGTCCAATGGGAGCGAACCGCTCCGTGGCTCGACGGCACTCTGTAATTTGTGCATATACTTTGCATATACTTTGCATATACCGCCAAATTTTCAATCTGCGCGGCTACTACAGATTCATTCACAAAAATGTGAGCAGCACGCTTTGTCATGGTTATGCCGTAAACGATGGTATACCTATATGTGTACAGTGGTTGTAAAGTGAAATGTGCACCAATTAAACATTGAATGTGAACATGATTTTTGCCCCCAAATCAGAGATGATTTACGTTGCCTAGCAGGGTGTACACAGCGGCAAGTTCGACTGAGGCGGGTCTATCGAAAAGGCGTTTAGTTCATAGTACAACTTTTCTCCTCCATCTTACTCTTACTACCATAATTTTGAACTGAAATCACTGAAGTGTTAATACCAGTATTGTTCTTTCATACACGAATCCGGGCGCGAATGTATCCTATATTAAAAGCCTAAACTTTGGATAAAGGATAATTAAGCAGCAAAGCAGCATAAATATTACAATTGCGAAACTTATACATTCAAGATTCGAGTTTTATTGTCATTGTTACATTCAATTTATCTCCCATTTGTAAGGCAATGTAGGCCTTATTAGACCAATTATCCTGATATTTCTCTGATATAATCGACGGTTCATGGACCGCCTAGCTTCTCCAAATGTCCCACGTTATTTCTGTCTCTAAGGATACACAACAGAGGCAAAATCAGACATGATATTGTATGTTTATCTACTACATATTTTAGCAACTTGCATGTATGATCATTATTAGCCCCCCCCCCCCCCTCCCCCCCCCCCCCCAAGTAATAATAAATCATTGGGATATCGAGCATTTAAACAAACGGAGTCAATAGGGCTGGTAAAGGACTAGTTAGATATCATCTTTTATTACAATGTACATATCAAGACCAAAACAGAAAGTATATTTGGCTTTAAAATACAGCACCTTTTAAAATGAGTTTAAGAATGCTCAGAACCTGATTTGAATGAACTTTGACATTGAAAAATATAAATACAGAATTGCGTACTGAAAAGACCAAACTGGCAACGGGACGCATTTTGATCCTTGCAAAACGCTTAGGCGTTTGAAATTGATCCCCTCAAAACTGAATTATTATTATTTTTTTAAATACGAGCGGGCGGTCATTTTTGGGGGTTTGGCCTTAGGCCTACTGAAGAATTAATGAGCCAAAAGCAGTGGCAGATCCAGAGGGGGGCGGACCTCTTCCCTGGCAAAAACAGGTGATTTTACCTTCTTTATGTTTATAAAAAACAAGACGAGCCCCCTTCCCTGTGCTCAGGGGGGGGGGGGGTGTTGAGTAAAACAAAATAGTGGGCACTTTCCCTCCTCACTCCTCGTTAAGGCAAACAAAAAATGGTCACCACCCCCCCCCCCCCGTTAATTTTTACCTTTTTTCGTTTAAAAATTCAAACAAACAAAATGACGGGCCCCCTCCCTAGCTGTGCTCAAGGGGAAGGGGTGGGTGATGAGTAAAAAAAATAGTGGGCACTTTCCCTCCTCCCTCCTCGTTTAGCAAAAAAAAAAAAAAAATAGTGCTCCTCTGATGCCCCCCCCCCCCCTCCCGCTTATTATATTTCTCAATTATATTTCTCAAGAATTGGGCCCCTCCCTTGGCGCCGGCTGGATCTGCCCCGTGGCCAAAAGTACAATGTAAGCCCACTGCTTTTGGAATGTTAAATATAATTACTGAATTTTTACGAATCTTTTTTTCCTCTTGATCCTTTTTAGTAGAGCCAGCCGCTAGGAATATAAGACTTGAAATGGACCGTGCCTCTGATTTGGATAGTGTTTATGATTGAAAATTTATTGGCGGACGTAATAATAGCAATAGAGGTAGCCTATAGTTATTTGTTTCCCATTTGTATTACAATGTAAACAACATAGGCAAAACATGATATTGTATAGCCTATCTACTATTTTCATGTAAACTACGATCATTACTGAAAAATTAGTGAGCCAAAAGTACTACCATTGCTTTTGGAATGTATTGCTGAATATTTACCAATTTTACCCGAAATGCCAGACGTAAAAAAGGCAGATGTTGAATTGGCAGAGCCAGGGGCGGCGATCCGGGGGGGGGGGGCGAGGGGACACGTCCCCCCTCAATATTTTTAGGGGGGGGGATCGTCCCCCCCCCTGAAAATTGAAAAAGTGCAAAAAGAAATTTTTTAGCAAATACTGACTAAAGACTGCAACACACTTTTAGGCTATGGAGGGCCCAAGAGTGAAGCGTTTAGACTAATAAAAATGCAAAAATCTTCTAGCTCGGTCGCTACGCTCCGTCGCATATCCTTTAGAATGTACAAGTAAATATTGTAGAAAATCTGTATTCCGTTGGGTATCACCGTGATACACACTAGCGTGTACTGATGGGGGGGGGGGGCGTTTGCCTCCCCCCATTCAAACTCAAACGTGATTTATTTCTAATTCGATACCCGTGATTTACAAAATGTTGCTGAAATGACATTATGTTTCGTGATTTTTCCTCACTTTTGTGAGGCAAAACATATTATGCTTATTAAGAAGCCTACATGTCAGGGGCCCATGGAACGGCGGGGCTCGGGGGCTCGAGCCCCCCCCCCCCACCACTTTTTTTGGAAAAAGTATGTTTAAGATAAATAGAAAGGAAGAATAGTCGCCTGCCAGTCACACATAAGGAATCAAAATAAATGCTCATCCGACCTTAATTAAAGGCCTAAAACATCTAAGCTTGCGGAGGCTTTGCCACCTGGACCCCTCCAGGGGCCATATGACGGGCCCCTGGATGCTCATCTGACCGTAATTTAATGCCTAAACCCCTGAGATTTTGTGGGCTCCGCCCCCTGGACCCCAAGCCAATTAGTGTCCTTCCAGTGTCACAAATAAGGTATCAAAATATGTTCATCTGACTGTAATTAACTGCCCAAAACCCCCAGCTTCCGGCGGCTCTGGCCCCCACCAAGGTCCCAAGGGTTGCCCCTGAATACTCATGTGACCGTGATTAAATGCCTTAAACCCCTGAGCTTCATGAGGCTCAGCCCCTTGAACCCCACACCAATAATTAGTGACCTGCCGGTTTCACTAATAAGGTGTCAAAAATATGCTTATCTGAACGTTATTAAATTCCAAAACCCCTGAGCTTCCGGGGGCTCCGCCCTTGACCCCCGCCTGGGTTTTGCCCCTAGAGCCCACGCCAATTACGCTACGCTCTACCTGATCGTAAATACTTTAGCCCCCCTCCCCCCTACCTTGAAATAAAAAAAACAGTGGGGCCTGTAATCTAAGAGTGATGGTGACGCGGATTTTTTTTCTGCCCCCCCCCCCCTCTCCATTAAAAAATACCTCGCATTTCGTCCCCCCCCCCCGGTCATGAAAAGAAATCGCCGCCCCTGGGCAGAGCCATGCAGAGCCAGAGGTAAATATGGCAGATGTATTATGTCAGAGGTAACAGTGCCAGAAGGCCAGAAGTAAAAATAAAATTTGTTTCCCATTTGTATTACAATAAACAACATATATAAGCAAAACATGTATGTCTATCTTCTAGTTCTACATTATTTTATTAAATTTCATGTACGATCATTTCTGAAGATTAATAAGCCAAGAGCCCCGCCAAGAGTAGTTTCTTTTGAAATGTTATATTACTGAATTTTTACCAGTTTTACCAGAAATGCCAGAGGCGAAAAAAGGCAGCCTGGGTATAAAGCAGAGGTAACAGAGCCAGAAGTAAAGATATCAAAAGGCAGTAAAAATGAAAATTACTGAATTTCTGAATGCACATGTTTAGTACTGTTTTTTTATCATCTCAAAAGTCACCGGACATTTTTAGCTCTGGCATTTTTTTTACCTGGCACCGTTGTCACTTTACCTGCTTCTGTAACCTTTTCACAATTTTTTATAGTCGGGTTTGATTTTTAAATTGGGGCGTAGTATATGCTTAAAATTTAAAGTTTATTTGTCCACATTTACATCAACATGATCAAAAAGCGACTAAGATTTTATTTATTTTGAATCTATAGTATATGACGTGCGGTGTTTGTTTTGAAATCGAAGGAAGATATGATATCCAATAATACCAATATGATATAAAAATAATTTAAATGTGAGGAGCCTAAATCCCGCCTAAATCAAAAGTAAGATCGGCTAAACTCCTGGTATTCTTCAAAAAGGAAAGAAAAGGAGCGGGGACATTTGTTTAATTGAACGCAGCGTTCTGTTTAGAGTTTTGATTGTTGTTTTGTTTTGATATTTTATTTATTTGGCCATTTTGGCAAACACACTTTTGTATTATATCAATCTCAAAATTTCTAATGAATATCTATCACCTTGCCAAGAAAACCGTTTTAGTTTTTTAAACTGAAGTCTTATTGTTTAACCTTCAAATATAAACTTTTGTATGCACTTCTTAACTTTTGTCTTATACAGTCTGCCATGTTTTTAATAACATATTAATCTGAAATACTAACATAGTCTACATAGAGCCATTATTTTTAGCAATGTGTAGGCCTATACAGTTTCTATACATTATATAAATATAAATCCTGTTAAAGGTAATACAAAGTTTTGGTATGGGGTGATAAATTTGGTTCAAATTAAAGATATGTGTTATTAAGTACAATATTGGAGCATGCGATTTTACAATATCCTCTTTATGTTGTATATATAGCTCCCTTTCAAGACTGATATAACTTTAGCTTTAAAACAATGTTTCTTGAATACAATCGACCAATTTGCTATTCCCGTTTTGAATTTATATATCAAAATTGCATATTCTGAGATTTTTATGGTCGCAGCTATATGGAATTAGGCGCTATTTGAAATATTTGAAATTATGTTTTATTGACAATATATATTTATTAGGCTATACTGCATTAATCGAATGTTATACGTCTAGTCAGAGACAGTTTCATTTATTTTGGAATTCTAATTGTCTACTGCATTTCATTAGTGGTATTAAACATCAATTTTAAACCCTTATTTAATACTTTCAACTATATTTTCTACTTCTTTCTTTCATTTTTCACTATTTTTTTCTTTGTTTTTGCTCCTTCTTTTTCTTCTTTCTTTTCTTCTTTTTCTGTTGATTCCTTTTACCATATCAATTGAATTACTGAATGTATTATTTCGTATTTGCCTATTTTACATTGTACTATTTGCATGTACATGTAAATTCAAAACGGTGTCAGCTTTTAGCTGTGAATTATAATATTTATCAATGCACCTTATCAATCACAATTACAATTAAAGCTCAATTAATGGCCTAAACATGTCTTCAACTTTCCGTGAATGTGACTTTCCAAATATTTGAGTGACTTTTAATTTGTAGTAATTTAAATGAAAAGGCATGGGCCACCACCAAATCAAATGGTTAAGACGACCCCAACATCAATGTATATCGATGGAAATATATGAGCATGTAGATTGGCACTTTTTTTTTAAATACGGGCACTAATACTAAAATGGTATACTCCGCAAAGATCTGGAAAAAAGGTATAGGTACAGCGCTGAATAATGAATAAAGGCACTTTATTCATAATTTCCATCAAAAAAGAAAAAAGATAACCAAACTTTATACCAATCACCATGTATACAGTTCGGTCTGCATACATGGGTAAAATTAAAAATGAAATAAAACCTAAAGTGTGCTGAAGTCTTTGGTCTATTTCTCCTTCAACCCATCGGAATATCTCAAGAATTATGTTTTGGGAGTTTGCAGGGAGTTCCCAATGCAAAAGAGAACTGTTTCTAAAGGAGCAAAATCAGATCCGATCTCCAAAGGCCAAACAGATTGATTTTTTTCAATTGAAGAGGATTGTTATCGATTTTACACGGAGGCCACAAATCAATGCTTGACCTAATAACGGGTCCGAGGTTCTCCGAGTCCTTTTTTTCTCGACCAAAAGCCAAAAAGTTATCTTCTTGGAAATATTAAATTTAAAAATGGGCCTAAAAATAAATGTGTTATTTTATGTGTTACAATGTCAAAAATAACGTTATCATAGTCATTTCATGAAACGAGGTATATAAGAAAAACTTATTCCAAATATATGGGCAACATTGAGGCCTTCAATCAATGAAATGTTTCATTAAACATTCTGGACACTGAAGATTTTCTGCAAGGACGCTAAATGAAGAAAAAAAAATCGCAAAGAATTTTGTTTAGTGAATTCGACCAAGAAATAATATGTTAGTTTTTCCAAAGGTGGTAGTTCTATGGTTTTTTTCATACGCGTCGAAAATGACACAAGTCGGCGAGAGGAGATTGGTTTGGTCAGATAGCATGTCCCTGGTATAAGTCTGTGAATAGGAGTCCATTCATAGGTAATGGTCATGGCTGGATGGCTAGTAAGGCCATAATAATTTGTTTCCGCCTTTTCCTTACTGCACTGCCAATCCGGTCTTTATGCTTACAAACGGCTTATTTGCATATACCGCCTTTCAACGGCGCTGTGGGGATCGCACCGTAATCTGATACCAGTGCGTGCGGGGCGTGCGGGCGCCAGCGGATCGAAGCTTTTCAGATAAATAGCTCTGCAAACTCGTAGCCCAATCAGTTTATCTTCTCATCACGATTAGACACACACTATCATCATGCCTGCCAAAGCAGTTAGCGGAAAAGGAGCGAAGAAGGCCGGTAAGGCAAAGGCCAGCCGTGCAACTGACGGAAAGAAGAGGAGGAAGCGCCGAAAGGAAAGCTACGGAATCTACATCTACAAAGTTCTGAAGCAGGTTCATCCCGATACTGGTATCTCCAGCCGTGCCATGTCCATCATGAACAGCTTCGTCAACGATGTCTTCGAGCGCATTGCCGGTGAGGCTTCCCGTCTTGCCCAATACAACAAGAAGTCCACCATCAGCAGCCGTGAGGTCCAGACCGCTGTCAGACTCCTCCTCCCCGGAGAACTCGCCAAGCACGCCGTCTCTGAGGGCACCAAGGCTGTCACCAAGTACACCACCTCCAAGTAAATTGGTTATCAACGCCATATTTACTAAAACGGCTCTTTTCAGAGCCACCATATATTCAAGAAAGATACATATATATTTTGCTCTTCTTCGACCTGTAATATTGATGAAATGATTTTCACACTGAAAGTTGGTCTATATACCGAAAACTTGTTTGAAATGAAAAGAACTTTTTTGTCAGAGCCACCATATATTCAAGAAAGATGCATATATTTTGCTCTTCTGTTTTGTCAATATAATGAAATGATTTTCACATTGAAAGAGGGTCTAGAGTCTATATACCGAAAAGTTGTTTGAAATGAAAAGCTTATCGAACTTTTTCCTTTTTAAATCTCAATCATTTCGCCTTTCTATGATGATAACAATGAAACTGCTTTATATCGTATGTCCTTGTGCCCTGTGAACGAAAATTATGAAAAAATGAATAGACTAAATTATTTACAAAGAAACGCGAATTTTTCAGGGGAATGACGAGTGACATATATCTGGATTATCGAGGGGGGGGCTACGGTATGAGTAATCAAGGTGATAGGACATCGAAAAATAAGAAATTGTATACAGAGAAATAAGGAAATAATACAAACAGAGACAAGTAAATACCGGAGGACATTTTTTTTTCTTCTGTCTTTTTAATTCGCCAAGATAGAAACTTACCCCAAGCCCAGGGGGTCGAAATCCTGTACCTCGAATAGAATTCCCCCGATTGCCTTGATTGTTGTGGCAAAAACCAAGGATGCAAAAGCCCTTTATGACGTCACAATAAGATTTACAAAAACAAAACAAGGCGTAACGCGTCCTTTTTTATGACGTCATATCAGGTTAATAAACAAAGCATAAAGCGCGCAAAGTTAGTGAGAAGCCTTTATGACGCCACAATCCTCTTCGAATTATACGCGTTTCCTTTCTGTCGTCATAAATAAGATTGAGTGCAAATAGTACTAGTAGGTCCATAGTGAATCTTCACATTCTTTGTTTTTCAGATTGGTAAATATCATAGTAGAAATTACCTTTAAAACTAAATTATGTGTGTAGTTCAAATGATCTGCATGGAAATTTAGATGTTGTTTTCTTTTTACTATTCTAAAACATCAGTCATGTCAGTTCTTATGCCTTACACTTCCCAATCGCGATTTAAAAAAAAATATGAAATTTTATTTGTCAACCATAAAGAGTTTACAATATTCATAAGAAACCTAAATCATTGTCAAAACGCGCTGTAAGTTTAAGCCAGGGAGGTGTTTTAACTCTCATATCCCTGTTTAAGCCGCTAACTGATCTTTCCTATATTGCACAGTAGATCTATACTCAACTTGACTTCATCAGACCAGGGGCTGGGCCGGGGGGGGGGGGGGGGGGGGTGTTTCATCAAACCTTTAAAGCCCAAGTCCACTCTAAAAATAACTTACTTTCAATAGAACCAGAAAATCAGACAAACCAGTCAAAAAAAGTTTGAGCAAAATCGGGAAACTAATAAGAAAGTTATGAATTTTTAATGACATGAAAAACTTTGAAAATCGCTACACAAATTGGCAACTCACTCATGAGTCTGTGACGTATTGTCCTCACTATCCACTAATTATTTTCTTTATATTGATAATATAAATTCCCTGTTTTCACCCTAAGAATCTTATTTCTTCACACCAGCATCTAAGTTAAATTGTTAGTAATATGTTGTTGTTTTTTGCATAAATAAAGAGTTATTTTTGTCCAGTTAAATCATGAAAAATTGAATTTTGATAAACTATTTATATAAAAATCAATAATTATGAGATCAAATAGTCAGAAAGTAGTATAAATTCTTCAAAATTCATAAAAGTTTTTGGGAAATGTCATGCACGCAATATGATACAAATCATATAACCTGGGCAAAGGCATGCGGAAATCAAGTTTTGGGGGATAAAAAGGGAATTACTGGGATTAAACTATATAAAGCAATTGATAAGTTGTGAGGACATGACGTCACAAACTGATAACCAAATTGGCAATTTGTGTACTGATTCTCATTGTTCCATAGTTTTACATACTTTTTCAAATATTCTTAACTTTCTTATTAGTTATCCGATTTTGCTCAAACTTTTTTTGATTGGTTTCCCTTGGTTTGTCTGATTTTTCTGCTTCTATTGAAAGTAAGTTATTTTTGGAGTGGACTTGCCTTTTAAAATTGATCGGACCAAATTTTAAGGGCCTAAAAATCGAAATCAATTTTAGTTGGTGAAACACCCCTCTGACAGTCTCTTGACTGTTACATGTAGTCGCTGTCACCCATATTCCATAAAGGTCGGAATTCACAAAGGAGATTTGTTGACAAACCAAGGCGTAGGGTTGTCGACAAATTAACCTCCTTGAATTCGGGCTTAAGAGTTTACAAATCACAAGAATAAATCATTGTGAATAACGCGCTATTATTCTAGCGGCTATCTGACAATTAGCATAGCAGATTAGAAGACCTATACTTCTACTAAACTTGAACTTCATCGAATCAAGCAATGGCAAGTATATCTCATCTTTAGTAGCTATAGCTTTTCGCAAGCGAAGGAAATAAAACATTTCCTTATTTGTAAGACAGATGGCGCACTATCGATATTGGTCCATCGTCCAGTGATGGTAATCAAAATCTACCACAGGTTCTCCTCAGTATGACAAGTATCCTGCTGCAAAATACACTCCTGACAAACGTTCGATCAAACTGACACTTTGTATGTTAAATATAAGGTTTAAAATTAATCTCATTAACTCAGCTCTCATTTAACATAAAAAAAGAGCATCATGGGGGACCAACAGGCACCGATTTGGGAAGTTTTCTATATAGAGGGAGCAAGTAGCTACTAGTAGGTCAGTGTGCCTTTATATTTTAGTAGAAAAATAAATCAAATTAAATCAAATTAAATTTCGTCTGACGTCAAATTCTCTACGGAAATACGCAACTACTAAATTTATGGATTCCTCGACGATCGGCCGCTCATGGGTATTGGAACATTATAGACACTCGAGCAACAGTGCTCGACTGTATTTTTCTCATGCACATGAAAGATAAAAATTCCGGGCAGCTAGTGCATCACTTTATTTTCTTTTTTAAATTTGTATTCTTTCTTCCTTTCTATTTTCTTTCTTAAGTATTCCACACAAAAATACAAGCATTTATTTTTAATGGATTACTCAACTTCCTTTAAAATTCGATTTAATTTACACAAAATATTATGCCTATTTATTACTGTTTATTACTTATCAAAATTTAATATTGTGTCATTACAAATAAGTTTCACGTTCTATGTTATGATGCAAATGTCATTTGATATTAATTTCATGTAAGCATTTTTTCATTTTATGATTGTTTTAGAGAAAAAATTTAGTTGAATTGAAAAATTGAATTGAGGACAGAGAATCCTGGATCATATCACTGTTACTCTCTGTTCATGAAGTGAAGGACACAGGGTTGGGAAGAAGCTTGTTCCATTACTTTGACTGGAGTGGCTGGGCCCAATCAGTCCCAGCCCCCCTCGATCCCGCCCCCCCCCAGGGGGGATCCAGCCGGCGGCAGGGGAAGAGGGCCAAAGAGGGGGTCCAATTCGTGAGAGAATATTTAGCGGCGAAACAGCAGCTGGTGAATAAGTGGAGGGGGGGGGGGGGGGGGGGGGGTAAGGAGCATTTTTTTTGTTGGCCCTCTAAAATTTGAAAAATCGCACCCCCTCCCCCCTTGAGCGCCAGAGGAGTGGGCCCATCTATAAAAAAAAGGGCTAAAAATTAACGTGTTTTTAACTGTATTTTTTTTCCAGGGGAGTCCCCCTTGGATCCGCATTGCCTCCCTCCCGCTCCAAAAAAAGAGAAACTAGATCTACATCAATTTAGAAAATTTAAAAAAAGTGTTGATAGTAATGATAATAAAAAAAAATAAAAAAAAAATAAGTGTAAAACAGACAGATTAAAAACTATAAATAAGTGATATAGATAGAAAAAACATATAAAAGTATATATCTTCTCAAATTTGAATCAACAACGACAATATAAGCAGAGTCCAAAAAGGTCCCCACTGTTGTTATGGGGCGCAGCGCTCTCTACGTTATCATACTGGTTAGTTAGCTATCACTGTCAGCTGCTGGGATTTGGGAGCAGGGGAGATATCTTTTGTTTTGTTTTGGAAAACAAATTGGATCCTTTTCTTAGTTATCAACGAGAATGTCAACGATGCGACGAGCAACACATTCTGGTACCTGGTATTCCAGTTCAGGTATGTATTTCCTCAATTTTCTATCGGGTAGAGTTCAGTGTCAACTTATCAATTTATCGCGGACATGAACATCCAAATTAATATCACAGACGGCGCACAATACAGAGCCAGAATCAGGATCGCACTACAAATAGTACAATGAGAATCCAATGCATGCAGCTAGCTCTACCCTCTTGTTTGAGAGTCGACCGAATGCGATCATCGAGTGAGAGAGAACATAGCCAGACATTTATTTATTTTAGGTGCGACTGTCTGAAAGAAATAAGGGACGATAAGGCAAAGAGATGTGATAGGAATTAGGATAGAGGTATTTTGGCTTTCTTATGAATATGAATATGAAGTCACTTTGATTTATGAAAAAAGATCAGACAATTTGTCAATTAGCCTAGGCTCTAGATTTCTAGTCTAGATCTAAATAAAGAAAAACGGGGGAGAAAGTTTGGCGCTAGTTCAGAATCGTATTAAGACTTTGACTCCTAACTCCGGCGTTGAGATACCCTACTAAAATAATAAATAAATAATAAATAATGGTGGGTTCTTGTATAGCGCTCATTTCAGTCAGATTTGACCCTCCTGGCGCTCCTGACCCTGGCTTTGCACAGCTGCCATACCAAAAATCAACTAAATCTCATTCTTCATCAATTGTTCAAATGATGGTCATCGTTCAAAAGTCGAGTATTATTTTTCCTAAAAACGAAGACATTATAATATTCACTTTCTCACAGGTTTCACGGCAAACTCGCCCGCGCCTCCCGCACCCCAAAGATAACGCAAAATAAAGTGAATGAAGCTTTTGAATATGAAGGGGATATTAGTCATGCATATGGATTATCCTGGCCCTGGGGGGTTTTGAGGGGATTATATTCCTGTTTCTAGACCACTTCTTAATTAAGGTTGGGCACAGCGCTCAAACAGTACATGTGTGGTTATTCGTTGTAAATGAAAAGAACTTTCTCGCAACTATAGATAAGACAACACTACCGATTCTGTTCAAGACTTAATTAGACCACACCTAGAATATGGGAGCGTTCTATGGGAGCATAGCAGATATAAAGAAGATGCAAAGAAAATTGGAAAGAGTGAAAAAAACGAGCTACCAAATTGGTCCGAGAAATCAAGGACCTCCCATACCAAGAAAGACTTAAGTACCTGAACATGTACTCTCTGTTCTACAGGAGAAGAACAGGAGACATGATCGCAGTCCACCAGATCATGCATGAACTAGTTGACATCCCACAAGATCATTTCTTCTCCCAACCCGCAAGTAGAAGTAGATCCACAAGAGGGCACTGTTTCAAGATCCAGAAAGAACACTGCAGACTGGATATTAAAAAAAAGCAAGTCTTTCAGTAGACGGATAATTCAAGATTAGAATGATAAGTATTGGTGGGAGCATCGCTTTGATCTCCCATGACTCCACTCCTGTGCATGCGCAGTAAAAAATTCCAACAGGCTAAACCCAGAAGCAGCGACTGGGAATTACAGGCCAACACCTTCCCGTACCAGATGATGATGATGATGATGAAGACACTTGGAAGGTTGACTTAATTTCTTCTGTCTTTTTGTTGTTTTGTTTTGCATCTCTCACAGGTAAAACTCTGAGTGGTGAGTTGGAAGGATGGCTGAGTAACGCAGAAAGAAGTGGCTCTCCTGCTAGGGCCATCATTGCTCCGTAAGTTCAAACGTCTTGGGAATTTCTTGCATAGAGAGCAAAATTTCAAGATACTGTTTGTATTTTTTGTTTGCAATCGTGATTCAGTCAGATCTGATTATGTTTGATACTGGGAATCTGCTTTTATTACCTATTGCTATCAGAGAGATGTGTTTCATGAATGAAACCTGGCCAACTTACTTGGTCTCTGTATTGTATTGATCTGTAGGCTGTAGCCTACTTCAAATAGAGAGTCTTAGTTTATAATTATAACCATGGTTTTGGTTAAGTTTATTACAACATGATAGTCTGCATAGCACATTGAAGAGTACTAGTAAAAGAAGAATTACAGAATGCTTGCTGTTTAGATAGATATACAAGTCTAGTACATCCAGATGGACAGATAGTAAAGTTTAAACAAAAAATTGTTAAAGGGATTCTGTTTCCAATTTCAATCATCATTTTGACTCTGTGAATGAAAATCTCTGGATTTAATTGGCAATGATTCCTCCCTGGTCCCCGTCTCATTACACTTATGCCAAAGGAAAAGTAATAGAAGCAGTGTAACTCAATTTTTCTTACTTAATACAAGTAGAATGCATGTATTGTAAAATCTTGGGGAATTTTAGTGGACTCCTGTTTGGGGAAATATCATCCTAGTCATATCGGGTACCAAGTGTAGACCTCTCATGTTTGCTAAATTACCGTAATTGCATAACAAAACGGCTTTAGGCAAGGGGCAATGAGTCGAGAAATTTAAATTTTAGATGAATTTCACGATAACACATACTGGTAAATAATCTAAATGTGTATGGGGGGGGGGGGGGGGATGGCACATGGTTCTACATGTATAAGCTCTGTATCCCATTTACATGTACAGTCAAACCTGTTTTAGAAGCTATCTTGCCATAAAGGCCACCTGTCTATAGTGGTCACCTATATTGTCTCTCTCTAGGAAGAAACATGTCGTAGAACCTGTCTAGAAAGGTCACTTGTTTACAGTGGCCAGTATCCTCACCTCCCTTAGATTGCCTTAATAGACAGGTTTGATCGTAATTGGAGTATTTATAAACTTTTTTTTTACCTTGATGAAGATCTGCCATTTTACTTTTCTATCTTTTGACAGCCATGCAGGATATAGCTATTGTGGAGCATGTGGTGCACACGCCTATAAACAGGTCAATCCTGCTAACATGTAAGTACATCTACATATAAAGTAGAGAAATCTAGTTGAAACAATTGTAACAAGAAAGAAATTCATTAGTTCACATGTAGGTGATTTTAGACATGTAGAACTGAAGAGTTATGTTTAATTTGCAATTTTCTTCACATTGTTATTGTTTTTCTGTCATCTTTGTCTCCTTTTCTTGTTTTAATGGTCAACATCGTTTATCCCTAAATTTAGAAAAGGCTGGCACATTGTTATCTTACTCGAGTCTGGCAGTTTTCAGAGCTCCTTGGATAATGGCAATACCCTGTCGATGCATACTCAGATTATGCTTCTTAAATTATTCACCTTGTTTATAACCAGATCTTTGTAAAAATAAAGACATATTGTATGTATTGGTTTATTGACATAAAAATCATCGGACATGCAGCTAAAAGCTGAAATTGTTCAATTTACGGAGTAAAAAGTACATAGCATAACATTGCATTGATAACTCATTAAAATATATGGAACACTTAACAAATATTGTATAAATTTAGATACGATTTACAAGTTTCATTGATATAAAATTGTCGTTCGTTTTACATGAAATCAAAATTTGACAATTAACAATTTACAGGTTTATTTTAACAGTGATACGTAGGTGGGATAACATTTAGATGTTTATACAGGTAAAATACGATAAAAGATAAGATATTAAAGCTAAGTTTCAATATTGGTTAAACATTGTGATGTTCCTGAACTCAACAAAATTGGCAAATTAATCTTACATCAGAGAGTATAAAGTGAAGAAACCTTGAATGCATTAAGTGTAGTGATGATAAAGATGTAATGTTGACATCGACAAAGATAATTATTAACAAGTAAATAGGCTATTTCACATTGATTGGAAAAATAATTCTCAGGTTCTGTTGTTGAATTTTAAAAATATACCTCATGTCTCTTTCTTTAATCAATGAATATTCATTTCTTGTTTTAGAGAGCATGTATTCATCCTAGGCCCCTCCCATCATGCGTATCTACCTGGGTGTGCCCTTACGACATGTACCAAATACCAGACCCCTCTATATGACCTAGATGTTGATCAAAAAGGTAGGTTCTTTATTGACTAAGACATACATTAGCCCCTGGAGTATTTTGCTTTAAATATTATTTCTTCCTTTATGCTCTTTTTCAAGTTTTTGCTAGTAGATTGTTCTTAAAGTGGGACTGCACTACTTGTAGCATCTGTGCCCTCTATATAGCCAACAATGCCTAAGAGAGGTACCCATTGATCCTCTATGTTCCTCTTTTTCTTATGTTTATTGAGAGCTAATTTGATGAGATAACCACCTGCAATTGACCACGCAGGGAGGTCTAATCTCTCCTGACAAAACTAGTGGAGATAGGCTTTAAAGGGACTTGGTAACATTGTTCAGATGAGAGATAGTGGTGCTAAGGAAGTGATTTCAATGCTAGATGTACAATTAAAGATACTCTAAAAATTTGAGTGAAAACAGGACCATTATTCATGGTACAAATTGGGAAAAACTGATCTGATTGATTCCTTAATCCTCCCAACTATATTATTACAATCTAATTACATTTTCGGTGAATGTAAATCGTCACAAAGCAATAAAATGGCTCTACATTCCATTCCCAGGCCTGATAAAAATCTGATTTAACTCGGTTTCCCGATTTTTTTTAATTTTTCCCGATTTTTTCCTGTTTTTTTTTTTTCCCCCGATTTAAAAAAAAAATAGTATAGTAGAAGGAATATAGTAAGTAACATTTAATACAAAAAGTATTTTTTCATCAACCTTCAACAATGTTACAGAGTCACTTTAATATGATGTATAAACTTGATCTTTCATGACATTTTAGAACTTGTAACAGATTAATGGAATAGTTTGACAAATAGGTACCAGTTTGCATAACATTTGAATGCAAAATTTGCATTTGAATTGTCAGAATGCAGGATGTGTGTATTAGTTGTAAATCTCCCCAGCTTCAGGGTTGTCCTTACTAATGCAATAGAGACATTCAAAGCATTGTACACTGGTCTTTATCATATGAACTTTTGACCCTGTTGGGGAGATGAATTGAACAAACGCCAATGGAATGTTTTCATGGCATTGATAGACCAGTTTACTAACATATTTAAATTTATGGATGTTTCTTTCCTGGGGACCTAGTGACGAGTTATTCCATCAACCTGTAATGAATGAACTACAATATTTGGACTCCAGTCTGCATTCATTATGTGTTGCTATGCCAGGCAAGCATTCAGGTTGTCCAGAACGACCTTGGTTTAAGAAATATATACATAAGATTTGAATATGTTAGTAAACCATTCTGTTGGCCAGTGCTTTCCCTTTGCAATGCAATGTAGGAAAGTTGTTCTGATTCAGTGCATTGCCATTCAAGTTTGCTTCATTCTATCATCAAGGGCTCCATTCTTATGTTGAATTGAAGACTATTCAGTGAACAATGAAACCAGTGGAGTATACCATCATTACTCTTGTCAGCTGGGTCAAAGCTGCACAGTTTTATCAATGATATGATGGTCTACTAGGAATGCTAGGGCACTTGCATTAGTGTGAATACGGCACAGAAAAAGTGGACATATTCTTTGATGGAAATCATGGAGACATTTAGCTGTACTGTCTGCAGTACTAGCTGCAGAGTTTGGGTTTCAACTTTCTCTTTTATCAGAGCCCAGGAAGGAACCTTAACACATGTCATCTTCATCCCGACTTGAAGATTTTGAACCTTGAGATAGAAGAAAGCAAATACTATGAAGAGTGTAGAGATGTTATTGCTGTTGCCAGCTGTTCCTGACTTGCTTGGTTGATGTGATATACAGTGTACATGTATGTTCCAAGCATATTGAGTACAATGTATGTTCTTGAAAATCACGGAGACATTCATCAGTATACTGCAGATTTTTAGTTTCAAATTCAACTTTGTATCATGGCTTAAGGAAGCAACCCAAACACTTGACACCTTCATATTCATCTTGACTTGAAAACTCTGAACTTTTGCGTATTTAGGAGACCAATTCATGTAAACAATGAGGGGTATAGACTAGCCTTATAGATTTAGAAAATTTCGCAGTCAATGTACTTTCATTTATGCCTTTGAAAATCATGTACACTATCGTCATTGCATACATTCTGTTTGTTAAAAACTGAAGTGTATGTCAATGGTAAAACTCTTATCGATTAGTTGTAGATTTGAAATAACACCAGTTCATAATTGTTTTTCTCATTTATAAAACACAGTGAACCAAGACTTAATGAGCAGCAAGATGTTTGAGACCATGTCTGTTCAAGTAGATGAAGATGAACACAGTATAGAGATGCATCTACCATACATAGCAAAGGTCATGGAAAGGTAATGAGTTCAGTCATAGCGTACTGAGAGAGATAGTTGTGACACACACACACAAATACATGTATGAAAACAGGGTTAGATCATGGAGCTCCCAATAGTTCCACCCACTTACAGTCTCTAGGGAGGGAACTATTTGGAGCTCCATGGAGTAAATGACCAATCGAAAGCAACAACAGCTGTCTTGACACATCTGTAAATCAATTAGCTCTGATTTCAATCAATCACTGCCCCTCCCCCCCCCCCAAAAAAAAAGGGGGGGAAGAATGGGAAATGATACGATCATTAAAACTTCACAATCAATATTGCTCTGAAAAGCAATAATTTATTCATGACTGCCCAGTGGGAACATAAGCATTTATTACAATAAAAAATAAAGAGAATTTTTTTTAAATTTTAATATAATCTCTTCAATATCTATATCTGAATGAGCTATAATTTTAGGCAATGATAACTCAACTGTGACACACGGTACTGTTTCTTGTGTGACACAATGTTAGTCTGAATCTGATATTTGAATTATTGTCTCTACAGATTTTATTGGTTGATTATAAATGGGGATTTAGGGTTCAGTGTCAAACTGCCAACAGTTGCACACATTTCTTTAAACCTTTATGACTTTACATTTATCTCTTTAACCCTCTCCTCTCTCTGCAGTAAAAGGGGTAAATTCACCATAGTGCCAGTGCTTGTTGGAGCTTTAGACATTAATAAGGAACAGAACTTTGGCCGTCTATTTAGTACTTATCTTGCTGATCCTCGCAATCTCTTTGTAGTTTCTTCAGATTTTTGCCACTGGGGTGAGTTTGGATTAAAGATTTTTTATGGTAAGAGTTTTTATAAAAAAAGAGAAAACCAAGAGATGAATAGAAATACAATGGAAATTGAATTTTTTGTATAAAACTAATAGTTTTTCCATGCATCAACATTTACATGTGCCATATGATTTTATATTCTGTCCAAGTTTCTAATATAGTCTTATTGTAAATATTGTAATGAAACTCCAAATAAGGGCTAACAGTATTCCTCGGCCTCTTTAATGTATGCCTCATAGCTAACTAAGCATTTTTTTCCTTCATTTTTTTTAATGATATGAGGATAACAATATCCTTCCAATTTTTCTCTTCCTTTTTCTTATATTTGTTTCATATTTTTGTGCCTTTTTACAGGAAAACGATTTAGGTTTACCTACTATGACAAGAAATATCCAAAGATTTATCAATCAATTGAAGCAGTAGATAGAATGGTAAGTTTGACAAAAATTCAACTCTGTTTGAATTCAAGTATCAAACCATGTATTTTATCCATAGACATTTTTGCTATCTCAAGAATATAGTAATTTTTCCAAATCTTGATATTGAATGTTGGACTTTCTCTGAGTTTAATATATGGGGATTTTGTTACCAATAAAGTGTACCAATCAACAAGAAATATTTTGCTCTGTACATTAAGGGTTCTTGATTGCTATACTACTATACAAAATATGAGCTTCAAATAATACTCAAAGAGATATTGCAAGATCAAAGACACACTCACTAGACACAAAAGCGACTAGTGAGTAGACTAGTCAATGCACCTGTACATGCTTTTTGTAGAATAGGGTGCCATGGAAACCAAGTCCGACTTGGGTTCAGTACGCACCATTTCATGTCATAATCTATTTTTTCATATTTCTTAACCGTTATTCCATAGAATGTCGGATTCAGTTTTATTTTAAGTTGATTTTATACATTCGAGCTGTACACAAATTTATTTGGTGAATGATACAGTTTACATCAATTAATATGTAAACAGAATACCGAGTGTGTTATCCATATTCATTGTTTTACCTCAGGGTATGGATCTGATTGAACAGTTAGACCCACAAGGCTTCGCTGCATACCTCAAGAAATACAGTAATACAATCTGTGGAAGGCATCCCATTGCTGTGCTTCTCAATGTAAGTATACATCTGCTACAATGAAACCAGTACATAAAGACCGTTCAAGGGAAACATGAAAAACAGTCTTTATAGACAGGTGGTCTTTATGTACAGGTTCCTTTAATACAGGTTTCAACGAGAAACTATATTAAAGGGAATTAAAAAAATGTAGTCTTTATAGACAGGTGGTGTTTCTCTACAGGTGGTCGCTAATTGATTATAAATTCATTCATTCAAAACAATTTATTTCAAATAAAATTTTCATCGCTGCATTTAGCCAAGTTACAAAAGTTTACAAACTAAGATTAATAGCAAATAATTTAATATATAACATAGCATAACCTGATATATTGAATCTGAAGAAAAAAATCAGTATAAATATGAGAAATAAAGCTTATTGCAGCATATGCAAACACAAATTAGAAAGAACAAACTTAATAAAAAGCTGACAAAATTGCCAAGCCTGAAGGGTACAAGAAAAGGAGAATCATTCATCGTTTACTTTGGTTAAGTGCATGGATGAGGTGCAGAATCGCACTATTTCGCATTTGTTTAGTTTTACATCTGAGTTCAAGGATTTGGGGTTTATATGTCTTATTGTTCCTGAATTATTTTCCGGAGAGAAATACTGTTTAAATTGAACAGTGTAGAGTAGCATCTTTTGGAAGAATGAAAAGCTCAAACTTATTCTTCTATCAGAAAGAGATTTGAGGTTTAATTAATTTAGGACAGTGTCATAAGTTGAGTATTGTGCACCAATAATCACTATCAAAACTCTCTTTTGGACTCTTTCTATCCTGGTGATTTGGTTTTTGGTGAGGCCTCCATTCCATACAGGGGCTGCATATTGTACTGCAGTTTAATGGCAAGATAGGCAACCCATCGACTATCAAATTCTGTAACTTCCCTAGGGAATGCAAGAATGTGATACAGCGACCGCATGGTTTCAGAAGGCGATTGGTTAACAATGGCTCAAGTGATAATGTACTAAAACCAAAGAAATCCAATCAACTACCTTTTAGGGCTAACCCGAACTACAAAAAAGGAAGCAGTGAAGATTTGAGCACATCCTGTTCTTTCTTTCTTCTAGGTATCGATGCAATAGCTTACTCTGTTTTAAAGTTATATTAGATCAAAAAGAGACCATTAGCCAGAGTCGTAACAAAATTAAATGACTACATCAAACTGAAGACCGGACAATGATAGGTCTACATATCGCTATCCAATAGTTTTCTTGTATAACCATTTCCCTGCTGTGGTGTATGGTTTGTACACCCAGGCAGTAATGTGCTGCTTCTTCAACTAAACAAATTCTGTTCGAGTTTGACGTTTCCTGTTCCATATTGTTGATTGCGAACACAAAGAATCCTAAAAAATCTACACTGTTAACAGTTATTTGAGGGTGCTCCTGTTATGTCTTTGCTCGATGATCTCGATCTGATTTGGGTTTCTGGTCTCATTGAATTTTGCTCATTCATTACTTTGTGCAGACTTGCTATTTCTTTCTGTCTCGCTGGAGACTGCTTGTTCAGCCCACGCTGATAAAACTTTCTCATTGTTTTAGGGTTTTGCTCTTTCATTTCTTTGTGTAGGCTTGATATTTCTTTCTGTCTTGCTAAAGACTACTTATTTAGCCTACGCTGGAACAGGATTCTTTGATTCGTGAACATTTTTGGTTGCAGCAGCGTAGGAATTTTGTTCGCTTTGTGAAATAGCGTGTATCTTCACAGCATCTTTATACTTGGCGCAGCCTAGATAGGTCGCCGAGTGGTTTTGTTCACATCGACAGCACTTTTGGGTTTCTTTGTTTTGACATTCATTGAATGCATGCTCTCCTCCACACCGCACACAACGTGCTTTGGAATGGCAACCATCAGCCACATGCCCAAATCGTTGGCATTTAAAACAGCGTGGTACTCTCCTGAGGATTCCGCCATTATAATAATTTAAACTAGCCTAGCATTTAGAGGCCAAATATTACTCAGTTGGTTAATATTATCTGTTAAAAGAAGTGTACTGAAAAGTGCAAAGAAAAAATGCTGATTTTGCCAAGTTGTTCCCCCAGGTGCAAGTAATTAAAGTATACCAGTTCGCCTTTTTCAAGTCTAAGAAAAGTACCACAGTATATTCTCTGTTAATCATCCCTTTATATATACCGGTATCCGTTTCCAGCCTTATTTGATTAACAGTGCTTTTTTTTTTCTAAATCCAGATTGGATAGGGGTAATAATATCATTCTTCTCCATATTATATACCATGCCATTCTGTTCTTTATCAACCTTTCCATTAATCTACATAGTACCGGTGTAAGGGAAACTGGTCGGTATGATAGCGGATTGGAAGCGTCCTTTCCTTTTTTTTAGATTGGAATTCGTATAGCTTCTCCCCATTTACACCGCAGTAAGCCCTTATATAAGACAATTTTTTTTCCTTCTATAATAGAATCATCTTTATTCAATATTGCGCTCGACTTTGCAAAAACATTAAAAAAAAAACATATACATAAATATACATACATAATATAAACAATTGAATTAAAAAAATAAATATATATAACTAATTATACAGGACATGGTGGTACAGAAAAAAAAAATTAAAAGAAACAAAATGTATTTCCACCTATGATACAAGACAATGCTGACTATTAAACTTACCTGGTAGATTCCATATCATTTTGGATTGTATGTCATCCTTACCTGGTGCAGTGTCCTTTATTTCAGAAATTGCAATTTCCAATTCTCTTATATTAAAATTATCATTGAGCGCATTGTCTTCAAGTTTGCTTGTATTTTTAATGATTTTGTAATTATCTCCTCTCTCCGTTTCCTCATGGCTGTTTTTTCTTCTGCCGACTTTGCAATAGTCTTTCCACTGTCCATAATCAAATAAGGTATCTGGGATTTAATACCTTTTACCCTTTTCTGTACTGAACTAATGTTCACCAATCTATATAACTTTCCAAAGTAGTCTTTCCAGTACTCTCTTTACGCTTTTCGAAAAAAGGAAGGGGCCTCTCTCTTTTTTAATAAATAAATTTCAAAGTCTTTATAAAGAAAGGTTTTATACATGAATCTGTTTTTAGCCGCATTTCTCTCTTTTGATGGTCTAGAACATTCATTGCTCCACCAAGGTACCAGCGATTTGTCAGTATGCTGGGGTTTACTCCCTTTCCTTTGTTTATCAAAAGCCTTGGATATCTAACGATCCTTTTGAACATAGAGAGGTCTACTTTACGACATGCCGTGAACCATTCAACGCAGCCGTGTACTAGTATACTTTCTATGCGGACTTGTAAAAGAGATACATTATTGAGCGATCTACATGAAAGGAATTGAGTTTACTCAGTTCTTTAGACATGAACGTAAGGTCCAAACAGGATAGTCCCCCACTATGTGGATCTATTCTTGTTGGAGTACAATCATTAAGTAGAACTAGATCATATTTATTCATGATATCTTCCACTGTCTTACCATTTACATCCAAACTGGTGATACCCCACAGTGGATTATGGGAGTTGAAATCACCACACACTATAACATGTTCTTTACAACTCACCATAAGTTTTGTCCAGCAAAGAGACATGTACTTTGCTCTGTATAGAGGGTGGCTGTTGGTTCGCTAGTGAAAAAATGAAATGTACGGGTCTGAAATAAATATGAGCATAAACATGACTAAGTACATTGTTTGTTAATATTTTTTTAATTATTTTATTTGGCACATCAGGTCACATAAATACAACAATATAACAAACATGAATTGAGACAAAATCAATAGAAAACATATAAATATTGCAATAGCAGGTGCATCCGGTCAAGCTTCCCGGGTATGGAAAAAGTTAACCTAATAACTATGATCCGCAGACCTTCCTCCCTGAAACAGTGGTCAAAATATGGCTCTATACTTGCATACTGGTTATTTCACATGTATCACTAGGTCATTGAAGATCTGTTGGAACATTATCTCTGGTTGTGAATAAATTTCTGGCCTGTCAAAATGGTGTATTTACAATATCTCTACTCTTCAATTCAGTATTTATTCAATTCCATTGTAAAACAGTAACCTCAACATACAGTAAATATCAAAGAAATACTACTTATACATAATTGTTATTAAAATAGTACAATATTGACAGTAAAAAAAATAGTAATTTGGTCGCTGTTTAAAAACCCAATAGGTTTGTCCGGACAGCCACCATAAACAGTAAAACTAGTAAAAGAATCATAAACAATAACAAAAACAACAAAAACGACCAAAAAAAAGAAGAAAAAAAAATGGAACATGAGCAAAAATAAGAATATAAACCGTACAAGCCCAAACAAAATTACACTGTGGAGTGATATGAATGTTGTTACAATGAAAGATCACTGGAATATGATATATTTTAAGCTTTCTTTTAAATAATTTCAAACTATTTACAGAAGTAATATCTGATAGTAAAGAATTCCATACAGAGGGAGCTTTATGTCTAAAAGAGTGTAATCATGGTGTAATTCATATTGTTTTGTAATGGCAGATGAGTAATAATTCATTCCATTTTGAGTATTATAATTATGAACTGAACAATTTAAAGTTAACATATTGCATAAACTATTGGGTTATAGACCAAGCCTGTGTTTAAAAAGTAGTATTGCATTAACATAACTATTTAATTTATAAATATTCAATATGATTAACTTTTTTAATAAAGATTTTGTATGTGCTTAGTATGTAGATGATGAAGCTATTCTTACAAATCTCTTTTGTAATTTAAAAAGTGCTTCCAACTTGGAAGAACACTGAAACTTGAATATTGTATACCTTATTTTTTTGTATATCCAATAGAGTATTGACTTAATTCCAATAACTCCTTATGTTTTCTGCTTTTCTTTCAGGCCATCACCATTGCAATTAGCGAGCGGCAGAACGGATCCGGACTCCACTACGAGATGAAATTCCTCCAGTATGCCCAGTCCAATCAGTGCAAGCTTCAAAGCGATAGCTCCGTCAGCTACGCAGCTGCTGCCCTCACCATGAGCTAATACAACTTCAGTCTGTGTTACGCCCTCTGTATGTACGTAGATAAGCTCTAAAACCTGTTAAAAAGTATGGTCTTTTTGTACAAACTTCTTGAATGATGCTCTATAGACTCTTTTGCCACTCAAAATTGCTATACCCTAGTCACCTTAACAAGACTGACACCAGACCAACTATACAGACAACAAAAAATATCTTTGACCCGATTGGCCACTAAGTGGTCGGTTTGGAGTTTTGTCGAGGGACTGAGGTATACATGTTGATGAAATTGTCATGCTGAGCTAATACTTTGTGGGTTCTTGGCATTTTGCAAAGAAAAAAACTTCTGTACAGTACACTACACAAAAGAATGAGGAATATTTTTGCAGATTTGTTCAAATGTACCGGTATGCTTAATCGCGCATTCTTGTAAAAAACACAAAGATAGAGTACCAAAGTTCCTCGGGTACATTGTGCTTTTTACACAAATTTGATTTCAGATCGGAGAGGTTTGTTCATTATGGGATGTTGTTAATGTTTTTCTTGTTTGAACATAACTATCATACCAGATCAGGGGGTGTTTCACAAAGATCCTAAGTAGAACTTAACTCTAAGTTGGACTTAAAAGTTATGGACAGCCATTGGAGTCTTAAAATGAAATATATTCAAAAGCAGAAATTCAAGTATTTTAGACTTTTTATGAATTCCACATCAAGAACATGAAATCTCCTTGATAATAGAAAATATGAATGATTTGAATCATCATTTCATGCCTTTAAAATAACTTTTACAAAATATTTTCTTAGGTGCTAATGGCTTTCCATAAATTTTAAGTCCAACTTAGAGATAAGTTCTACTTAGGATCTTTGTGAAACACCCCCCTGGAATGAGAAATATCAGAAATATCTCATAGTTATACTTACAATGGTCAGTGCATGAGCAGTAATTTGTGCCAATGTAAAACCTTTTGTAATAAAATATGATGGCAATATGCTTATGGACATTATGTAATAATTTATTTTGTTAGTTCATTAATAATTTCATTTAACCATCAACTGTGCAAATCCCATGATGGTGAAACTATTCTTTCAAAAGTGGAAACAAAAGGACATTCATGTAGCACCTCCATCATATTGAGAATGTTTTAATATGCTGAACGTTGGTCCTTCCACATTGTAAAGATCAGTGAATATTTGGGGTCATTTCTATGATGTAACCGTCCATGAAGGAGTTTATGGGCAGAATGGTCTCTGTTACAATTCATAGAAAATACTGGTCTACTGAGAAAATTCAATACTTACTGATTATATTATTTTGACTAGCACAGCAGTTAACTTCATTAAAGAGAAGCAAATACATCATTCTGTGAAACTCAATTTTTTTTGCATGCATGAAAATTTTGTGAGAATTCCATGAGGGGTCCTGTTTCACATAATGTTCATGCCACAAAATACCTACATGTAAAAATTAATCAGATCACTGACAAATCTGAAATTTGCAAATGTTTCATATCGCAATAGTTTCCGGTTTCACAATACTTTGGAAATAAATTTTAATACTTGCCTAGTTGTTTCTGAAGAACATATTATTTGTATATTACTTTGCTAGGTACAGGCTGAACACAAGTTACTCCTGGCTCTTAGGGTTAATAGGGTTAATCAAATCTGTACATCAGGATATCGTTTCATGAAAGTACAGGTTTTCGGATATCCTTCCTATTGACACACATGTATTAAAATAAGTATGCATTTCAATGGGATGTTGGCAAATTTGTGCTTAGGACGGTTTTCATGAAATACCGCCCTAGTGTTTGCTATTGTTTCATAATCTCGCTCCGGCCTGCAAGAATTTGTTTCTCCAAATACTTAATTTGTCAGATCTATGCAGGGCTTCTACCGGTAATCGAACGTTTAATGTTAGTAGGTATCATTTAATCAAGAATTTGCATCCATTTTTAAATTTTATTAATGTGTCAATCTTTTGTATATGCATATCAATTGTAATGCCATTGTCTGTGTTATGTATTTATTTTGTTAGGATTTAGAAAGAAACTTTCTTGGAATGCAAGTTTTTGAAGTAGGTAGGTCAAGTTATGTTAAAAAATGAACTTTGTTAGTCGAGATGTATCAAATACTTTATTGAAAATTGATAGCTTGCCTTTGTTACTTACACTGTAAATTTCACAAAAAGATGAATCGTGGAATTACTTCCATATTTTCTTTCAGCAATCTTGTTAGTGAACCCATTTAATCATTGACAATCGAGGAGGATTTCAAAATTTCATGTGATATCAAAATAAGGTCCACTCAAGAAAGCTAATTTGCAGGACATTTCTTTTATCGTCATGCTGTTTTGTTTTCTCTCTCTCTCTCACTCAAGATTAAAGCATGGTGTTTGAAATCTAGTGCAGCAATATTCCCCACCCCTTCTGCATACTTTGAAAAGCCCATAATTTCTTTGCCAATGAAAAGTAATCGAAACATTATTATATAACTGTAATCTATGCTGATGTAGCAGTTGTTTTGGTCCATGTCCTAGAACAGGAATCCCCAAGAGATATCTGTCCAGATCCATTGAAAGAATGTATTTCTTGGTTTAAATGAAGTCTATTTAGGTGAAAATGCTTTGAAATGTTGAATTATTGGACATTTATTTTCAATCTGCAGTTTGAGAGAAAGAAGCTTAGAAAAAATGTGCATCTGTCATCTGTGGCAATGGGGGTTAAAGGCTCGCTCAGATACGATGCAATAAACTGCTGCTAATTTTTAATTTTTTTTTATAAACATGTAAATCCATGGCAGCTGCGTGCAACAAATGTCCTGCGTGTATTCACTAAGGTCTGTGTAAGAGAAATGTTGAGCATATACAACTTTACATCATTAAAAAAAAAAAAAGCTGCAGTTTTGCCGCATCATATCTGAACAAGGCTTACTGGAGGACCGGTATTGCGGGTGGACCAAACTTACTGTTACTCCAGCGCAGACTGAAGCATGCTCTATCATCATTTGGCTATCATAACAGTTATGGTCAACATTTTATGTCATACAGAGCAAATGTATTGAATCTATGTACAGTTATGATAACTCTTGTTCATGGTAGTGTCTTTGACTTGGAAAGTATTGGTAAATGGGTTAAAGCAGTAGGTGGCGTTTCCGGGTTATTAATCCAGATTTAATGATGTAAATCGTTTGTAATGATGTGAATGATGTGCATCACATGTCAAAGCTTGTTTGATTTTTGGTTTCAGTTGAGCAATAACAAGAATCGGTTATAAGCTTGTGGAAAAATTTTGTTGCTCAAATTTGATGTGCAAATTCAAAGTAAAAAGTGATCAAGAATGCTGTTTGTGATATGAATTTTTTTTCCCTTCTCCATGTCCTTTCAACATTTTCAGGCATTCACCTATTTCACTTGAACTAGAACAATGTCTAATTTTCCAAGTCAGCGGCACAACCTTGTCAAGTAACGGTCATCATAGAATATGGAATATTTGAATCAAATATGATAGTACTATTGAATGCAAATGATATTATGTATACAGAGCTCAAAGATATTCTATTCACAGGTAGCCATTGACAGACGACATGGATGTAAAAAAATAAGAAAAACAAAATAAGAGAATATTATTGCATTGGTAAATCAAAGGCAAAAGTAAAAGGTAAGTTTGTACTGTGTTGTAAATGTAAGACCTGGTCGTGTCACTTCTTATTCACATGAACATAAGCAGAGTTAAAAATAACCCCCTATTTTGCATTCTTATTAGAATATTTTTCATGGAATATGAACATTTTTGCATTAAAATGGGCTCTAAATATGTAGCTCTTTTGGGGGTTTGTCTGCTACTCGTGCATAAAAGGTACCCTTTTTGCTACAAAAAAATAATAAAAATGTATACTCACATGTTTGTAAAACTTTGTGAAAATATGAACTTTATTTAAGAAATTTTTCTTTCTCTTTAGGAATAAAATATATACCCTTTTTTTCAAAATCCTTAAACATTTCAACGTGGGCGTACTCCTAAAAGTTGTGAAAAATCCCTGAAAATTTCAAATTACCCTCTTTACATGAAATTTCTAACTATCGTGTGTAAGACAGTGGATATAAAGTGACAACATCAGGCTTGGAGAATAATTACTTTATGCTCTATGGGTACTTGGTGAAAAACAGGATGTGACATAAGCATTTACACAAGCTTAAAAATTGCTTGAATTGTGCAAGGATAAAACTTGAAATTTGAAAATACATGTTTTGATACTTTCAAACGGTAAACTCCCCTAAAACAGAAGGGGGAAAAATGTGTACTTCTCCCCCACCCTGTATTCACCAAAGTTACCCCAGAGCATAGAGTTAGATGGTATGAGCTGGTAAATTTGCTTTTACTGAGATTTTATGAATTATGAAAAACGATCGCTTCCAAAAATTATCCGGAGGTGGGGGGGGGGGGGGATTAGTAAAAATTCAGATTAGTGAATTCTAATGGGTGAAAATATTTCATTAAAAAATAAAATCTTGGTAAAAGCAATTTTTCTCAGACAAAACACTGAATGCACCAAGCTTTTATGAGCTTGCAGTTGATCAAACTGCATAACAATCAAGAGCTTGGTACATAATGGACAGAAACAACAGAAAGTCAATGTATTCAGTTATGGGGGGAAGTAGACAAATTTATTGCAAAAATATAAGTTACAGAGAGAACATGTATGATTCTTTATGCAAATAAAGTGATTAGTAACAAGACATTAATGATTTCCTGCTTTTTTGTGTGTCTGGAGTACAGACCATCTCTCTCATGCCCCTCTGTTGTCACAAAAAAAAAAAAAAAAAAATCCCCAGACATCATTTGCATATATGAATATTCATTACCCATCTGCCCCAAACAATTCAGCACCTTGTGCAGATATCCCATGAAGATAATATGACCAATGCCACAATAGCAGACCGGTGTTCATTTTCCAGAAGTAGAGCTTGAAAGGCAGATGTAACAATGGAAGCAAAACAATAACTGCAATCTGAGATTTCTAGACTAGCTTCCAGGATAAAGGAGTGTTCTCCCTCTCAAGGAAAATATGATAGGTTGTCCCTGATATTAGACTAACACCCCTGCCATTTCACCTCTGTAGAGCACGAACAGAGTGCTGTAGAGAGAGAGAGACATGGCAGGGATTTTAGTCTTAATTCCAGGGGCAACCCATCATATTTCCCTCGAGAGGGAGAACACTCCTTTACCCTGGAAACTAGGCTAGAATAGTCGCGGTCATATCATCTTGAGACATAAGAAGAAATCTGAATGGTTTTCAGGGATTAACCAACAATTACACAGTAGACTGGCATTCTAAAAAGCCGGTCCAAACTTGGGATTTCACGATGGGAAATCTTATAACAGCAATCAACAATCTAACCATCTTGAGTCAATACAGTACCATTAATCAGTTGTTCAATTCCTATGTCCATTTCATGGATTTTAATCACTAGAAAGTGACAGAATTTAAACAGATTCCAAACATTCAAAGACATGTTCAACAATACAATGACTTTTTTGTGAACTCCTCCAAAGGTATCATAACCCACTCTGTTGTCTGCACTCCTTTGAGTCTCTTTGCTCCTCTTTTTAACTCTATCAGTTCCTTGTGCTTTCTTTCCTTTCCTGCTTTTGGTTTATAAGTACTCATTCTTCAAATTGTAATTTTTGAAACAAAGAATATTTTGTCAGACCTGTCTCATATTATGTACATAATCCTATGCATCTTACCGATGGAATACTTCATCAGGGGACACACCCATGAAGTTATTATCACAGTACATAGAGTACACTTTGAAAAGAACAAGAAAATCAAGTTTAATTTGACACAATAAACACCAATTTCAAAGTTCAAATGGAGATGCATAAAATAGAAGCCTTAAATCTACTGTAGGGGTATGAAATTATTTCCAATCTTGTAACAGATTTTAGTTTTACTTTTTAATGTCATGAACGCATGTTTTAAATACATCATACAGGCAATCTACAACAAATTTCACAAAATGAAGTTTGATTAGTTTTTGTTGTTGTTGTTGTTGCTTTTTTTTTTGGGGGGGGGGGGGGCTTTTCAAATATTTTTTTTAAAGTCTGTTTTGACATCTTTTTGATCTTCAACATAATGTAATATTGTAACATATGGACTAAAATATTCACCCAGCATTCATATAAAGTGTAATTTTGGAGCCTTTTTGTACTGAGATTGTATAACTTCAGATTAAGCTTTTCTAAAAATGTTTGCAAAAGTGATCTCGGAACTTTACGAACGCACAACAGGTAGCATGCATGTCCCTTGAATCTCCTACCTAGGTAAAATCGATGAGAACTAACTTGTTAGCATTACTGTCCATATTTCATATGTACAGATTATTTAGTTAAATCATGACTGGAAGTATTGAAAATATATCAATACCGTACTATAATTATAAAGACAAAATGTTATATTCTCGGGATTTATATAAATTTGAAAATGTACTATGAAACATGGTTTCAATAAATATTTCCATTGTGTTTTTATTGTCCATCAATTCATATAGATAGGGGTGTCATGGTCTAGTGGTTATGTCACCAGAGTGAGGATCACATGGTTTGCGGTTCAAGTTCCGCTGTGGCACTAATGTCCTTTGGCAAGACATTAATCTACATTTGCAACTCTCCACCCAGGTGAAGTAAATGGATACCCGGTAGGAAGAAATTTCTTGAATACTTTAGCGTCTTATCATGGCGGCTCACCTACAGCCGGGGTATTAATGTGATACTTTGTATTATTGTAGTAGAGTATATTCCTATAGAAGCTGAACATAAATCATTTCTTTGTTAGCTGAGAATATCATCTATCAAACTGTTTCTTTTCTTCCTTCAGATTGTAAATTTAAATTTTGATCTAAATGCCTAGAATAACAAAATCTGTTAGTTTGTTCCTCTCAAGATTCTTTAATCCATCTCAAAGATTCTTAAAGTTTCAGTGAATCAGTGAAGCCTATTTTGGTGTACGGGAAAGATTGTACAGATCTAATCAAGATCAGTATTCTGAATTTCACATTAGGATTACTGAATGCCGCTACATGTTTTTAAAAAATGTAATAGAAAACATATTGACCCTTTCAAACTTTGTGCCATTCTGTACTTCTGTTTTGTTTTTTCTGTTAGTTTATTTTTTCATTTTTTTTTGTTGTTATTCATGTTTGTTTTGTTTTATTTTGCTTTCTTTCAATGGCCTGTAATGCAAGTAATTCTTCAGTTATAGAGCTATATGTACATGGTCTTATTTAACAATAATTTAAAAGGTATCACAATATAGAGGTAGGATGCCTTCTCATCCAATGCTTACCTTTAAGACATTCCTATGTATTTCTGTAATTGTAACATTGTTTGTTAATGTATTAACTTACTTTGTTTTGGTCCAAATTGTAATAAGATATTTTACAACTTGTATAGTTGGTAAAGTTACAATTCTTCACAACATAATATCTTTGTTTTTATTATTTGAATTATGTGTACATTTAAGCAACTTGTAGAGGTGCTGTGGTCCAGTGGATAAGTCTTGACACTGTGAACCACAAGGTACTGTGGGTTTATAATCCCTGTAATAGCACTGGCAAGACATTAATCTACATTTGCTGCACTCAAAACAGGTGAGGTAAATGGGTAAACACTAAACAGCTAAAGTTGGTGTAATAATAATGGAGTGCCAGGAGTGGCAATGTGGCAGACATGAGCAGTTTACAAGACTCCACTATTATTCTTCTTCTTATTATTATTATCAACCTTTTGTTTTTTGTAAAACACTTTTGTGTTAAGCTTTATGTAAATGTGATATATTAATCATTTAATGAATATCCCTATAACTCCATTTGAACACTGAAATTGATGTCATGTCAACGAACTCCACATTTTTAAAAAACAATTTGAAACAATACGAGACAGGAGTTACCAAAATATTCTTTGTACGGAAAGTACATGTACAAATCCAAAACATACATGTACATGAAAAAGGAAGAGTCATATACCCGTAGCAGGATATAACAGAAAACACAAGTCACTCACGAGGAGAAACAAGGAGAGATTCAAGAGGGCAAACAGTCAGGATGGGTTACAAACTCTTGGGAAGAGTAACATAAAAATCATGTATCGTTGAAAATGTCTTGATCAATTTTTCAAGATGTTGCTTCACACCATATTGACATAAGAACATCATAACTGATTGATGTTTAGTTTGACTCATAATGGTACGATTACTGATTCTGCTGGTCAAGTTCCCATCGTGAAATCTTGCATTTAGACTGGCTTTTGATGGGTGCTGGACTCAGAACACCAGTCTACTATGCTGACATCAGGTCATTAGACATTGTTGGTAAAACCCTTAAAACTTAAATTTTCATAAATCTTCAAATGTCTTAGTGATTTGACAGAATTGGTTTAGATTGCAGATATTGTTAAGCTTCCACTGCACAATCTGACTTAAAGCTCAAAACTTTCTGGAAAATGAACACAGGTCTCCTATGTGGACATCAAGTCACATTGTCATACATGGAATATTCTACATGGAGGTGCTCAACTGCTGGTTGGATGAGACATGAATATTCAATATGCAAATGATGTCCAGGAGGTTTGACAACAAAGGGTACTTGAAAGAGATGGGGTTTGTCTGTACCGTACTCCAGACAACATACTATTACAAAACTAATACAATCAATCTTAAACAGGTAACAATACAGTTCATGCAAATCAATAAAATTAATGGAGCAATATTGAACAACTCAGAATATTGCAGTTTCCCTATTAAACACTCATTTCAACATCATACCTAATGCAGGAAATTATACAAGGCCTTATGGTACAGTCACACTTTCACGTCACTAGCCATAAGTGCCATCTTTGGCTATTTTTGTGATGCAGGGTGGGATGTGGCTATTCTGTGACATTTACATCACGTACGTTGCTGTTAAGTGGCGTACGTATGGCGTGTTAAAATGATCAAAATTTCACCATGTAAAATTAGTCCTGTCTAATAACATGGGTACTATGTGGCGCTACATGGCTGTTTTCAGCGATGTATGCCATTACAAGTTTGTTAAATAACAGAACATGGCGTATGTGGTGGCTATTCTGTGGCTTTCAGCAGTCTTATAGACCCTACATTTTTTATTTAAAGGAAAAAATAGGTCCTACATGACAAGCTTTATAAGGTGAGCCTTTATGTGAAAGTGTGTCTGTAGCCAGGATTTTTCATTGAAATCTAAGTACACTCTTAAGACTGAAGAGAGGTTATTAAAGAGATACCTGTCCATGTATGCATGTATGCTTTCAGCCTTCAGACTCAAGCAACCTGTTATCAGTCTATCATGGACATCAAATACCCACAAATAAGAGCTTGCCAGATAAAACTCATTATGAAATGTCAGATCGCACAAATTCTATACCGGTATTGTTTTGCAAAAGTGACAGATTAATCGGACAACCTCCTTCAAAATGTGATTGAAAAGATTTGGAAATAGTCCCTATAATGTTTTCTCTTCTTCAGATGAGTCATATCTAGCCAAGTTTACTTTAAACAGGGAGATAAGCACTTAATAGCAAAAGTTATATAAAATTGACAAAGGACATTCAAAAGTTTGTAGTGTTATGGCAACGACTGAAAGCAGCAAAGGATTTGTACGAAAGATGAAGGCATGCATGCATGTACCTGAATCTAATTACATCACTTTCCTTCATGTAATACCTTATACTGGTACATCTCATCTGAAGTTTAAAAAAACTTTCTAAAAACATGAAAGACAGTAGTTTTGGCAAAAATTCTCTGTGAAACCCCCATTCATTTTGATTTCATAAAAAAAAGATAATTATTGCAAATTGCTTTGTAAATAAATTTGCAGTTCAAATCCCACATATTGATCAATTTGTATACCTTTTAACACGTTAAAAGCTCAATCCAATTATTGCAACTCAAGAAAAAAAAGGTTGATATTGTAATCTAACCCAACTATTATCAGAACTTGTATAACAGTAGATAAATAATTCAAAATTATCAAGATCAAAAAAATGAATTCCCCTACATATATACAACAAAATATAGTGTTTGGACACCCCTACGTTCCAACAAATGGGCTAACACATGTAGAATTATAATAGAATTTTTGTTTCGAAAGGCAGGATTTTCATTTCCATGTTGCCTATGTGGCATGTGTCACATTCAAGGGCAAAACCAAAATCTTTATCCTATCAATCAATCATGACATGAATAGTACCTTTTTCTTTAATTGTACTGATTTCTTCCACAAAATTATAAGTAGGCCTCATATGACGTACTTCCATAGCATCATTGGACCAAGTTTACAATATGAATTGCTTTTTCCTCTAGAAGGTGCCATATGATGCATGGACTAACTCAAGGTATGATTGGACCAATTTGGAAAATCAAATTCTTTTAACTTCATTATCTATCATAAAAATGCATGGACCAATTTATAAAAGGATCGGACCATTATCAGACCATATTAATTTGAACCTATTTGAATATATTCAACTTTCCATCACTACATATTGAGGTAACTGTTTTGTTTTAAACAAGCAATGTCTCATTCTTTCATTTAACAGGATTGCCAATTACAACATTAACAAAAAATACATGAAATAAATTTCAGAAAATGAGTTGCATGACAATATACATAAATGTTGTCCTTCAGAAAAACAATACATAATCACGCACCTTTCTATATCCTATATCGCATTTCTTATGCTACAATGCCTAATATCCTTATCTACATCCTGCATTATTTTTTTTTATTTGATATAAATCCAATATATCTTCTTTAGTTCCATCTGACTATTTGTTTATCCTAAACACCCTATTTCATCACCTACACTTGTTTACACAAGTCTTAACTGTATATTAAACTCTATCTTTGCTATATAGATATTTTCCTCTACATGATAAATCTATTTTATTGCGATTCTCATCTGCCTTGCAAGGACATTTTTGCTGTAGAACCTGTCTACAATGTCAAATTTGATCGTTTCTTCAAGTGGCCTTTAGAATCAGATTTGACTACATTCACTGCTTTAGTTTAATGAAATGAATATAATTCTATATATATTGACATCTGGTCAATCCTCCGCTTATCACAATAATGAGAAACTATCTTTGCTAAATTCCATATAAAACAAATACAAAAATCTATTCCAACAAGTACATGATAAATTCTCACTATCTCCTACCATCCCAGAGCATTATGTCTGAGAAATAAGTACTGTTATTATTATATCTCTTTACCTCTATCCTCTGCACTATTTCATAAACCAAGTTTACTTCATCAGCTTAAAATCATTTTCTTTCAAGGCTGTCACTGAGTTGGTGAAAAGCATTTTAAACAAAAAGTATTTTAAGGATTTGATTCAAATCAATGATCTTCAAATGCATGATTTAAACAAATCACTGTCATTGTTTGTTGCCAACTTTTGTTCTATTGCCATAATCTTGCAACACACCACTTGGCTATTATTACCTTTCAGATCATATACCTAATATATAATTTTAGTAGTTTTCCCTCCAATGTACTCATTACATCCTTGTAGCTAGGGGCTCCTCTCTGCCATATGTCTCTAGTCCATCACCACATCAGTTCATGATTGTCTACCTCTCCACCAGCATTCTAAATACTTCCTCTGGGATCCTCATCAACCCCTCACAGGTAGGTGCACATCTAAGCTATCAATCTCTGGTCTAGGACTTCAGTTGCCTCTCCATCACTTTCCTATACATACCTTCCAGTATCCTCATCAGCTCCTCATAGGTACCCGTCTCTGCACGCTCTCCAATCCTCATCAAGGGCCGCATCAGTTCATGACAGTCTGCCTCTCCACCAGTTTCCTAAACATCCCCTTCGGTATCCTCATCAGCTCCTCATAGTTTCCCGTCTCTGCTATCCAAACCTGGCCAGGATTGCATCAATTCATGACAGTCTGCCTCTCCACCAGTTTCTTAAACATCCCCTCCGGTATCCTCATCAGCTCCTCATAGGTACCCGTCTCTGCTATCCGACCAGAGTCCAGGACTGCAATCATGTCTGCATTCTTGATGGTTGACAAGCGATGGGCGATGGTGATGGCTGTCCTTCCTACCATCAATCTCTCCAGGGCTTCTTGGACCAAGTACTCACTCTCAGCATCCAAGGCACTGACCAGGACAAAAATTCAAAGGATAGAAACTAGGATTATTATGTCAATAATGTAATTTGATCAGCTTTTTGAGAATCAAGTTGTGGATAACTTAAGGCATGTAATGCGGTAACCCATAATATATTTTCTTCATCTTCTTTATGATGACACGAGCGTATTGCACTTCACATTTCTGTATCTTATAATACACAGATCAAAAAAATAAACAAGTGTGACGTAGGGCCTTCGTTTCCCTATACTACTTTTTTCACACCCGTTTGCCATTGATTTACACATCAAAAAGTCATCTTGCTTTATTGTGCATATTTGAATCAATCAACTTATATAAAATTCATATTTTGTCCAATTTAGCAAGATTTAGGCAGAATCTGTCTTTATATTTTATAAATCATTTCTAAACTTTCTCTGTGTCTTTAGGTTAGTTTGGACGAAAGTCATGAAATGAAGTTTCCCCCGAAAAGGATTGATCTTCACATGCCTTCATATTCAAAATATGATAAGAATTAGCTAAAATGTTTGGACCAAATAGTAATGCCATTTTTGTGTGTGAAGTGCATGTGCTTTTTATCAAGACTATGCCAAGTATACACCAATTCCTATCATACTACATAATCAACTTTTCAAAATTGCTTCAAGCACATATCTTTCACAAACTTACTGCCACATTAGAACTCAAATTTATATTTAAAATATCAAGTGAAGTAAGCATCCAGGAAACCTACCTTGTAGCTTCATCAAGGAGTAAAATCTTTGGATTCTTCAAGACTGCTCGAGCCAAGGCTATTCTCTGTCTTTGACCACCTGGTAATGAGAAAAAAAAATGAATGAAACCATGAAATAATGAGAGAAAGAATATTATCATGTGCAAGAGCCTATAAATCAACTGATCTTATATCAATACATTCTATCTATTCATAAGTGAAAAGTTTGACTTTTAGTTCTTAAACTTAAAGTCTGATGTGCCAGTTTTCAAAAACAAGTACAATTTAGTGTTTTAAGTATGTTTAAAAATCTTGCAAAAATACACCTAATTATTATCTTCAGAGATTGAGCATGGCTTAATCACTTGAATTTTGTACCAACATGTTGATGGAAAATCTAGAAACTTTGTCATGTGCTTTAAAAGTTGCTCATATCATACATGTACTGTTTTTACACCTGGTTCAGATAACCCGGCTATCCTTAGCCCGGGCTAAGGATTTATGTTTTCACACCTGATAAATTAACCTGGGTTAACAGCTAGCCAGGGCTTTAAAACGTTGCCTGCTTTCACACCTGCTTGGCCTTAGCCCGGGACTATGAGAATATTCATCAGATTTACGTGACCTATCCTAAGCGCAAGCGCAGTGCAGTTCTACGACTCCCAACCGGAAATGAACAGTCGACTTTGATCTTCAAAATGGCGCGCCACTTCTACTACGATTTTGAAGATACAGTGGTTTTTCTGCTTGCCTTTTTCTTTTGGGGAAAGTATCATCGTCTGAGACAGAGTAATACCTTAAACAACAGTAGAGGGAAGAGGGTGAAACGTCGTTTAATTGCAACAATTTAAAGATTTTCAAAGTCGCGAACCCCTGCATGCTACTACGAAAAATGGGTGCTCCGATCCTCGCTGTTGTCATGGGTGACAGCTCATATTCTTTGGATATTCATACATGCACCATCGGTTGAAAGAAATCCCGGGCTAATGGTTCATGCTTTCACACCTGACAGGTTAGCGTGGCAATTGTGGATTAAACGCTGCTAGTGCCCCAATTGTTGCACTAGCCCTACTCGGAAGCAGAGCCAGCTTAGCCCGGGAACTTGCGAAGCTAACTCACTATCGAAAAACCAGGTATGAACATGAAAGATAACCCAGGAAGCGGCACTAAAAACCCTCTTAGCCCCGCACAAAACCTGGTGTGAAAACGGTAATGCACACTTTCTCAAAAGGAGGGATGACACTGAACTGACATTCCCACTTGTTTACCAGAAACTAGTAAATTTCAACCTCATTTACAGCTGGGGCAAAAGGGATTTATTGTCGATTTCACCTCTGAATGAGCTCAAGAATTTGACACCAGGAAAGTGAATTTCATCTTTTGTCTTGTGTCATAACTCAGGTGTACATTTCATCCTGTAATGTACAAGACAGAAATGTTTGGCTCTGTAACTAACTATACAGGAATGCCATGTCCTGGAGGTCATGTCAATTACAGTCTGTCATTTACACATGGGTAACAGTTTTGAGGCCAAAGTTGACCATAGGCGGTGTCACACAGAGGCCAAAAATCCGGATTTTAATTATTTGGATTTTAGTTATCCTCTTAATTGCTGTCTGTCATCAATTATCCCATTAAAAATCCTCTAACGAAGCAAGAAAATTCTTCCTTGAAAGGATTTTCCAAGGGATTTTTTCAGGGATTTTTCTGTGTGACCCGGCCTAATGATAGGTATGAGAAACTGTCTCATTCAAAGGAATACCCAAAGAAAGTAAATAAAAAGAACATTTTTTTTTTTTTTTTTTTACAATACCTAAAAAGAAATTGTGCATTTAGAAAAGCAAACATGTGTTCTATGGCTTCCAAGTCCTAACCAAAGGACTTGATAATTGAGGGCAAATTTCTTACCAAGGGCACTAATGCATTGACTTTGTTCAGAATCTGTACCAGCAATTAGAGATCACTGCTCTGCCAAATTCAAAACAAAAAATATAGACTTGAGAAAAAGAATTATTTAGAGAGGAAAAGGGAAAGCAAATACAATAATGTATAATTTGACATACCTGAGAGCATGAGGCCCCTCTCTCCTACAACCGTGTCATACTCATTTGGGAAAGACTTGATGAAGTAATGAGCGTTGGCTGTCCTAGCTGCCTCTTCTATCATCGTCATAGAAACATTATCAGGATCGATGGCTCCATAGGCTATGTTCTCCTTGATGCTGCATGAGAAGAGCGTCGGCTCCTGCAAAATGAAATCACGAGCAACAACTATAACCACATATGTTACATTCTCTCTACTGAGGTGAACAGTTATACTAGCAGACATAAGTAAGACCAGACCAGTTTATTTCTTCCAGGAACATCAAGTGACAAATTAATTAACTTATCTATCTGTTACGCATGATAGTATTTTTATGGATGCTGCCTTTCTTACCTGAAAGCTCATATTAATCTGGGCACTTTCAATAACTGTACTTTTTTCACAAGAAAAGGAACAACATTCCACACTTTGATAATTATTTTATTATAGATACTACAAGAAATAAGATTGAAACATGATTTGTGTGAAAGATGACAGGTTTGATACCCTTAAGTCATCCTTTACAAACTGCTAGTAGTCTCATATACATGAAAGGCTAGTATGTATTTGTTTGTACAAATTAAGACCATACCTGACTAACAGTCCCAATTTGATGTCTCAGCCATTCAGGGCTCAATGAGGTGGTGTCCTTTCCATCTAACGTAATAGATCCTGGAAAATAACCACAAAAATCAAAATGTAGAGCATACTCCAATCTGCATTGTAAACGTCCAACTACAAATCATCTTCTAGTTTGCCTTTTATATTACTTCATTTGTGGGTCAGAGGATCATGCATAGTATATTAAACACCACAACCTTTCTGCTTCAGAGACACTCTTTAAAACATGAACCCCCTTGGTTTCCATTTTCATATTTGGCTCCGTGATATCCCCTCTGTACCCCTAAAGTGTCCACTCTTGGTTAAATTGATAATTAATCTATACATAAGAATGCTTTATGGTTTCAATTAAAGAAAAAGTAAACATTCAGTTTATTGAAAGTGGACATTTTTCATACGATTCACCCCCAAGCTGCGAGCTTAAACAATAGAGGCATAGTATTTTCTAAACACTGACTGAAGCAGCTTTGCCATTACATAAACGTTTCTTTAAAAGAAAACAAACACCATTGTCTTACCTGCACTAGGGTCATAATATCTTAGTAGGAGAGAACCAAGGCTAGATTTCCCTGATCCACTGGCCCCCACAACAGCCATCACTGAACCCGCCTCAACAGACAAACTCAGATCTTTGAAGATAGGCACATCAGCACGCATCGGATAGGAAAACTGTATATTGTGAAAGTCTATTGCTCCTCTGAGTTGAGTTGTGTCCAATCTAAGGCCACCTGTGAAAATGTCATGGAATACAACAGCCATTTATAAGGGGATGAATAACTGTTGTTAACGTGGAATCAATAATGCCTTTTTTCACATCTATATGTAAATGCAGACAGCAATATTCTATCAAAAACTAGTTTTGACACATCTGTTCAGGAATTCATTGGTCCCAGACCTAAGAGACTGAATGGAAGATCATGGCCCCGTCTTACAACGAGCTGTGATTGATCCAAATCAATCGCAACTTTGCAGTCTCCTATCTCTTATGTACATAGTTGAGATTGATATAAATTGTAAATAAGTTGCGATTGATATCAACTCTTTGTAAGACGGGGTCATGTCTCTAAATTTGTATTATTGTGAAATAACCTTGTGCATATTAGATATAAGTCAAATTTTCAATAAATGTTGTGGTGTGACCACATTAATTAGATGACTGAATATTGGTCTAATTTGACTTACTTGAGAGTGGTATTGCAGGTTTCCTATCAACAAGCTCCCATAGTCTGGTGCTGGCTCCAATCCCTTTCATCAGCTCAGCATAGAAGTTACTCAATCCTGTATGGAGGATATACAGAACACATCAAAGACTGTTCCACTATCATACAGTCAAACCTGCTTTAGTGACCACCTGTCTAAAAAGGCCACATTTGTTGTTTCCCTTGAAAATGGTTTCTCATTGAATCATGTACTAAAGGAACCTGTCTACAAAGGCCACTTTTTGTGTTTCCCCTGGGTGGTCGCTATAGACAGGTTTGACTGTATTTGTCTTTTTGATTTTTACACTTCAAGTGAAATACAGTCACTCTGATGTACCGTAAAAATGTGGTGAATATGAACAAACTTTTTTTCCTTCCTGAGGTTTATAATTCTGATGTTACCTAATTCCGAAACACAAATTTCCCATCCCAGGATCATCATTATTCCAAAAATTAAATAGGATTCATAATTCTGAACATTTGTTCTGTTATTCCAAAGGTTTGTCTATCTGGAGATTCAGAATTCCGAAAGTGAAATAAGATTCTGATCCCAAAAGATTTTGATTCCAAACATGAAATAGGATTCTTTATTTCAAAGGTTTGTCAATAAAATAAAAAAAAAAGATGCAAGGTTCTATGTCATTAGTGGAATTATAAACCCTATTTCATTTTTTCAGAATTATGAGCCCTATTTAATTTTCGATTACGGAAATGATTAGTTTGAGCAATGTCTAATTTACTGCTTCCGTGGAAATAATAGGTCCTACCCCCTTCCCCCTCCCCCACGCAGAGTTAGAAAAGTATATATACATACCTCCTATTGATATGCCCACATAAGCAGCATAGAGCAGGAATGCCGAGAGATCACCTACGGTAATCTGTGACTCTGTCATCATCAGACCACCATTATAGAGAACCGTCATGATGATTAGGTTACCAGATAAACCCATCTATGAAAGCAAAAGAAATGAAAGAATATTAATTATGACCTACATGTATATAACAAATGCAGAACAGATCTTTTATAAAGGAAATGATGAAGTTTGAAATTGCAGGCTACAGTAAATAATCACACTATCAAGCACAGCTTTAATTTTGTTTCCTCTATTCTTAATCATGACTTATTCTTAATGTTTATTGCATTTGCAATGTACATATATGTCAATGATTATAAGAACAAACATTTTTGAAATGGATTAAAATCAGAATCAATTTTTTATATTTTTCAATTAGCATGGATTTTGTTAAAGTCCATGCTGGACAATGAGGCACTCAAATAAAATTCTCAGTATTCTTAGCATATTACCAAATTTGTGTAGAAGATTCATTCTACATTATTTGTTTTTTATGGAAATAGTCTGAAAATGCTTTTAAAGGGATCGTTTAACAATGTTAAATCTGAGATACACGGCCCTACGTGTTATCAGTGTCTGTGATATGGTGTAATATTGAAGCCCTAAAAAAATTGCGCTTCAAAATGATCAAGAAGTGCCTCAAAAAAGTAAAAATCTTTGAGTGACCGGTTTTACCATACTCGTTTCCCCCAATAGACTGTAGTGTTATGAAAACCGTCAGGTGAACGGTTTTCAAAATTTGTAATTCCAATCATAAATATCTTGATAATCAGACAGGTGATCAGCTTGTAAAAGTCATGGGGTTCCTGACTGACCTAAAGGTTTATAATTATCATTGCATCATGAGCTAAATCCAAAATTTTATTTCAGAATCTGAGACAAAGTTACCGGATCCCTTTAAGGCCAATAGCCCAAAAGTACATGACCAATAAATTTACCTGAAACTGAAACTCTTACTCCAAACACTTTATTCAATGCTTAAATTATTCGTTTCAGGTTGTACAGCATGAGAGGGTTTAATATGACAATAATATATCCTGTCTGCAGGTGTATAAAGAAAAGAAAGGAATACTTACTGCACCAAAGAACAATCCACTGGCAAAAGCCTCTTTCTTAGTGAGTTGAAATACACCTTCTACTTTGTCGCTGTATGCAGTCTCCTCTCGTCTCTCATGGGAGAACGCCCTCACAGTTCGGATGCTGCTAATTCTCTCCTCTGCTACCTAACCATTTGATATAGAGTGAAGCTTTAAATCACAATGCAAAGATTTATACTTGAATTGAGAAGAAAAAAAGTGCATTTGTGTATATAGAGATAAGAATCTGAATGCTAAAAATTATATCTCAAGACGGCCATTCAAAATTATAGAATAAACATCTACATGAATTGAATAAAGGTGTTTACATTATCAAAATATTTGAAATTTTGATATTTTGCAAATATGTACCAGGCAGGCGCGTACGCAGGATTTTTTCAAGGGGGGGGTTTTAACATTTATAAATCGGTCCGAAAATTTCGCAACGACTCAGCCAGCCGCTGAATAAGCGGGGGGGGGGGGGGGGGGGGGGGGTAAGAGGACACATTTTTTTTTTTTTTTGGTCCCAAAAAAAATCGCAACGACTCAGCCGACCGCTGAATAAGCGGGGGGGGGGGGGGGGGGGGGGTAAGAGGACACTTTTTTTTCTTTTTTTTGGTCTCGAAATTTGGAAATTTGACATTTTGCTCCGTTGGGGGGGGGGTAAGGTCACCTTTTTTAGGTCGGCCATGGGAATAATTATTATTATTTTTTTTTTTTTTTAATATTTAAAAAAAAAAAAAAAAAAAAAAAAAAAAAAAATCCAAAAGGGGGGGGTTTTAGGTTTTTTTTAGGGGGGTTTACACACAAAAAATTTCCAAAGGGGGGGGGTTTAACCCCCCAAACCCCCCCCCCCTGCGTACGCGCCTGGTACCAGGTATAGCATTAATTAGCATAAATCAAGTTTACACTTATTGATAGTTAACTATGCAGTTGAAATAATCTAAAGGAATTGATGTCACACACTTCCAACTTCACATATGGCACTGCTACATGTATATGGTGAGTATTTATTGATTTTTAACTGAGTTGGGTCATTAAAAAACACATGCTTCTTTTTGTCTAATTTAAATTGATCAATATCATTTAAATGTATGACTGATTTAAAGTGCGAAAATGTCTGGTGCAGTGGAAAGAACAACAATATTGGTTGATTAGTTATCAAAATATGATATAGATCTCAGCAGAGCTTAACTACATTCTCAACATACCTGGGTAGCATTTGCTAACGAGTCTTGGACCTTTCTGGACAGTGAGCGTACGTACCTCCCATACATAATGGCAACCACTGAGAATGGAGGTACTATAGACAAAACTACAGTGGCTAGCTGAGCTGATGAGAAGAACTGTTTAAAAAAAATGAAAGATGCACTTGATGAAAGGAGGCACAAACCATTCCATTATTACATGTGGTTAAATATCTTAACAGGTTTTAGACATATTGAAAAATGAACTTATATCAAAACTTGACCATTATTTTCAAAACAGAGTCCAATGATAAAATCAATTAGTTACATTGCAACATAATCTGCAAAAAACACATTGAAACTTTGTCCCAGCCAATCAAATGAATGATACTGTACATTCTGTAGCATACATCCATTTAAAAAAAAATGGAGTATGAACATTTCATCGAAGAATAGCAAATTAAAAAACTAGACATTAAACAGATTTTTGGATTGCACTCATCAGAGCCAATCAGATAATATAAATCACAGCCCATTCTTCCTGTAGCTTTGGCTTTCTGTTCATTCTTGCAATTTACTCCAATGAGTGCAAGAAAAAAAAATTTAGTGTATCTTCATATACTGCTATTATTTGATTTTGTAGTACCAATAATCTATTTAGAAATTTCATTATATAAATATTTAATTGTAGGTCTCCTAAATGAAACCAAATCTGAGAAATTGATCTTAAGTTCCAGCAAGGCAGCACAGTTTATGCAAATGGAAAAACTATCAAATCATTTGTACATAAATGATATAGGCTTAAATATTCAAAATTGAAGGAAAGCACCATTAAAACAAACCTAACAACAACAACAAAAATCCTTTTTGTATTATAATCCTTGACAGAGTCTATGAAAAGCAAAGAATATGGGAAAACAAATCTAACAAAGCACAGTAAATTGAGCTTAATTACCATCATGCCGAAGCCCCCAATGACCTGCACCATTGACCTTAGACCATCTGAGATGTTGGACGTTAGAGACTGACCAATCTTGGATGTATCAGTGGACAGTCTGTTGATGAGTTCTCCTGTCGACGTCTTGTCAAAGAAACCAATTTCCTGAGCTACGACGGACTTGAAGAGCATTTGTCTCAGTTGTCGGATGATTCTTTGACCTGTGAATGAAGGGTCAAAGGTCAGAGGTTATAGGTACCTTCTGATTTTTAACTTGTATTGTGAATATGAAGTGATAAAACCAATCAGGTGATTACTAAGTGCTAATGTTTGTTTGCTTATTACCAAATATAGATGTTCATTCTGGTCATTTAAATAGCTTTTACATTCCAAAAGGAATTGAAGGTAAGGAGCAGTATCCCACTCCCCCAAATATTCAGTCCCCTTAAAATACCGATCACCATCTCTCCCCCCCCCCCCTTCACACATAAAATGGGATTCCACTTTAATGCAGTATGATAACCAATTCAGAATCACTTTATATCAATTTTCTTGAAATTCCTTCAGTGTAATTGTACTAGTGTGGATTAGACTACTACCTAGATCAGACTAAATATCAAAGAAAATGATCCTTTTAATATTAGCCCTTCACACACAGTATGGGACACAAAATGAGCTAACACCTTGGAATTTCTCGACACCAACCTGATGTTTGCATGATGTAGACACGCCCAAAATTGGCAGCCGCGCCCACCAGGAAGACCCCCGCTAATACCGTGCATAACTTGGTCAATCTCTGCATCATTTCATCTCTGCCGCCCTCTTTGGTAGACGTGTCGTAGATCGTGTCTATTACTTTTCCGAGAGCGAAAGGCACTGCTATGGTGACAGTACTGGATATGAGTAGGAGTCCAATGGCAACTGCATTCAAGATGTGACAAGACGTGACATGGAATATTAATGATTCATGCAATTATGGAGAAGGTCCAGCAAAAAGAAAACAAAGGGAAAGTATATTGTAATCAGTGAACTAAAACCCTATCATTGTAGAGATGGCAGAGGGAGAGAGAGAGGTTATTGTAAAGAATGTCCAGTTTAATAATGGCTTAATCATTTGTTGACATTCATTCCCCAAAATCTAATGCACCTGCTACATGTATGTACTGTATTGTACAAAAGAAACCCCATAGATGGAATATACCTGTATAACTGATGCTATGTCAGGCAAACAAAAAAAAGCTTTCAAGTCATATACCGGTACTACATATTTTAGCTCAGGAGCATGCATACAATTTCAACTCAAGAATAGACTGTTCTACAGACTAGTTTCAGAACTGGTACATGTACATGTATGTTGTCCTTCTAAAACATGATCTGATCATCACAATATTGCCCTCATTGGCTGCAAACACGCACATGGTCAACAAAGATAAATTTGAATTAAAAAAACTTTTTGACAATTTAACATTTTTGTAATGTAATCAAATTTATACAAAAGTCGTTGTTGAGTACCTTGTTAGTCGTTACAAATTATTTCATTCACCTGTTATGAATTGAATTTAAACAGTAAGAATGAGAATTGCAACCATTAGCTGTTGCTGGTTGGATAAACATTATGGTTTACCATACAAACAACACTTATACACTTAGGCACTTATACACTAAATTTGATTACATTACAATACAAATTGAACTTTGTATCGTTTGTAGAGTTCAAGAGTGTATGTTTAAGTATATGGAACAAATTTTATGTTATAAATGATGTAATATAAAACACTACATTGGTTTTTCAAATACAACTTCATTTTCTGACAGATCAAGTCCAAAATATATGTGTATCAGTTATTAATTTATTAAGCAAATTAGCGAGTTATTTAAAAAAAAAAAAAATGAGAAATAGTGGGGGGATGACATACAATGTATCACTGTTTCATAAAGTTATGAGAAACTTTAGAATTCCATAACTGTCTTATTTTTCACCAGAATTTCATGGACCTTTACCATTTGGTATATTTAATTTTTCTCTATTTAATTGAATTCAACTTGCAAATGGGTCAGACTTGCCCTCTGATTCTCTGGATCAGATGTATTACATCCACCTGTTAATTTGCATAATTCCACTAGCCTAAATACAAGTTTGGAAATTAGCTGATGCTGCCATACGTGGGACAATCCTTGGGAAAATATCTTACTTGAATATAAATGATTTTGTTGACCTTCTATTTTATTTATAAAGATATTGTCTGTAGGACACTAGTCATCAAGAATGTTACTCTTACTCATATCCACATCAGGGTAACATAAATTATTCCTAGCAGCAAGTCTGAGCAAGACAGTCATACCAAAATCAATTGCAAAATTTCTCCAAAAAGTAATCTGTAATCATTTGCTGCAAAGTATCATCTTCATCTCTTGATTCATCTCTTGATAGCATCTCCATGTGCTATATGATTATCTTCAAATGAAATAGGATCATGATGTTGCATCACTTTTCAAACAAAGTTAAACAAATCACACAAAGTACAAGGAGCTAGGCATATTTCTACAGGGAAACATAAACACTCTTTCTTTATGATTATCTCCAAATGAAATAGAATCATGATGTTGCATCACTTTTCAAACAAAGTTCAACAAATCAAAAAGTACAAGGAGCTACATCATAATTCTACATGGAAACAGAAACACTCTATATGATTATCTAAAAATGAAATAGGACCATGATGTTGCATCACTTTTTTCAAACAAATTTCAAGAAATCAAAAAGTACAAGGAGCTACGTCATATTTATACAGGGAAACAGAAACACTCTTTGAAGCACTTAGGGGTATTAAAGGCAAACTAATCAAGGAAATCAAATATTGATAAATGGCTGCCCTTATCTATTTTCCAGACATGACTCAGCAACTTTAGTAGTATAATGATTTATTTATAGTAAGTCAAGAAGAGAGGTAAACTCTTGATTCTTACCACACTTTGGGAAAAGTAAACAAATCAAAGATAATGAGAGCAGTTCTCTACAATCACATGATGATATGTCATGCCTGACTTTCCAAAAACAGATATGATTAACTGTTACTACTTTTTGTGCATGCATCAAATACTCATAGCATATACATGTACATGTATGTAACCATAATCATATATACATGTATATATACAAAGAAATAAGTATTTCAAAATTAGAATGAACTCACTGGAGAAAGCACAAAGGCAGTTTTTTTAAAAGTAGAGATCGCCCTTGTGATTTTAGTGCTTGTAATAAGACTCTGGTTTCAGAATCATGTCTTCAATTCTAAGCCCATGTGGAATGCTTTTCAAACCATACTGTCCCTAGGATTGTGGTCACCACACAAGATTATGAAAATACAATTTTTTAATTTTTTTTTTTAAATTGGGGGAAACTTACTTAAAAGCTACTACAAGTAATATTCATTAGGTATGCTATTTCACCGAGTGTAACCACAATCCTAATGAATGTTATATACATGTACACCACAATGCAAAACTTAACACTTATAAAGATCACCCTACTACAAGAAGTTCTTTTCTTTGAACAAAAGATAGACAAATCCAGTCCACCAATAAAACCTTTGGACAGCCAAACATTCAAGCCCAATCAAATATAAATTAAGATTAGATACAACTTTTTAAAATAAATCTAATCATTATTTGAATGAGCGATTTAGATCAAATCAATCAAATGAAATGATTGCAATCACATGTATCTTTCTTGCCTCACAATAGTATGAGATTAACTCATTTCCTAATGTACTTTACCTCTTGAATTTGCAATTAGATTATTCACATCTACCCCAATAATATTCTCCATTGCATTTGATCATAACGCATAAATAAATTAATGCAGTAATCGGTCATTTCAAATCAATGTTCCAGCTCACCACACAACCACACATTCTCTAACTACCGTATTCAGTGCAATACATGTATGTCCTGTATGACATTTATCCTTTATTTCATACAAAATGAAAATCTCTTGAATAATGAATAGAATAATGTTGGTAATATTAGAAAGAACCCTTATTCAAATGTCAAATCAAGACATTTTTATTTTTAATGAAATAAATGGATAGAATTAGAAGTCATTGCCGAATGGGTCAATGGGACATAATTGGAAGGGTGTAATCATTCTTTGACTTTAATATTCATCAAAAACATTCTGATCTTCTACGTATAGACATGTATTTTGTACATACATGTACATTGGGATAACCTACCTGCAAGTCGATATTTCTCAGGTTCTGCTAAGCGCAGCAACCTCCAGATCTCTGATTTCTTTGGAACTTTCACGCTAGGGATGGCATCGTTCCTGGGCAAGTCTTCCGCGGATTTCTTGAATCCATTTCTCCTGAATAACGAAGAGTGAAAACTTCTCCTGGTAGTACTGGCAAGGGTGCTGCATCTTAACGATCTCAGTATCGACCTGCAATACTGGTTAGTCCTGGGAAAAATCCCAAAACTACCATAGATCCTTGCTGATGTGAAAGACGAATGGGGAGTCACTGCTGCTCTTCTTGTGAATGTCCTGGACACAAAATGGCAACAGTCGGCAATTTGTTTTGTCCTGTTCAAACTGTTCGAGATGATGCATTTTCCATAAACAGGTACACGATGCACCAATGTGGAAGTACTGAGCAGATACATTCTTGGGTGAGCTTTGCCTTTGCTGATGAATGAGCTCTCTTCTCTTCCTTCTGTATAAATTCAGAAAGAAAATTTAGGCAATGATACACTCTTGCAAAACATTACAAATCTGGCATATCCCTAATGCTGTGGAATAGAGCTACCTAAGCAGATCTATCATTATTCAATAAATATTTAGCTACTGTAACATTGTGGCTTTCATTATACTAATCACAATTATATACCTCTCTTTAGAAATCTAGCCATCTGATTGGTGGAAATTGGAGCCATGAATTTAGCCATTCCCGCCTACCGGTCAACAGTCTTTTAAAAGATGCCCGCATGCCCCGGTCAACGGGGCCGCATAAATAAATTTTGGAGAGATCCCCATTGGTTTACGTGTAAAAAGTTTCTTTGTGCGAGCACGGATACTAAGGCTGTGCATAAGCATGTAATGAGGTACTCGAATTACACAACCAGGCTTACAGGCGGATACTCGAGAATTCGGCGGCCATTTTTTTTTTTTTTTTTAAATTCATGCATGTTCGCGCGCACCCCACTGTTGGCATACACTTGTATTGTGCAGCGGTATGCTGCGAAACCTTTGAGAAAGTGTATACTATAGATCTGATACCAAATCATGATATTTCAGTCAAACCTTCTATTTTTTTGCTATTTTTTCAGCATCCTTACAAGGTAAAAAGTATTTTACTTAAGTTGAGGTCTTACTTAAGTTTGAAGAATTCTCATTTTCGTCATATTTAAGGTACAAAGTGGCAAGTTGTACTGAAATATTTGTTGAAGGCAGTGACAGCGGCTAGTCTTCCTCCATCCTATACATGCCGCTTGTAAATAAATTGTATTATAGTCATGCAGTAGGGGCGTTGGTCCGAGAATAAGATCGTCCATACAAACGAGGATCGTCTACGTAAACGCGGACAGATATGTCCACAAAAATAAGGATCCTCCACATTTTCACTGACGATTCCGATTTCCGTTCCGCACATTGACTATGCAAAAGCTGGATTACTCCACTCCAGCAAAGCATAGAGAGTCAATGGTAATGCGTATTGACCTCTAGCACTGCACTACGTGTTAAAGGGCCCATGTGCAGTCCTGCATACATCTCATATATAAACTTCTGGATTTGTTTCATAGATTTGTAAATATTTTTTTAAATATTTGTTTTTCAAACTTGCTAAGCTCCACCCCAAAAACCTCCAGATCTCATTCCCCTTGTGACATCATCTGTCAGTCATCAATGAGCTAACTTGAGAAAGTGGTATGCATCTTTGCCGAAGTCGACCACCCGTTACAATACGTAATACAATAGCAACATACACGTTGCTTTGTCAGACATGTCAGAGTAAACTAATATCTAATTTCCCCCAGCTTAGCACACATTCATAATAGAATTGCATGCTTCCATACATATGTACAATACATCATCATTGCCTTTGTCTTCCTGGTGATGCTACAGCATGTCTGAAAGTTTGAAGGTGGACTCACAATTTAAATTTTTTAATTATTCTTTCTAACATCGGAAAGTTGAAAAAATTGTATTTTACTGTGTGTTATTTAGGTGTCATCAATCGTCACTAAAGTACCGATTTTTAGTGAAATCAGTTGAGTTTTGTACAGTGGTGTTTGAAATGTTGAGAATCAATAGCACAGCTTTTAATACACAGCCAGGATAGTAATGCACCTATGTTAGGCACATTCATGGGGCACTAGAGGGCGCTTCGCTCGCGTACAACAATCTGAATGGCCTTGCTGCGGTGGGTCAGCCCAAAACTTGGATATGGGAGGTTGGAAGGATATATCTTTTTTATAATGTTATCGGGTCTTACCCTTAACCATCCTATGTTTAATCTATGTAGAAATAACATGCGAGTGTGATAAGAGAAACATCGGGCCCATTACTGAAGTAACTTTTTAAATATTAGCCTAGAAATGACCACCAAACGGAAAAAATTGACATTTTTTCCCCGACAAATCTTCATAAAATCTGAGTTATAAACAAGTCACATCTAGGTACACTAATACAAATACGATTTTCTGAAAATTCAGGTATGATTTATTAAGTTTCTTTCAAGTATATTTCTGCGCATTGCAGCGCCAATATTCTACACTGCTTCAAAATCACACTTGAATTTTTTTTTTGCAACGAATTTGATACGAGGTCCGCGAGTGTTCCCCATTCCTTGCGTGTTGAAAGTTTGGTAATACATAGTTTGCATTGACTCGCGCACGAAAAAATGGTCGAAAACAAAATGTCAAATGAAGAAATAAACAAGCTTTTGTATAGTTACAAGAGTTCTACCGAGGTTTCTTTGTCGATTCAATTGATTTCAATTAGAATTCAGAATTATCTCACTGAAAAGTTAAGAAACCGACGATGTTCTCGATCTTAGTTATTTTCATTTTGCCAGCAGCCGATCTAGCGTTGTTTGGGCAAAAAGCTAGGCCGCTGCCTTCCCACGCGAACCCTTCTGAGTCCCGCTAAAATGGCGCTCTGCGGAGCTCCGAAGCTGCGTTGGTATCGCTGCAAACTCTCAGCCGGCTAGCTCCCCACGAAGGACCATTCGCGGTATGGCGAGAGTGTGTGTGTGAAGTATGATTTTGGATTCGAGAACGCACGTAATGCAACCGTGCGCGTCATTTTCAGCTGTCGAATGTATACGACCAATTTTACATGTACGATTTTTAGTACAGATACTTGGTCAGTTTTCTTCTTATATCTTTGGTTTTACAACATTTAAAAATATAATTTCTTCAAATTTGCTCCTGACTCGGTTCAGACTAATTGTCTGATGTGTTTTCAAGTCAATTTTTTTAATATATTTTTTTGCATGAATTTGCCTACCTATGTGTGGATTACGCTATGATTTTCTTGATGCATTTTACATTGACTTTGTACAGAGACTTTCACATTGTGAGCGATAAATCCTCGGGAAGACGGACAATTAACCCATAAAGGTAGATGGTGAACTGGGAGTATTTTATTACACGGAATCCTTTTTTTCAGTTCATCAGCACGTGGATCGGAAACCCAAAACCCGCAGAGCACCGAAGAACAAAAATGTAGACGATCCTCATCTTTTTTAGGACGCATTTTGTCCCCATAGACTCTACATAGACTAAGACTTATCCTTGTATATTTAGATGATCCTACTTGAATCTTCTTCTTCTTCCTTTTTGAGTACAGACCTCTTTACAGAGTATTATCGTACTATACTGGGGGTGTGTGCAGGTGGACCACTACGTACGAATAGTGCAGTGGGTTCTTAACGTGCAAAGGGAGCGACTCTTCTCTACACAGGGCCTCCGTTTAATGTCCTATCCGAGGGACGGAGTATTTTCCACTGAACATAACCTGCGTCTATGAACAAGGGAAGGGGCACACTAACACACAACGCAGGCTTCAGTCATCCGCCTGGGTGGGAGTTGAACCCTGGATCTTTGGTTCGACAGGCAGACGCTTGCCTCTACTACTAGTACTAGTTTACGATTACCGACTGAGCCAACTCGAATGGATGTAAATTGCGGTTAACACACACACACACACACACACACGCACATAGTTTGCAAGAATCCTCAGTCCATTGAAGGAGGCAGACTTAATCATGCAGAAGAAGAAGAACTAACAAGAATTAGAAGGCCTAAAATAAATCCTAAACTTTAAATTTAACCACTGCAAATATCAGTATGTGGGACTAAACATCAATATTAACACTTTACTAACACTTGTTTCATAGCGCTAAATTAGCTCAAAATTGAAAATTTTAAAACTTCAATGTGATTTGAAGTTATTGATCTTCTCACCTGGCACCTGAGATGTCTTATTTTCCAGTCTCAACTCGGAATTTATTGGTTTGTCCGGTCTCGCTTTGATCCGAAAATTCGCCGACGCCTCCTCATTTTAAACCGAACACAGAGGGCGCTAGACGAACAACAAACGTTGGCTTGCAAATTATTGTGTAGTCCCACATATGCACTTGCGAAACGTAGGTGCAGGTTCATTTTTCTGTCACTTTGGTAAAAAAAACTTCAAGGTCCAGATTATTCCAAATTTGCCTGGAGCTTGAACATGGATGAAGATCATGATCAAGCACTTAGTAATGTTCCCTTCCGTATTGGAAGAGCTGGAAGTGGGAATTATGACGACGATGGGGAAAATGAAAGGTTAGTCAAGATTCCAAGAAGACAAGATTCTGAGTTCTGAGTCTGACTGTAATTTTTGTAATTGTAGGCCTAAAATTAAAATGTTTTATTTTTAAGTAATTCGATTGCTTTTAATATTACTCTTGTTTATGAAAAAAAGTTATACATATAGACCTAAACCTATAAAATGAAATAAAAAGAAAAGATGATTGATAATGTCGATGATCATTGATGGTGCAGGGAATAATTTTCCTGGTATCGCATCGCAATTTGCTATGCATTTTTGCATGACTGCTATACAAAATATCTTTTGTGTAGCAGTTTTCTTCCATAGAAATGTACAGAATTTCATTTGAAATATTTATCCATCGGCTGAAATTGCTAATCAAAAAATTTGAGGAAAATTATTCCCTGTGGTGATTAATGATGATGATTTTTAATTGTTGATGGTTTTTAAAGATGATGATCGATGCTAAATATTAATGATAATGGTAATGGTAATTATAATATTTATAATCAAATAAAATAATTGCCTTTGTTGTGGTTGGCATATCATCATAAAGACATAGTCTAGAGTCTAGACCTTAGTACAATAGTAATAATCATGAAAACAATAATAATATTAAGAGGAACAACAACAAGAATGATAATTTGATAACAATCCAATTCCAATTCCAAGTACAAAACATGTACAAATTCAAATGAATGATAAATAACCTTTTTTAAAAAAATATTCAGCAGTCCAAAAATACTGTGAAGTTCGAAGAAAATATATAGCATAATCTTGATGATGATCGAGTTCTGGGTTATGGAAGTCTGACAAACCTTTTTGATGGAGTTAAGTTGATTGATGAAATCATTCTAGAGACTATTATTTAATACTACATGTAGGCCTAAAAAGTCTACATTCAAATGCTCCAATGATCTTGTCTAGCGCGCTCTCCTCGAGATATCAATAAAGACGTAATGCCGTAAAGGTTAAAGAATGTAGGATTCAAGTAATACAAGTCAATCTTATTTTATTAGTATATGTATACATCACTAGCACCTCTATTCTAAAGACGATTATTCTGCAACATATATTGATAAGCTCTTTAGCTGATTTGGTTTTGTGAGCATAATGTAGATCTAAACGAAAAGTCATAAAGTAGAGAATTTACATTTAAAAGTCTTTAATTTTCAAGAGCTTCTGTTTCATCTTCTCTCTCTATCTCTCTTTGGTCATGTATGCAGTTCAGAAGATGAGCTTGACATCATCCTGCATGGGACTCCAGAACAGAAACGTCGTTTGACGAGGAGTTTGAGCCGAGGCAGTCTTCAGATGTCCTCCAGTGATGATGATTTTGAGAAGGAGATGGAGATGGAGCTGGATGCCAACATGATTTTACATGAGAAACAATTCAGGACAGATGGTGAGTTAATGAAAATAGGAAAAAGGGGGAGGGGAAAGAAGAAAAGAAAAAAAGTGACAGGGAAAAAAAAGATGCCTCAAATGAAAACGAACACACAGGCAACTAAATTTCCAGTCTGACAATGTATGAAGGCAAGCAATATAATGTAGCAATCAGTATTGTTTTGTTGTGAGGTGCTATGAAAATGAAATAACTTGAAAATCAATGGAACTATTTTAGTTTTATTCATTTATTTTGTATTTCTTATTTTTTGGTTGGGGGGGGGGGGGGCTGATATATCCTTTCTGGGTGAAAATAGAGCTCCTTCTGTATCATTGAGGTATCAGAGCTTTCAACATCTACACATTCATTGTTAATGCTCCTGTGTAATTATGCTTTGCATAATAGTAATTTAGTATATAAAATGATAATGGAGGCACAGTGGCACACCCTTAACCGATTCACTCATACGTCATATAAAAAATGTACTTTATCATAAACTCAAGCATCTCTCATGATTGTCTTTGCTAACAGTGGAGAAAAAACTGACTGCTGCAACCAGAGCACAACAGACCCAGTCATCAGCTGCATCAGGGGGGCTTCCAGGATCGTCATCCGAGCAGCAGTGCTATGATGAAGTCTACTTTGACTCCGACGATGATGAGGACAAAAAGGAAACCCCGGTGGAGGGTGCGAGAGCAGGTGATGGTGGTGATCAAGACAAGGAGCAAGGTATGCTTGTTCTTAAAGCCAGTCTGTACTAATTTGGCCTGGAGGGATTAGACCTCCCTGCAAGGCCACTGACAGATGGTTATCTCATCAATTCAGCTTTCAATTAACATAAGAAATGGGGATCATGGGGGACCAACAGGCACCGTTTAGGCATCGTTTCCTACATAGAGGGCGCAAGTAGCTATAAGTAGTGCAGTGGGGCTTTAAAGGTGTCGTGCTGGAAGCAGTTATGAAGTAGGACTCCTGTGAAGTTAGTTAAGTAATATTAATATCCTCTACCAAACAAAAGTATTAAAAAGCATTCAGATAATCTTTATTTGTGGAAATGAAAATGTATTAGTTGGTAAAAAAGAATTATGATGTTGTTCATGTTATAGCTAGCAAAATACATGTGAAAATGTAGTTGTATCGTTGTCGTGCTGTGGTGCTCGCATCTATCTTTAATTATTTCACTGAAATATTGTTGTTGAATATAATTTTTTGGTAGTTTGTAAAATATTCAGTGTAAACTGTAAGGATTCGTGTTTTGTTATATCGAATAATAAAATAACATTACATCTAGGTGTTACGAGGTTGCCTCTGCAAATGGTTCAAGATATCAGCGCCCAATATTCAAGCACTTGGCCTTTTAATTCTTTTTGTATCATCCCATATAGCAAAAAAGCAACACCGCATTCCAACCAACAAGGATCTTCTGTATGACCCAAACATCGATGAAGACAACCAGAATTGGATGAACAAACAGAGAGCAAAGTACTACCCCAACAGGGCGCCAAAGCGATCACATGACCAGACCTCCTCTGAAAGTCCCTCTGGAGCTGGCAATCCCGCCCAGCCATCGCAGACACCAAAACCCGATAAGGTCACGGGCGCAACGTGTCCACCGTCTATTCCAAAGACAGACGCCATCTTGAACTGTCCAGCTTGTATGACGACACTTTGCATCGACTGTCAGAGGCATGAGCTCTACACCAACCAGTACCGCGCCATGTTCGTCATGAACTGCTGCATCATCAGGAGCGAACAGCTGAGGTATCCTGAATCCAAGAATAAGAAGAAGAAATGGAGGAAGAAGAAGCGGAGGCACGAGGAAACAATGGAGGGAGGGGAGGCGGATGAGGAGGAGGGGAGTGGAGCCGCGGGTGATGAACTGTTCAATCCTGTCAAGTGTTCCATTTGCAACACTGAAGTGGGCGTCTTGGACAAACAGGAGATCTTTCACTTTTTCAATGTATTGTCAAGTGCTGCTTGAATACTTGCACTTTGACTCAACAGACTCCACATGTGAATATCTGTTGTTACCCTGCACTGGGGCTTCAGTTTTCTCAGATGTATATTCTGACATATATATATGGAGGAATTGTACTGAATATCGAAATGAAACTTGTAATTATTTTTCTATATCAGATGAGAGCTACAATAAAATAGACATTTCTTATACACAAAGTAAGAATTTTGACCATCAAGAAATCTATCAAGAATTGCTAATGTCCAATATTTTGTCGTACAAAATCTGTTAAATTTTGAAAGCAATAATGTAACTACTCATGCTATACCTGCTACTGTTATTTGTATTGATAATCACCTCTACTTTTGCTAAATCTCTTGTACATTTTCTCCTCAAAATTTATTTTGGGTGGTATTACGAGTTTGTAATAGGGCTACGTTATTGGAAGTAAAGAGATGGTGCGGATATTTAAAAAATTAATTATTGGCATAAAATACTACCCCCCATCACAATGAATTGTTTATACTGTATTCTCAAATATTCTTTTTTAAGGGTGTAGACATCACTTTGATAGGACAGAGCCAAATTTGTTACAAATAAAAGTTTCGTCAGGCCGACACACCCGAGTGTGCACATAGAATTTGTAGCTACTAATTGGTATTATGACTGTTTGAATGTTGTGCAATACCTTTAAGAAGTGATTGTTTATTTTCAGGATCAATGTGCATCAGACTTTAATGGAGAATATATTTTATTCTGGTAGTGTTAATTTCTTTTACATCTAATAAAGTTTATCAAAATTGAAAGTTTGCAGCCAAAGTCCAGCCCGTTTCAGATCATGTATTAAAGCAGGTTATCAAGGCTAAAAATTGATTTATTTAGACCAACAGCAGATAAAACACCTACAGGGAGAAATGTGTAGTTGTATGCTCAAATGTCATTCACAGGACTAGATGAAATTAAACCTCAGAGGAAGCATGTTTATGATATACATAATGTTTTCATATCTTTTATTTTACTTACTCTTGATCAGTAGTGACACGTTACTGACATTGCTGCATATACAGTAGGGACACACATTGAATGATCAAAATAGTCAAGATTTCAATTAAATGTGCACAGAATGCCACTCACAGGAGCAGTGTTTGACAAGAGAGAGCATCAACAATTAAGCTGGAAGATGGGGTGGTATTCTTAAAATCATTTTATCTCTGATTTTCAAGGAGATATATTTATTAGTCATAACAAATCAATATTGAGATAAGTACAATTGTAGTACAAATAGCAATTATCCATTCATTTAAACCAAAAATAAAATAAGTTTCAGAATACCACCCAAGATCATTTGCACATCATTTGCATACAGCACACATTGTATGTGGTACTACAAATAGCTGGTATTCAGAAAACCACCATATCAGAACTATTATCAATCACTGTGTACAGACACTGCCCTTTCCTAGCTTGCCCTCACCCTAGCCCCCCCCCCCTCAATTTTTCTTGTAAATTAGAATAGATGCACAGTATAGCTGAAACAGAACATACAAATACTAAACAAAACTCTTACATTTTCTACATGGACTTTAAATATACTCTAACTACGTTTCCTAATAACTAGTATACAATATAATCTAGTTCAAGGTCTTTAAATGAAAGATGCCTCCATTTCAAATCTGAAGACTTTGATAGTTTTACTGCCTGCTTTGTAAGGAACATGTATTCCTTTGTCTACTACTTAGCCTATGAAGTACAAGCCCTCAACTGGAAGAAGAAAAAAATTGATTAAAAATATAAAATATTTGCAGAAGAATGAAACTTTTAATAAATCTCTCCGATATCGTCCAATACCAAGTGAATTTCAGTACTTAAATATTTTGACTAAACATGCAGCAAAACCTGAAATGATATATATATCTTCACCTTTTCTTAAGGATAGACACATCTTTATGCTTCACATTGTTCTTTTAGAACAAGAATAGCTCAAATTAAGAGTGGTTTAAGAGCTTGCAAGGAAAAGCACCAGTTATTAAAAGCTACACCGAATGCATTAAAAAAGTTTAGTTATCCCCCACAAGAAAACTTCAAACCTCTGTTAAGTTACCATTATCCTTTACGCAAACTATTGATTATTTTAATCCTTGTATTATTTTATATCCTTCCATGCCATAAAATGCACAAAAGCTCAATTTTTTCAATTTAAAATTGGCTTTGACTGATGAATGCTACTTATCAAATGTGTTTGGCGCATTGTGCTGAAAGACAAAATAAACCAAACTGTCTGTCAAACTTGGTTTTAGGTAAATACAAACAAAGACAGAATTACAACATAAATATTTCAAACATTTCTGGGGAAGATTAAAAAACTTATGAAAATGTCTAGAAAAAAAAAATCAATCTGGATGTCTTCCGCTTCCAACAGCTGGAAAAATTGGAAATTAAAAAATCTCTAATATTTCCTTTTTAAATTATATTTTCTCATAAACCTTATCAATAACTCTATCTACTACAGCTATGGAATGTAATAACAGGGCTAGAATAGATGAAGAAGAATGGAGCAGGAGAGCTCTGAACAGGCAAAAACTGATTTGACATAAATCAGAAGCACATCACAACAATCAAATGATACTTTATAAGTAATTTCTTGAATCATACAGTACAAAAACAAATAACCATGAACCATTATAACACAACCTGTACACAATCATCCTGCAAAGAGGCAATCGGTACACTTCTAATTCTTCAATATCGATTGAATCATCGTCGGGTATCAAAAATATCAAAATAGACATTCAAGCTGAAGATATGCTACACGACAGGCAATTACCTGATGAAAATTAGTTCATAAGAAGCAACTTTTCATGAAAAACAAAGCAATCAAATCACTTCAAGGAATCCGACACCATGAACATCATCTTTAATATAAATACAGCTTAAAATATTGAAATATAAATCATGTTTTATACAGTAACAGAAATGTTTAAACAAATTGTTCCCATTCTGTGCACGTATTGATGGTCTATTTGATTGAAGTACTTTTAAAGAGTTTACAGGAGATAAATGGAAAGATAGCAAATTCATATAAAAATAATAGTTGAATAGTATCAATTGATACATGTAAATATAAAAAAAATGGATCTAAATTGTATGATTTCCAATCCCGCATATTATGTTCTTCAAATGGCATTTGTTTAACAAAATTGAATTTTATTCTATTCATTCATAAACAAAGAATAATTCTCTAACACAAATAAATGATTAAATCATAAGCTCTATTTCTTACCTCTGCGACCAAACAAGCTGTTGTGTTTCATTAATAAACAAAGTTTACCACAACAACAACAAAAACAAAAAATACTACGAAAATATGATGATGGCATGAGTGCTGCAAGAAAGCAAGATATAACTCTGAAACGTACAAAATATCACATCATGCAATTCTTAAATCAATGCCGGGCTGATGTCACTAAACTGCAATGTCTTTCCAATCCATGGACTTTCTTTGGCCATACTGGGTGGTAACAAGGGGATGACAGGGGGCAATGTAGGAGATACTTCAACTGAAAGCAACTGTCTTTGGTTACCTAGTCGTCGTGAAACTTCAAATTATCATTTCAATTCCCTCAATACCTACACACAGATGCCACTATACACTATCTTACAAAAATATGAACTATATACCTTAACATTTTTTTTGTACGGCCGATTGTTTGTCGTATTTCATATCTACAGCCTAGCTAGGTTTGGTGAATTACTGGTTTTGGGTACAAGCTAGCACTTTGGGGTGTGGGTGGGTTAAAGAAGAGAAGATAATCTACATGTAAGTACTTGTATCAGTAGGCCTGGGAACGCATTATCATATTAAAGCAGAAGAGTTTTTTCTTCCTTTCCTTTCTCAATTTAAGACATTTCAATATGCCTATTGCGTGTCCATTTTCAACAGATGATTCATTAACAACATTAACTTACATATTTTCTTAGTTTGTTTCGTTTCTATATCAAGCTTTCTCGTGAGCCATAATAGTAACATGATTTTTCCTATAATACACTGACAGTGAATGATTCTATGTCATAAACCATACAATACTAGCGGCAAATGCATTTCAGGTTCTGACAAGGTCAACTTACTGTAATTCAAGTAGCAATAGCTCCTGTCTGATTTCTTTTTCCTCTTTCAATAATTTCATTCTCATTCATTCTATGTACAAAGTGAGCTTACGAGCTAAAAGGCATTCCGAGGTGTTCGTTTATCTCACCGACATGGTACTTGCAAAAATCGATATGCCAGTGGGCGATTGATTAATACAGTTATAAAATAATACGATATCTTGAAAGAATAGCCAGTATATATATATGGATAGGGCATATCTGATTCTACTATCAGCTGGTTTAGCCAGCCTCAAGGCATGTCTTCTTTCAGTGATGCTAAGGTGTTCCGCAGCAGCTGGACTTGTGCCTGAAGAAAAGACACAGAGAGAGAGAGGGGAAAACAAGATATGGTCATTCAATGAGCTCAATGAAGGGAAAACAAAGAACAAGGGTGCAAAGGCAAAGTTTCAGTAGTAAGAATAACAAATTGGTACAAAAATGAAGGCAAAAAGAAGTTTGTTGATTACAATAATACAGGTACAATTTTATTGTTTTTCATCCCCCCCCCAAAAAAAAAAAAAAAAAAATGAAGATAAATACATCAATCAATCAATAACTAAATCAAATAACATAACAAATAAATAAAGTAAAAAGTTATGAATGGAAACAAATAATAAAGAATATTTAAAGAATATGGATAAAAGAATAATACCCATTTGTGTAGTTAAACTAGATACAAAAGTTGTTACAACTGATAATTCAATTTGATTCATGGAATTTCCTATTCTATGATCTTACATGACAATTACTGCACATTCTCAATCTCAAAGGAGAAAGAAGGGTATGATTCTGACATCACCATCTCTCCTTCTTACCTTGGCGTGCTTGAGTTCTAGCTCCGCTAGTTCTGTGAGGTTCTTCCGATAGGCAACCACCCTCCTCGCTTTGAAATCTGTCAGCTCCCCCTTGGCAACGTCTGACATCTTCTCAAACTTCTCACACGCTTCCGTCTGGTTCCTCTCCGCTGCGTGCACATCCTTGTTCTTCATACGGGCCTTCTCTAGAGCCTTGTTGGCATTCTGGTAATTGACAAGCGCTCTCATGCGTCTGTACAGAAGATCCTGGTAGAGAAAAAAGTGATAGGGATGATACTACAGTATTTACACAAAATGCATCAATAGACATCCAGGAAAATTGATGAGAAGGGTTCACTTTTTCCTGATGCATCTTAAAAATGTTGAAATAAAAGGAAATACCTTGTGCTAGTCTATATTGCAATTCAAAATACCATAGATAAATAATATCTAAAACCTTCATTGTTTTTCACATGGGCCATCTTAGATAAATCACCAGTACATCTACAGTTTAAAAGCCAAACAAGAATCTTAATACACATCCCTCTCTTCTGCCCATTTGGAAAAAATTGTTCATTAATTCCTATTTAGGGTACATACTCCTATTAAATGGGGGTCAGACAACTGAGCCTGCAACATTTTATTCACTCTTAAGATCATCAAATATTGATAGTTAGGGCTCGACTTCTAATTTTGTTTTAGGTTAGGTGTAAGGACCAGGTTGAGATAAGGAAAATTTCGGATAGGGAGTTGAAAGGAGGATGATTGCAGAGAATATGTTGCACAAATCATTCACAATATACCAGCATGGATTTGTTTGAAATGGATTCTACAGACATGGTGTAATCATATTAAGGGGCCTGTTTCTTGAAAGCCATCACAAGTCCAACTTGTTAACGAACTTAGACTTATGAAGGCTTGGTGAAACTGTACCCTGCAAGATAAAAAGCCGTCGAGATTTGGTAGGAATCCAATCCAAAAGATATTTGATATAGCGCCTTTTCTTTGCAGTTACAAAGCGCTGCACACTCCACAATGTTTGGGCCACTTAAAAACAAAAGTTAGACACTTCTCAGAGATCAGTTATGTAGGCTGGTAATAAAGTAATTTCTAGCAAAATAGATGTGACTTGAGTAGTTTCTTGAACTGGTCAACAGATGAGGCCGTCTGCACAGCAGTAGGTAGTTGGTTCCACAGGAAGATATAAAGAGAAAGTTACCTTTGCTGCAGATGAATCTCTCATGTAATAGCGTAGGAGATCAGACTGCTTCAGATCCTCATCAGAGGCAACGCGAGCTTCAAGTTTCTAAAACAAGACAGGAGATAGAAAGATTCTTTATAGCAACCCAAGATAACATTCATATTTAGAGACTCGACTCGCAAAATCAGGCTAATGCTGCCATGGTGGTGATATGCTTATGAAAAATATTTACCAAAATAAAATCTAGGGTCTTACTATATCAACAGTAAACATGCTATTATCATCCTAAAGAAAAGGTAATATGTAGATCTGATGTAAAAAATAACATTACACACAAATTGTGTTTGATCAAGTTTTGATTGTGAAATTAAATAGATCTTTAGCTCAAATTCACCTAAATCAACTTAAAACATTTGATGTGGGATACTTTTTTAATTACTTACGTGGCTGATTTATACTTGTATCAATATTGGATTTCCAAGTTACTTATATTCATAAAGGAGGATATGTTTTTTCACGATGTGTATAGATATGTAGCAATAATATACACGTCCCAGACTCGAAGAAAATATTGCAACATTTACTTACTCTCAACTTTTCAAATGTCTCTGCTATTTTGATGAAGAATCTACAGGGATGAAGAAGAAAAATGAAATGCAAGGTGTGACTTCATATATACAAACATGGCAATTATATACAAATAGCATCTGAAAGGAAACTAAAACTAAAATGAAGCATGTGAAACACCCAACATGAATGGAACATGCTCACTTTGCAAACATTACAATATCAAAAAAACATCACAAAATGAAAAGGACAATAAAGTAAATTGAAAAGAATTGTCTCATCTTGTGTTTCTGTTGATGCCCACAATCAAAGGAGTTGGTTATTATAATTTATGGCACGTTGAGGTGTAGACCTAGACTACTTTCATGTTATGCATTTCCCTTCCATAAAATACATTTTCTACAAGTTTCCTTTTTAATTTTTAATTATCAACAGAATCAAATTGTCAACATTTTTTCTCTAAAGTTCTTATTTGCTTTTTGTTTTACCCCAAACAACCTATTACAGAATATAAACAACTTTTCAAAGACTCACACATTAGCATAAAGAGGTAACCTATAAGTCCCGGGTAATGATTCTATTCATACTCACTTGTCTAGCTCTGTCTTGTCTATTGTTCCAAGCCCCAGCAAGCCCCCTGATATTTTGATGTATGTGTCTGCTACATCTGAAGTGGAAAAACAAATATAGTCAGTGTATTTAACAGGTACTAAACATTTGCACAGCATTCATTTGTAATTTCAGGCAAATGTAATTAACCAGAACATACATTTAAATTTTGTATAATTATGCAAATTACTATGCTGCAGATAAAGATTGTAAGTTGAATTGTATTAAACCTTGAAACTCATTATTCAAGAATATTCCACTAACATACTCAATACAGAAATCAGTCAGTGGAAGATGTTTGTTTCTGTTGACAAATTATTCTTTCACCTTATATGGTCATTCAAAGGGTATGTCCCGAGTATGATCGGTATAACTTTCAGTATCCTTCTAATTTGTATTTGCACACATCATTCCTGCCATGAATGGGTGCATATTTATTTTTATTTTTACCTTTGTGTGATCTCGTCATCTTGTCTGATTTCATAGTTGCATCTTTGACCTTGTTATGGTACTCCACTAGGAAGTTCTTCTCATGCTCAAAGAAAGAATCAACGTCCTATAAAAATACAAATAAAAACATAATGTATGGTTATACCGTGTTTTCCAGGCAAGAATTCTTACATCAATGTTATGAAAGTCTAAGGAAAGTCTACTTGTTACTAATGAATACCAGATCGACTGAAGAAAATGTAAAAATGTAAAAATGTAGGTTTCAAACATAAGGATAGCATGAAATGTCCTCTACAGATGGCCCATCTACTTAACTAGAAGAACAGTAGATGCTTCTCATTGCTATCTTTGGATGTTCCCCACTGGCATGTAACAAAGTCTAAGACTTGTAGAGTAATATATTTCGACCAATGTATGACTGGTTCTCTAACAGTGAGATAAATCTTTTGAGCACTGAATGCCTAGTTGCTAATTGCACACAATTATGAAAATACTGGTTGATGGCAATTTTTCAAAACCAGTGTTTACCTTTACCTTTTGGCCTGACACTAATACTTCATCCACTGACTTGGTGACAAATTTCATGAGTCCACTTAGCCTCTCTTTCTTGTTCTTCCCACGGACATTTAGCTGCAAAGAAAAAATGAATACATGCTCACTTTATACATTATACATACATGCCAACATTTGAAAATCAGAAATCTGTACAAATTATGCTATTTAAAAAAAAAAGAGGAACAATCCTAACTCTCCTATTCAATACTACAGACAAATTTGTACAGGAAGAGGAACACCTGCATTAAAATGATAATTATCTTCTCCCAAAAAGAGGAATGTTCCTCTTTAATCTGAACAGTTGGCATGTATGCATTATACATCAATATTTCAATATTATGTTGAGTTCATATCTGCATAAAGGCATTATCTTTAAAAAACATTATTCTTTCAATGCAACTGTATAATAATAATAATAATAATCTTTTAAAGTCCATTCTAAATTTTATTAAGTTAAACCGAAAATGGAAACTCTTTTTGCCCAATTGATCGTGAGCCCGGCAGCGACTGAGCAGCACCAGATCGACGTTGCTCTATCCCCTATTGTTGAACGCCAAACAAGGTAGCAGCAACTCCCGTCTTTTAACGTCTCTTGGTATGACGCGGCCGGGGTTCGAACCCACGACCTCCCGGTTGTGAGGCGGACGCTCTACTGGCTGAGCCAACACACTGGTATATGCTATGTGCCCTACTTTTAAGGTTAGATACTCTAATATCTGAGGGCAAAAGGTAAGTGAGGATGAATGCCTAACCCCTAGCACAATAATGACATTCCAAGCACTTGATCTTCATGTTCTGCAACCACTACTCTAACCATTCGGGTCCAAGCTTGCCTGTTTGGTTCTCTCTAGATCTATACTCACATCTTGCTTGTATTCCAGGAACACTCTGAAGTTATGGTCATTTCTAAGGATGGCATGGGCAGCTAGACGTTGTAGAAATACCTCATGCATGGCTACTGTCTTCTTGAATGTTGCGAGGTATTCCCTGTAAAAATAGAATCAATTCAGGTGAAAATCCACTCATTACCAGGATGACAAAACAATTTATTTTCTGTTAAATTATTAAGAGTATTTGATAGGAACAAGACCATTTTCACAGAGCATGCTACATGCTAAACCTGATAAACATGCATCTCCAGTAGACTTGAAAGGCCAACTGAATAATACTGTATGTACAGAAAGGTGCATAAAGCATTTTATTTATACCGGAAGCTATGGTGACAATCCATGACCCTACTAAGGGCTGTTTTAAATGTGTAAGTTGTGTAAAAGCCAAGTCAGGTAGTATTGAAGGCCCATTTAACAAAATAACAAATAAAAAATTCAATTCAATAAAATATTTGTAGCGCAAAGTCACAAAAGGAACATTTTGCCATTTGATCAAGATGCCAGTGTATAGGCTAACATCTTTGTGTAACATCAGTATGTAAACACACATCAACATCATTAGAGTTCAATTTATTGAAGAGTGCCATGTCTATACTTGCTATTAGAGCTAGACTACTGGCATTTCTTTCTTCTACCAAATGTGGGAAGCAACTACAGATCCAATGAGTGGTAATGATGACTTACGCTTCTAGTTCTTGCTTCATCTTGTTGAACTCTTCTTTGGTCATAGTACCTTCTCCTTCACCAAGCTTCTGGAGCTTCTCCCTTGAGGCATCAAAGTCTGGCCTGGGAGGGGCTGGTGGAATCTACATTACATAATCACCAATAATTTCAAATTAGATTTGAAGCATTCTTGATAATTCTCACATATGAATCTTTATCTAAACAGTGTCAGGAATAATGTATTCTCAATTTCAAACTGTAGAACTTTACTTCTCTAAACATGATGTACATTATGTTTCAAAAACACAGTGTAATTTCAACAATTCTAATAAGCATGGTATTTTTCATATCAAAGTTAAACCTCTATCCATGTAAGGTATATGAAGATTGAAATGAATAAAATATTTCTGTGGTTTAAAATTGTAAAAAGTTTCTGGCAAGTAATTAAGCACCAAATTTATTTTACCATTTGATATACTCACTAGGTGTCAAAAATTCCTCATTGGGTTTAATGTAATTATGCCCCTCTGGATGTATGCATGTAAAATCTGATCTTTTTCACTTCAATGTTCCATAAATTATAGGAAAATAATAGTACCTTTCAAAGATATCTTCAATTTTTAAGTTTTGTAATCCTTTGACAACTTAAATCTAAAATTTTCAACACAGAATTAATTTGTTTAACCTTCTGGTAAGGTGAATAAATACATGTGATGACTTACAATGATTCCTCCATAATCCTCATTTTCTTCATACATGGTGTGAAGCCAGATGAACTCTTCATGTTCCCTCTGTACAGAGAATTCACTCTCACTGAACTCGGGTAAGGTAGTCTATAATCACAAACAATAAAACAAAAGAAGAGGAAGAAGAAAGAACAAGATTTAGTCAAGGGAAGTTAAAAAAACCGAATAAATTCAATTGAGAAAGAGGTCGTACCAAAAACTTTTGTATGCATTAAATACTCTAGTCATAGCAACAAAACACAAACGGTACATGTACAAGATCATCAATAAAATCAGTGTGGTGGTGGACTGGGGTACTAGCTTCTGATGGAAAACAAACCACAACTTGTATAATAGGTACATGCACAGAATATGTCAGGATGCAAGTAAATACCTGTTTAAAAATGTCAACTGAGTACTTGAATAAATCTGATCCTCACTTTAAAAGCAATGCAATCAGGTATTAAAACTACCTAAAAGGGGTTTCGGGGGAAACTGTTAAGAGTAGACCACAGTTAATGAAATTACAAGAAGTAAATGAAGGGAAAAAGACACATAACATAGATCATCAAAGCCAAATGATGCTTCAACAACCTAGGGACACCTAAAGTAATAGCGTTTATACAAAAATCAAAGCAAAATGACTGAGGTGATGTTCATGAAGTTGAAAGAACAGACATTTATAATTCTGAACTATTACCACAACTTGTATGGGTTCTGCATGTTTCCCTGATTCCCTGATTCCCTCAGCCTATCATACAATCGGGAGTGATTTCCTTTCCCCATTTTTGTATTCATTTTCTACATGTGCCTACATTTTGCAGACTACATGTAAGTACCTAATGTTATACTTATGTGAACTAGTAATGGCTTTATTATGAATTTCATATTATAACCAATCTATTGTCATCTGTAATAAAAAATAATAAAATTAATATATACCTCAAAACAAGCATCAACGCATTGAAATATCTGTCTCAAATTTCATAAAATCGGTATTGATTGGCAAATTATGATAATCAATTGTTTGCACCAAGCTGTGACATCTGGCAAATGGCAGCCAAAAGGCATAGCTATCAAAAATGAAACCAGACACAAGTCAGATTTCATATGATAAATTTCCAAAACCTGACTGGAATGGATTCTCATTTATCACATTACGGTATGTAAAGTAGTGTTCCGTAATTATTCACGATTGAAAATCACTAGACATTAACAAGGAAGAGGAGTGAGCGAATGCATCCACAATTTGTAGAATCCCTTGATTCCCTTGTCATTGCACGCTTTTATGAGTAAAGGAGCTCTACATTGCTTTGGGCAGGAAACTCCTATTACCTGAAAATTGTCCCGAAGATAATTGGTTAGCAATTCTCCACCTGTGATGTTTTTTACAATATTTTTGCTGCCCATCAATGACTCACACGGTCGGTGTACATCATGATCATATCAACACTGTACAGGATGAACCATTCACCCTACACTCACCCAACTCAAGAACATGAAACTAACCATTATCATTAAAAGTGAAGCATCTATCATGCTTGAAGAAACAGGTAACCGATTAATAATCAGGCTCGTATCTGTAATAGCTGTGCTTTGAGTGATTACAAATTTTACTGTGATTTGTCATGCCAGAAATCTTGCCACTACCTTGACATTTCACACGCGGCATCTACAATATAAATGCGGTATGACATTTTATGGTACTAACATTAATATTTAATGAAAAGTGAACAGTATTTATAACTGGATTTGATGTTCAATTCAGACTGTTTTGTGTAATATTTTTCGTAAAGACTTTGGTCCATGTCTAAAGCATACTGTCAATATTAAATTTCTTTGTGTTGTAGTCTAGTAGAGGTGATCCAATCCCAGTTAGTTGTGACAAGGCAATAATCTATATTTTCTCTTCTACACCCATGAGTGAAGGGGGTTCTATAATTGATTAATTTTTCAAATTCTCCCAACACTGTAACCATGCCTGGGAGTGGGACCGTCCCTTTTGAGTCCCCAAGGAACGGAGATGATGTCAGAAATTCCAAGAAAGACTAGAGCATTATTGCCAGCAAAGTGCTTTCAAATTAAGTCTTCTTTGTAACAAGAGACTATATTTTATCATGGTCATTATTAAACTGTAATACAAGTACGGTACAGACTGAACATGTAGCTCAATGGCTGACTATTATCACAAATTTGTTGATTTAATAATTTTAATGAGAAGATCTCACATCAACAGTACTACCTAAATAATCAATGTACATGTACTTGTAATAACTATGAGGGTATTGGTGTTGGAGCACAGTTTGAATGGGGAAATACTGAAAGTGAAACTAGATGTTACACACGTGAACCGACTGTTAAGTTAATACTTCCTTCAACTGCTGAGTGGTCTAGATGGGATTAAAGATAAAGTTGACTTCTGGTCATGCGAGACTTGCGAGTACATGTACATGCTGTGGTAGAAACTGCCTGGAACTGTTTGAGAAAGGTTTCTAATGTAGAACATAATATTTGGTATGCTGTGAGCTTTTGTAATCATCAAATTGATAAGAAATTTAAAAATCATGTGTACTGCACACACAAAAATGTGTACAAATGGGACTACACACACCTGCAGCATGAAAGTTTCAGTTTGGTCCAAACTTTCCAGCTATTTACTGTGATATTTTGAATAGTTTGAGGGTAAATAAAGGGCAATCCCTTTTGGTGGACATTTCTTCTATGATATTTTTCCAAACTAACATAAAATAATGAGAAAGCCCACAACTTATGTTCACCTTTACCAGAATTCAAACTTCTCTTTAAAGGTACATCCTGCTCACATACCGTACTTAATCAAGATCAGCACGACATAAAAGGCAGAATTTCAATTGAAAATGAAGTGCAATTCTATGCACAATATACTCCAATAGCTTTGTAAACATAGCAAATAGAGTTTGCTATAAAAACAAACAACTTCCCTACATAGAAAGTTAACTTGTGTGTAACACCTAAGCTACTTTAAATGTAGTCTGTAGATAAATGAATATGCCAGCAATGAAGGAATCGAAAGCAAATACCTTACTCCAAGCTCATACGCACATACTCGCCCACTGGTAAGGCCAAAAGAGGCAGACAGCCAAGAGAGTAAACATCAAACAAATTTTGAAATAAATGATTAGAAACCTGCAATATCATCAGCTTTTGATTAATCAGTTGCACGTCTTACTTAATCAATACAACCTTGGAACTATTAGATATACAGAAAAATAAACATGTAGAACAATTCAACAATGTTCCTTTACCTTAAACACACATCCACATTTCTTTTAATGAATTGATCAAAACTAGATTGAGAATATGCACCCTACTCTAACAGAAGAGCATGTAACAATCAAACAAGTAATTTTTAAGAGTAAATTTTGATAATGCATTAAGTTAAAGATCACAGTCATTCTAATCACACCTTATCAAATTCATTAGCATAAGTGCATGCCACCTAATGTGCGTTATTCCCATTCTGTTCTTCATATTAAGCCCCTTTTTGGTAGTCGACTACGCTGTGATTTTTTGGACGATTAATCGACTAGTCAGTAATACAGGTGTAAGCTGATATAGACTATTATCAGCATTATAGCTACGCTGGGCGGCGCTGGGCAGGCAGGCCTAGCATGGGGGACTTCCACCCACCACTCCTGATGAAAAACACTGCTTCCGCCCAGCACTAATTTCACATAAAACCTACTCTAAATGTAACTATTTGTGAAGAAAGGAAGTACTTAATTTCATTTTTCCGTCTTTAATCGTGTTTTATTTGCAATTGTACAAGATTCCTGTTTTCAATTTGACAATAAATGATTATTTTTAAAGATTTGCTGAGTGTTGTTTGTCTAAATATGTTACGATTCACGAAAACTGCCATAATGAATTTACCGTACGTACAATACCGATGTATGTAAAACGGTCAGTGATAACGATACGTATCATACGTATATTGGTAAATTCAATTTGGCCGCCCAGGCTCGTTTGATTACTGTTCTTATAAATATTTATTTTTAATATGGTTAATAAAAAAGATCGTAATTTTTTAAAAGAAATAAATTGGAATACTATGATATATATATTTATTTCATCATTTACATTGTAAAATGTGTCCGAAATTGTTACACTTATGTATCATGTAACCAACACACATATGTACACACACTCAAAATACAAAATGCATTCAAATTCCCAATGCCAAGGTACCACCAGACATATTTAGAATCGACAAACATCCATCTTCACAATAGTCAAAATCATCAATCAACCAGAAATATTACAATAATAATAGTTCAACAAATAAAATATTGCATATTTGTAGGTTCGTGACAGGAACTTACATACAAAATATCGCTAGAATTTTTTTTTTCTTCATCGTCACATATTTCTTCATCTCACTACATGAATTATCACACGTGGGGCAATGCACATTTGTATTCACCCACGTAGACCCTACATCAACAATTTGGTTTGAGCGAGCCCGCTAGTTGTTTGTTTCTAAGTTAAGGTTAGGTAGGAATTTGATTTATTTAAGCTTCCTTGACAATGTCTTAGAAAGTAGAATTATTGTGACAGATTTCTATTTCACATCCATTTAGACTCTTTTTCCCAATGAGTTATTGAGTATTCGGTTATCAAGTTCATTATTCGACTACTGGCTTTACCAGGCAGTACTCGAAACGGGCCTATGGGTACTTCATATTTGTTTTATTCTAAAAGTTGTATTTGAAAGCCAGAGGAAATAAAGTGAATGAAGGCAATCAGTAAAATGTGCATGCATGCTAATGTCATAGCTGATACCCATCTATGAGCATTTCCAGGGGATACTATTCTAATGAAACTAAAAACTAATTATTTTCCAAGGACAGTTTTTGTGGAACCCTCTTCCTTATTATATACAGAATTTAAACGTAGGTATAAGGAATATCTTTTGGGTAAATTGCAATAATCATTTGAATTCAAGACATATTTTATTGTTTGTACATGTATGTATTACATACATGTTTGTTGTTTTAATTTGTGTATTGTATTATGTTAAGTAACAAATATATTTCATATTTTTTATTATCAAAAGTGGGTCAACCTTTATATACATGTATAAGGATTGTTCCCTTTCAGATTGCAAGCTATTTAGTTTATTTATATCCTTGTCCGATATGTTACCGGTATATATCTGATTGATATATGTTGTCTTTTTAACTGAATGAAATAAATTAGAATTGAATAGTGCTGTGTACAGAAGTCAGGAAAATATTCAGTGTATACAATCAGGAATCCATAATAATAATAATATTCAGGTTTTATACATGTATACTGCTTAATACATCTCGGACATCTCTAAGCACTTTACAGATATACTATTACTCCAGTCATTGGATTCAGTGCTTGCTCGCACACACTGTGTGCACAATCTCCACTCCCTGGGGAGCTTGAATGGTAAAGTGCCCCTTTCAAAAATTGTAACAAGATTATCTTTATACAATCACAATACTATGTAAGAACAAGTTCTATGCAAGGGACATGCACAAAAAGGAGAATGCTAAAAATACTGAACATCCTTTTCATCTCAATATTAAAATGTGACCTGTGCATGACTGGCACTTTCAGAAGAAGAAAAAACCTAACACAAACAAAGAAACATTTCAAAAATGTTAGGATAAAAATTGAGGGAAAAGACAGTTAACAACTTGACATGTTGGATATATCACAGGAAAATTTCAGAATTACTCATCATTATTATTGAGACAATATATTGAACAAAAAAAAAAAGGCAAAGACAAACTATTTGGCTTGGATGCAATACAAGAGCGCAAATAACAAACAAACAAAAACCAAAATAAAATACACTTACTAAGGACAAGGAATCAAGCAAATTTGGTCTGGTGGGACGCTACAAAAAGGAAACACACAAAGATGCCTGGTGCATAAATATAGTTTACATAAATAGGCACATTCGCATTCTATCATTGTATACTCAAACTTGCAAAGTCTGGGATGTAAAACAGTGTTAACACTGAGGTAATTAAAGAATATTCAGAAATGAAAGGGGGCTATCATATTAACACATCACTACTACATGTATGATATCACATCATTAATAAGGTACAGCAACTTGTATCCTCTTGAAAAGGCGCTAAAGGAATCAAATTGTTATCATTTTGTGTATATTTATGTTGCAGTAAAGAATTATACAAAGGATTCTTTTAAGTTTGATGCTTCATTTACATGACAAAAGAATGATTATTTATTTCTTGACTCTCGATAGTAACAAGAAAAATAATATTAAAAACACCTTGTGAAACACTGACATCCAAACAAGAGTTTTGAAATACATGCAATTGCTCATGTTCAGATATTCCTTCATGAGTATACAGGTCTCTTTAATACAAAATAGCAAGGCACAGCAAACACTAGTGACCAGTCTAATTATACTTCACACAAATTTACAATCTTATATTTAACAAAACATGTAAACATGACATAAAAGCCCTAAAAAATTAAATATACATGTAAGCTATACACAGCAAATTTGATACCACTACTCCTAACTTTCAAAGCAAAAAGACTTGGAATATTGGTATTTAAAAATGTAGGATACATAACAAATTTCAAACATTTGAAGAGTTGATACATTTCACAAATGAATACATATTTTTCTAAATTAAAATAACAAAAACAGCAGCTTTTTTAAATTTTGCTTTAAAAAAAAAAACTATCTACATATATCTTTGGTTCATAGAGCCAATACTTTAGGGTTGCTTGAGTGATAATTGGTATGAATAATCATTTGTAAATGTAGCACATAAAGATCTCTCATTTTAAACAAACAATGAATTTACTTGCCAACTGAAACAAACATGCATTCATTATTTTGCTTAACATAATGTTTGTACTTGGGTGATATACTCACTTTAGTATGGACAGTGAATTTGACTTTATCTCTTTCACTCAGCGCATCCGAGATGTCAACCTGTAGAGATGTGTCTGTGTTCAGGTCTACATTAGACTCTGTCCTGTCCTAAAAAACATATAAGAAAAAGATAGCAGATGTAAAAGGCCTGTCTGACTTCAATGTTTCATTTGGCGGTTTAGATTGATGCCATTTCCCAAATCAGTAATCAACCAAAATTGACAATATATGATTGATTATTGATTGATTGATATTAACCAGAATACACTGTAGGATCGTTTTTTTGTTGGCATTTAGAAGACAACCAACCGAACAGCTGATTTTATAACAATAAGACTTATCGTCACCCGAAACAAATCCATTCATTTCTTCAGCATACTCAATTACTCAATTACATCATTCGTCCTAACTTCTTATGATCTATAGACTATAATAACCTACCAACACACCACAGCTGCCCCCCCCCCCCTTCCCCACCCCAACACACAGCAACTTAGTCTTAGGACGTGTTCTACTGCACTCTCTCTCTTTCACCCTCTCAGTCTCAGTCTCACCGTCCGAGTTTCTGACCAAGCCAAACATCTCCAATTTGAGTGAACCCACCAAACTTGACAAGATCTGCTTTGTTTTACATAGACTCCTACAACATTTAAATCTACAAAATTAATATCAAACTCAAACTAGATGTAGACTTTTAAGTAGACCTAACAATACAATAAATTGCCACAGTGGCACATGCAGACAATCAAACACAGCCAGTGCAATGCAGTGGTCAGACTCAGTCAGTGTTGTAGAAATTGGAATGGAGCTGTTTTACTCACCTTTCCCTGATCCTCTGCCAAGAGATCTTGGCTGTCCTCCATTCCGTCCTAGCGAATAATAAAGAGAAATATAATGATAATACAAAATTGTAATCAATCACATTTCGAGCGCAAACAATACTGTACTAAATTCACAATAAGAAAAATAGTATCCACCCACCATCATGGCTGCAGTCATTCGCCTTTCACACTTGCGCGTGTGCGACTCGTGATATGGCATGTAATTTGCGCGCACGTAAGTGGGCGTGTTTAGACGGTGCACGCGCGGTTAAGGTTAAAGTTAATTGTCAACAAAGCGTTTTCGAGCCATCACCAGCATCAGCATCAGGACATGTCGACAGTCAGCTGCATTTTTAGGCAAAAATTACATGATTTAGAGGCCATAATACGGAAATGTGGATATTTGGGTATGGATCATTGACATGGAAAACTGATTTTCCATATACGAAATGGTTTGTTGGCAGCGTGGATGGCTATGCCCGGAGATTTTGGCAAGCCAGTATGGACCACAGAGGAGTGCCCGATAAGGTATGCCTCAAACGGTCGCTAGCCCCGGCTCTGGTCTGGGGCAGCTACCTGTCAGTAATATGGCCAAGAGTATATGCGTTTCAATTTTTGCAGACTCATCCTCACTGTCACTGTCGTAGACCTATCTTAAATAAATCAGAGTTGATATGTGTGTGTGAATATGAAGTACTGTGAAGAATTAATCTCTTCATTTAAGAATATTTATATCTAGTCTAGCTATATACTAGCTGTCTATGTTAGGAAAAGCACATTTGAAAAAGTTTCCATTGTAATAACTAATTACAAGTGAATAGTCGGTACAAATAAGGAAAGAGAAAATATCTGGATGTTCAATAATTGTAATTATTATGTTACAGCTTTACTATGGGTTCCTCAGAGACAAGGAACAGAGGGAAAACCCCTCTTTACTAAAATCATACACTGTATTTATCAAACCTAATGTGTGAAATAAAATTGGAGACTAGTTTTATTTGAATTTGTAAACGTTGAATTGTCAATATGTCATTATATGCTAAGGATATATAGGAATGTAACATGATCCTAACCATTAGGAGCCAGAGCATATAACCATCCGCTGAAATACCACCCATACCAACGCGAATCCAATGCAGTAAAGAGGGGCACATAAGCTGAAGCTTCAAGCCTCGACACCAAAGTAAAGTAAAGTAAGTAAGTAAACACTGAGTTCCCATAGGGCATATATTTAATCAAGTGGTCATATCTCAACCAATACTTAACATATTCAATTGGTTTTCGACATTTGGACATTATTTTTGATGCTCTTTCAGAAAATGAAGAAAAAACTGAGAAATTCTAAAATTAGATTTTTGATGACGTCACACTTCACCACTCTATGCCATATGTAGATTTTTAAACAATGTGTTTTTCAACTCATTTTGTTTCTCTCTCTCTCTCTTTCTCTTGATCTCTCCCACTCATCTTTAAAAACATATGACAGCCTGGAAGAGTAGTCACCCTCATTGAAACTCCTGGGGTAAGAAAACAAGGACATTTTGTAATGGGTCACTTTGAAAGTCTTTGGTCTTGATGTCTGTTCAGTGTTCTCAATTTTGAGGGACTGAAGTCCAAACGTCTCCCTGATTAGGCTGCTAGCTACAAAGGGATTTTATTATTGGATAGTAATTGTCAATATTTTACTTGTCACATTAAAAATTGTTAAATGAAATGGTAATCTTCAACTTTGTTTACAGGAGATCGTGATCAGGCCTGATACTGATAGTTACCAGATTTAAATCGGTTTCTTGGTTGTTGTCTTTTTTGATTTTTTTTTTTTTCTTGATTCCTTTTTTTTTTCTTTGTCTTCCCGATTTTATCCCTATTTTCCTCCCCAATTTTCCAGAAAAAAATATTAGTTATAAAAAAAATTGACATACTATATTCAACTTAAGGACATTCCATTTCAATTTTAGGTCTATAATATGAACATTTCAGAATATTGTGTGCGAGTCCTAATTAGTTATGGTAACTAAACATTCACAGAAAATTGCAATACAATTTATGGTTCAAAGTTGTGCCAAGTTTACCAAAATGTCTTCTGATTTATGTTGTTATTTTCCACAGGAGCAAGTATGGGGTATTGCTTATCATGTTGCAGAGAGTGACAGAGCTAGTGTGAAGGAGTACCTAGACTTTCGGGAAAAGAATGGCTACACCACCAAAGCGATAATGTTCTATCCGCTGCAGTCTGAGAAAAATTCCGTCCAAGAACCGTTCGAGGTCCTGGTCTATATCGCCACCCCCTGCAACCCTGCGTTCCTGGGACCGGCTCCTCTCGAAGAGATTGCCAATCAGATTGTTAGTTCTGAAGGACCAAGCGGAAAGAACAAGGACTACTTGCTGCAACTGGCTTCGACCATGAGAAAGCTGGTCCCAGACTGCAACGACACCCATTTATTTGAGCTGGAGACATTAGTGAAGAGACTGATGTCAGAAGATCATCATCAAACAGAGCTTCCTCAAAACAAGATAAATGAAATGACAGCATGATGCTGAATAACACAAGTTGATTTGTACTAAACTTGAGGTTCACTATTACCTACTGATTGAACAGTGTATGTGTGTGTGTTGTTTTTTGTTTTTTTATTTTTCAATGTTAAGTACAGCAATACTTCTCTCCCCCCCCCCCCCCCAGAAAAAAGGACAAATTAATATTTGAAATGCCAATTGGTAAAATCAATTAATTGACCAGTTCATATGCCAAATAATTAGCCTCGGTCCTAAAGATTAGCAAATGGATAGCAATAATCTAATATTGTATCATAATGCTGAGAGAGTAGAGAGAATGCTATCTTAATTTGTCGGTGATACAAAGTTACCCGACATTGGCCTTATGGTGCTATGACCCATAATGGAAGAGTTGTCTGCCACTACATCTCATCGACACTATTTTGCCAAATTGAGATTCCCTCACGCATATAGTGATTCCAACTTTCAAAAATTCATGATTATTGTACATTGTGCTGTTATGACCAATCAGGGTAGATCGATCGAAACGTGACTGCCTGTATTCAAAGGTAGATAAGGAATTGTTCTTTCATGAAAGATTCATATTTTAGAATATATTATATTGAAGTGTGAGGTAATAGTACATATTTAAACAATTTTATATCAGATGCTGCATATAACCAATAACCAACTAATTTTCAAGTTGATCTTTTTTTAATGATAATTTTTATTAGTTTAGTATATTAATATATTTTAAAGACAAATATTGATGCAATCTAAATTCCAGCACGAACCACCTTTACAGTTGTCTTTAGAAATGTGTGTGTACTCACTATTTCTCTTATAAATTCTTAAGTTTCTTGCCTCAAAAACTTATGAAAATAACAATTTCTTTAAAAAAATGAGTCAGACGACTTTACATATCTGTCCATACTGTTTCATAAAGGAATTGTGTTTTGTAAATAATATCTTTAATTACATGAACTGTTTTGATTGAATAGTAAGAATTTTAACAATATGTATTCGTTTTAAACTTGTAACATCATTCATTTCGTTTCTAAAAGACAGAATTATAGATTAACCCGTAGCTAAAGAAACAACAGATATGTAGGGTCTACGTGGAGTCAAGAGTACTTACTTCACACTCAATTTACAATCGACTATCAGCATTATAAATGATAAATATGACATTAATTATTTAAATATACAATGTATTAATTTCATAATTTGATCACTCACAATATGCATATGTTGATTGGTATGTAGTATGTACCATTGCATTGTGGAAGGATTTAGATGTAAAAGTTGTGAGCTTTTTTCTTTTTTTCTCCTCCCTTTTTGGGGGGGTTTGATATAATGGTCTAATTTCAAGCAATACAATGCCCATGGCATTATTTGTAATGCAAACATGTACTATATACACGATTAATGTATTGTCTGCATTTTGTATGATGAGTAAGGATATCAAAGCTAACTATAGATTGTGCTCCATCTACTGCCAATGCATTTCTCATGTATGAAACAGAATGCTATCTCACTCTTCTCTTTTCGTCTTAAATCTGTGGTTTCCTGACTGTTCATTGATTGCTTTAAGTTTTTTAAAGGGTTATTATGAGGCAAACAGATCCAGTGATATGGGCTGAAAGTTACTCAGGAAAGAAAACAAGTGAACATTTTTTTTTAAAATCAAATTTGTACGATTTCAGATTTTAAGCAATTTGTTCTTAAATTTCAAAATTACTAGGTGGAGGTCAAGTATAAGGATGACATGTGAAGCTAATGTCTTTGTTACCAATGTAAGAATATTACAAAAGTTGATATGGGAATGGGTGAGAACATTTTTTTGTTGGTTTATCGGTACTTCAAGTTGTGTACATAGAAAATAAAGATGGATATATAATGTTATTTATAACAAAGTTATATAATATTATTTACAAGTATAAAACAATTTGTTCAGTGTGTCTTCTTGCTACAAGATTTACGATCATGCAAAAGTGTGAAAACATAAAATATAATAATTGTATTACTGCAGTTCCTCAAGAAAAATCTACATGTTGTATGCTTCTGTCACATGAGTGACTTTTTTTTTACTCTGCTACCTCATCAGAAAACCACACCAGAACACAATTGTATAAAGATACATGAAGGTTTAATATTCATCCTACAAATCGTGGCGTCAAAAACAACAATTTAATAGAACATAACTTTAGAACAGGCCTAGGGCAGCTTCCATCTCGTGAGTCCCTCCTGGTCCTGGTCGCTTGGCCCCCGGCCCCCCCACTCAGGTTTCAAAATGACCGCATGCGTGTTGCCAAAATGTCCTTTTCGTAACAAAAGAAAAAGGTCGAGCCGTATTGACTTTACACACCGGACTTTTGCTGAAAAGGGGGGGTCCGGAAAAAGGCTCGTATACAAAAGAAAAAGGTCGAGCGGTATTGACTTTACACACCGGACTTTTGCTGAAAAGGGGGGGTCGGTTGGAACACGCATATGCGTACCCTAAATAACACTGAGTGGGGGGGCCGGGGCTTGGCCAGTCTCTAGACTGCGTAGATATCCCCGTCGACTTTGCAGCTCATCTCTATCTCTGTCGATGACTTCCCTGGTCGCTTGGCCAGTCTCTAGACTGCGTAGAATTCCCCGTTGACTTGACAGCTTAGCTTGCCCAGAAGTAAAAGTCTATCTGAAGAAAAATGTTTCTGCCACTAAATAAATCTACCTCGTGCGTTCAACGTCTGCACCGTAGCACTGACTTGAAGGGTTCTCCCCATTATTCTACAGCAACTTCCCTTTACCCTTTCTTTGCCAGGTCCTTAACATTCGAAACCTCCTGGGTATGCCAGCTATTTCTATTTCTATCTACATTCAATAGCCAACCCAAAATCATGCATGTCCAATCCCCCCATATACTGTGTGTCTTATATGCAAATGACAATGCCAAAATGCACCTGTGCTTGGCTACCTCATCTGACCATAGAATAGTACATTTCCTTTGAGTAGGACATTTCCCTTCTCGCCTGGAAAAAATTCCTTTCATGACAGCTTCCTTACATTAAAAGAAAACAGAAGAAAGAAAAAATAACATTATTAAGGAGAAATGTTTCATAATTCCTTAAATGAATTTAGTCCATCTTGGTAATAAAGGAGACGTCAGATTATGTACTTCTATCATAATTCAATGATGTATACATACATATCTCTCTCTCTCTCCCCTCTCTCTCTCTCTTGCTATCTCTGGCAAATACTAGTATGTTTGTGTGTGTGTGTGTGCGTGTATGGACAATTCAATTTGATATAATTTGTAGATTGAAAACTTTTGTCGATATGAAGATTCCCCAATTGAAATATGAAATATATCAAACTATTCAATAATTACTATTTTCAAAATTTGCCCAAAACTTTGCATTATCTTTAATACCATTTGATAACGCCAAATTCAAATAGTTAAAATATAGTGTGTAAAGGAGAATTAATGCATAGACAAAAAAAACAATAGATAGTTTAAAATGTTACAAGAAAGCACAGGTAGAGGTTCTGAAGAAAACAAGATATTTTATTGAAAATTCAGCAAATTTAATACAAATTAGAATCAAACATTCCATTGCAATCGTAATCATAATAATTGCAAAAATATAACTTTAGTAATTTACATTACAAAAATTTTCCCACAATGTTCTTTTACAATAAATGATTGATAGCAATAATTGTCAAGTTAATGCACCAATGATATGGAGAGTCATACAGTATCAAATCTGTTTTTTTTTAGTTGTTAGTAAAACTTACTATTACACCCCAAGAACGTTAAAAATGCTTACCTCTATATAAAGCGTTTATACACAGTGCAAGGATTGAGTTGTATAACGTGATATAAATTATAATCTTTCTCATACATAGTAATATATGTAAAATCGACTGAATTCTGTCATCCACTCGTGTGAACATAATAACAAAGTCTCATTCAACATTGTTTAAAATGGCTATATTTGACAATTTACACTTTAAATTAGAAAAGAGGAAGAAATACTGCAATGACAATGTGAAGTACTCATTCAATCATTGCTATACATGTATCATCAAAAATTAAAAAATAGGACAAAATTCTGATATTTATAACTGTACACGTTGTAGAACTGGGGCAATCATTCCGTCTTTACTTAGAATAAAAAAGGGAAATTCACCTCTAGATCATACATTCACATATCGTTCATTCATGTATATTGTTGTTACTTAACATTATTTAAAGAATGCTTAGGTGGCTTTTGAAATATATCCAAACTGAATACAGAATATAGAATTACACTATATATTGTGCGATCATTTAAATTTTAAAACGTCAAGTTAGTGCTTTATTATCAATTTAATAGTCTTTTCAGTTGACTTTTTGGGCGATTGTTCCATGTGATGTGAAATATACTGTACACTATATACCGATACGGTTAAATGTATTTATTCCAATGTTGCTCCACCGCTCAAAGTTGGAGAAACTAAAATTATGGTCTTAAACATAAGGTAATTATTTGGATGCTTTGACAGCATAAGATAATCAGTAAGAAACATGAAAATGTAAGTTTGATCATCTTTTCTACAGTGTATGTTTTCAGATATCTATTACTTTCATACTGCTGAAATTAGTACAAGAGGCCAATCAGCAATTATAATTTTGACTGATTTGGACCACCCTAACATTCCAAGATATACAATTTGAAGCTACATGGACAATATTTCAGTTGAAACATTATGATACATACATGTATCATATATGTATTAATAATAGAGCAGGCAGTTGTCGTTATCTCTGAGATGGCTTAGAATTAGAGCAAGATTCACCACAAAGTACTGATATCACAATAAAGACAATTGCTATCAGATTAACTACTGAAAACCACACTCATTGACATATGGTAGCAAATGAATAAACTCTCTAGAGTAAAGAAATACTGTTTTGCAAAACACACACACACACACACACATTGGTAAATGCACTTATTTTCTCCTGAGAACCAGATGGGTATAAAGTCATATACTAGCTGGTCTACAGTAAATTAGAGTGAAAGCTAACTATAAAGACTGCTCAAAGAAGAGTGGTGGTGGTTTAGTAGTAGATCAGTGGTCTCGTTACCGTGAGGTCCTGGGTTAGAAACCAAGTCGATGGAACTGCATTAATCCTCATAACCAAGTCCCCCGAGGTGAGGTTTAACATCATGTGTCAATTGGTTGCATACATGTACTTACAATCATGCACATGCATTCTTAGCAGTCAAATTAATTCTTTTAATAAACCATCACAGGAGACAAATAGGCAGTGTTATAGGCAGATGGTCTTTATAAAGAGATTTCTTTTATAAGTGTTTCAATGAGGACTACTACCGGTATTCAATGAAAACAAAGATGTAGCCTTAAGACAGGTGGTCCTTCTAGGCTTCTACACAGGGGGTTGCAGAAACGGGTTAGACTCTGGTTCTTTAAAGATAATGAAGACAAGTTAAAAACTATAGAAAGTGACATCTGAGGTACTATGGTTATGATATATGGACGACATTCTTCATCATCCAATCTATGCGAAGTGCTGGTTTGGTGGAGGACAAGGCTATCGGAGGGGGTGGAGGGGGTGGTGGTGGAGGAGCCACACCCTGTGGAGGTCCAGGGGACTGTTCTGTCCTTTTCACTGTGGCTCCATTGCATACCGAATCTGAACTACACACAGTTTCTGTCCTATTACAGCACTCATTTCTGGTTTCTTGAATGTCCATATTGCTCGGTGAGATGGCTGGTTGTGATGTAGGGTCGCAGGACTTGCAATCTGTTCCTAGATCCTCAACAGGTAGTGGTGTGTTCGTCTCTGGTGCACAGTCACAGGTTTCTAGCATCTAAAGGAAACATTAAAAAAGCAATGTGAGAATGCACAACTCATGTTTCTTGTGACAAATGTGAGGAAAATGTGTTCTAATACTAGCCATCCATATTTTCTCTGTAATGGACTAGAGTAAATATTCTTTGTCAATAGCCAAAGTAATTACTAGTGGGCAGTATTTTAACAGCGTCTACATAATTATTCAAATGATTTGACAAAGCACTAAAACTTTTACATCAAATACATTTATCCAAAAAAAAAGGTGTCAACATCTACAACACTACACTCCATCAAAATCGGCAGTTTAGTAATGGGACATGAAAACAACAAATCAGATAATAACACAATTACTGTTTATCTCTAGGCCACAAATGTGTTTCCTACAAAATATGCAGTTCTGCCCATCCATGATGAATTGGGAAATGATGGCTATTCGGTAATTGCTTTTTTCACAAGATATATTGACTTTTCAACAAATTTCAAATGGGTAGGTGATGTGATAAAAAACATCATGGTACTGTAATATCAAACACTATGCTTTAGGAGACTCAAAATAAAAGAGTTGAAACTTAATTTCTTTACCATTGCTCCTACTGTATTCACAGGCTTGCAGAAGGAGTAACCTAGATGCTGATAGAACCCTTGTTTGTCCTTGGTGCACAGGTATACCCTCTGAAATCCTTCTCTAGCTGCATGTTGTTCAGCCATCTCCATCACACTCCGTCCCAATCCCTGGCCTCTACGCTTCTTGCCTACAACAACTATTTTTTTTAAAGATGAAAAACAAGGAAAACTGTATATTTCAAAGTGAAAAATGTCATTGAGAATATAATGAAATACACAATTAAGTCAACATTTTTCTTTTAGTATAATCCAAGTGGTTGAAGTTTGCATAATAGTCTTTTATCAAGCTAGAGAAAAGGGATATTGTAAAGTTTCAAGAAAATTATTACCAGTAATATTTGGTTGGCAGAAAGTTAAGTTGAAAATTACTGTTTTCTTTCATTTCAATCTAGAGTGTATTAATTTCATAGAGAGCAAACTTACACCCCAAAAATGTGTTTCTTGCTGTTATGTATAATGATTTGAATGGATATTGTATTTACTATTATAGCATCCAAAGTTACAAATTAAATAATAATAACATTTGAATGACAACACTATTAAGATTCATGTACATTAGAGTTAATTTTATTCATTATATTTATTGTGTTTCATTATTGCATTAATTGTGAGTAGAAAGTAATGTTGTGGTTAGCATGCAGATCCTTGAAATTTGTTTTATTCTGTTGATGATGATTATTTTCGCTTACAAGAATACACTTTCAAGAAAAAACTACTAATGCCTACAGTATACGACTTACCGGATTCAACAAGAACACTCTTGGCATCACTGATGACCTTGGCTAACCTGCAGTATCCAACCACTGTGCTCTCATTCTCCACCAGTACTAATGAATATGGTAATGTAGAGCATGACTTGGTTATAGAGTGCAACCTAAATTTTGATAAAAATGTATGTTATTCACAATGAAAATATGAAATAGGTCTGTAGTCTGTTAATGTAGCAAATGCATAAGTTGGTTGTGTTTAGCATGCAAATCTGTAAAATGTTTGGATTTTCAGCAATTTTGTATTTGTTTAATTCATTATTGGTCTGGACTTTGGACATTAAATTACCCTGCATGAGCTGGCATTCTCAAATACATCTTAAAAGAGCAGAAGATACATTTTTTTAAATCTAAACTAAAAAGGAGGTATCCATGAGATACTGAATCTCCTTTGAAACTACTAGAATACAGAAATTCTATTAACAGGCTATTTCAATATTGTGATATAATATTTAAAAAAACACAAAGTCCACTCATTCACTCCTCACAGTCTGACTTGTTTGGATCGAGTGTTGAGCCGAATTATTATCGGCTTATAAATCAGTTAGAGAACTACAACTTCCTAGCTTTGGCTTACAGAAGACAAAGAGCAGATCAGATACAGATATTCAAAATCCTGAGAGGCTTTGACAGAGTGAATCCTTCAAAATTCTTCCAACTAGCAACTGGCTCAACAACAAGAGGCCATGATTTCAAGATTGTCAAACAACGTTTCAACACAAGACTTAGGCAGTATAGTTTCTCAATAAGGAGTGTAAATAATTGGAATGCTCTGCCTAAGGAAGTAGTCAATGTTACCACCATTAACCAATTCAAGTCATCCCTAGAAAGGTATTGGAGAAACAATCCAATTAAGTTTGAACCATACGTGAGACGGGATGCAACAGTAAAGAGGGACAAATAAGCGAAGCTTCCAGTCTCTACACCCAAGTATACCCAAGTAAGTAAGTAGTAAATGCAGTTAGTTTTTATTTTGTAAGAAGTAGACTAATTGATGTCATCTTTTTAGTCTATAATATTACAAGGTACAAGGTCTCTCGCCAATCGAACACCCCCCCCCCCCCCCCCCACCCCTCCCCACATCCCCAATCCTAAGCAGTCGACCAACAGAGGTCTACTCTATTCTAGTGAAAAAGGCACCACAAAGTGCAAGTGTCACACTTTAACTATCACATTTTCCCCTTCTTCCATTATACTTCACCTTGCTGCTTTGCTCCTCGTCCATTCTTCATTCAAAATTTCTACACAGCCATCGATGAGGTGGGTATTTTCATGTAGAGCTAAAATTGACAGCATCTTTTCTCAGAACTCCGATTCGAGTTAACAATTTTCCCAAATGAATAACAGATCATTGTAGCGCATGATTGGTTCCGTCCGTTATTCCGCACGTGCATTGACATCAGATTGACATGCTATCTTTAGGCGTACGCAAAAGGGCGTACGTTACGTATATCCAAGTCCAAAACATGCAAGATTTGCGCTAGTATATCTGACCCCGCCCACTCTTATGCATGTGACGGGTCAGAGGCTATAGCTAGGCCGCATATGCAGTACTGCGCCGGGCTATATTCGTGCCGCTGTCTGTGCAAAACATGTACAGACACCCACACTACGCTAGACTCGAGCTCCCTGTTCATTCTGGTGGTGGTGGTAATTTCTCAACCCGAGAGAGGTTATCAGGTTCAACAGAAGAACTATAAAACAGACAGGTGTGCAACTTTCCTTGTAAGAAAATGGAGCCGTCAGAGAATAGCACTGCAAATGCCACTGAAGGACAGCTACCTGCAAGATTATCTGCCCAACAAAGGGAGTAAGTTGATTCTAAAGACTGAATGAAAGAATGTTTGAAATTGAGTGTCTGACTTGATAATGATACCGGTAATCAGAAACAATATTCACAAATATCACAAATGTTTATTTTGTATAGGGATCTTCTGCTGCATGCTGAGACAACATCTTGCTTGGAGGAGAGCTTCAAAATACAAATTATGTTTAACTACTCCTCCAAAGAGTCCAAGCAGATTGCCTGTGAGGTACAAATTACACATTCCATTGAAGAGCAAATTTCCAAGAGCTGACATTTAATGTTGTACACTTGCCTGTTCATAGTTTGGCATCTACCCACCTGATGCCTGCAGGCAGAATGTACTATCGTCTGTCATGCTCTAACTCATCAAATTGTTCTTGATAATCAAGCCAATATAAACAATGTCTAAATGCTAGATGATGCTATAAATCACATATTTTAATCAAGAGATGGTTCAGAAAGTGATGCCGGAGCTTTTGAAGCCTAGGTAAAATATATTTGATGAAATTAAAGAGGCTTGAATCATTAAACGAGAAGGATCATGGAGCAGATGTATTTGGATAAGTCTGAATATATTTTACCATGATTACATTGTACTTTGAAGCTCATGAATGAGTAATTAGAGTCAAATATTAGAATTTTATGTCAAAAATAGAACTTAGAAATGTAATAAACTAATGTAATCATTTTGTCTTGATGCATTATTAATCTCAAATAAGTTATTATTCGCCATGTACAGTGAGTTGGATTAAAATAATAAAAAGAGTACCGGTACGTATCTGATGGTAGAAGAAAAAATAGCATCATTCTTTGAAACAATTGAAAGATTATGAAATTTGTTCTGAATTTCTTTAAAAATTAGATAAAATTATAGAAAAGCTGGATCATATGTAGAATTTGAAATGTTGAATTGTTCATTTTGTCAGTGAATTCCTGTATAAATAAGAAGTTAACCTCTAAAGATAATGGTATGAATTTACCTTCTTGTTTCGTCGTGACATGATCATACATTTGTAGGTATGCAGGACCTACATCATATTCATTGCAACATACAGGTGTATCTTCTTGTGTGGATACTGGATAGGGCTTTGATTGATTCATTTCCTGCTGTAATTGTCAAGAATAATAATTGCTAATAACAGAATCAGTCCTGAATCGATCTTGTTTTTCTTCTTGGTTTCAGGAGTTTTGCCTTTGCTACCGTCAGCAAGCGTCTACCTATCATTCTGACCCAGGTCATTGATACAGTCTACAAGTACAGAACAGAAGCACATGATCTACATGGGCAGGTAAGAGGAATATACACTATGAACATGACAGACAAAGAAAGCGGACAAAATATACAGTTCCTCAGGTAGACAAAGGAACATCCCTTCACTGCCATTATGTAAAAAGGTGAAAATGCATGTGACACCTGTTCTACACATTTTTACATATTAGCAGTGAAAGGATGTTCTTTTGTCTACCTGAGGAACTGTATATTTTGTCCGCTTGCTTTGTCAGTCATGTTCATAGTGATAGGAGGTTCATTGTTGATAGATATTGATTACATTACCAAAGCAGACATTACCATGTGCAAGGGTTCTAAAACGCGAGGGAAACTGCTTTTGAATATGTATGCAATCTTTAGTTGTTGTTGCTGTAGAAAATTGGCTTCTTCAAGTTCAAGTTCAAGTTCATTTTATTCAAAACTACACAAAACATGATATAATCTTTCACATAAAAAAGAGACTGGTAATAGTACATTAATCAACATATATTAACTTGATTACATTATAAAAATGAATGGTTTTCATTTGTAAGGGGCATGACTTATACCCTGAGTAGACATTTTTTTCACAATTTTTACTCAGGTTGGTATTAAAAGTACATGATGGAGTTGGTTACTGTATGGCCATGGATCTGGCTCTTTTTCTATAGTAAAGGTGAATAAAGAAAGAAAAACAATAACACAGAGGTGAAAAATAAACGAAAATTACAAGTATTCTATACTTTCATGCAGGCAGGGGCAGATGACTGCAAGTTCATCGTGGGCAAGCTGTCGGCACTCAAGAACCAAATGCAGACAGACAAAGCCCTGGAAGAGTTCACACATGATCACCCAGACATCCAGCTGTGGAACCGGTATCTAGAGGCCGAGACTGAACGTTGCGGAGGAGAGAAACCCAGATGGTTCATGTCAGCGTGGCTCTATGTCGAGTGCTATATGTACAGGGCCATCAATGAAGCAATAGCCCTAAGGTTAGTGGTTAGGAGATTTCATCTAAAGTTGTTGAGATCTAGAGCTCTGTTTGGACAGGAAACTGTAAACCGCCTTTGAAAATGTCACTGCAATTTTTTTTTTTGTATAATGAATGGTAAGAGCCCAATATTTAGGGTTAATGGCTGCTTGCAACAGGGGCTACAGTTCATACTTCCTGATGAGTCATCTTTGTGTTCTAAGAGACTGGAGTGTGATGTACATTTCACTTGTGTATTTTTTCTACTGTAGTGCGCTGTGTATAATGGTTTATCCCGTCTTCTTTAAACTTGCCTTGAGACTCAACAGCTAAGGCAAACAGACCAATACTTATATTTACTTTTTTCATAACGTATTAAAACTTGCAAACTTTTCCATTCGAAAAAATTTTGTAAATTTTGTACAAATACAAATCTCCATAAAGTTGTGAAGTTGTTAAGAGAATTAAGAGAAAAGAAAAGAATTAAGAAAAGTGGATTTCAAAATGGCCTACTTTCTAATATCTCTCCATAATCATAGCTTTCCAGTTTGTAGGCTGCCAATATGTAGGTAATTACCTAAATGTTCTTACCCTATTTAGATTTAATTTCAGTCTTAATGACAGTTTTCATCTCGTCTCCCTCCTTGATTTGCAGTCAATGTATCAAGACCTTTGACCCCTTTGGAGCTCAGAAACAGTCTGCACTGCTGTCTTCCAACGATGCCATGTGCACCTTAACCTCATACTTAGATGAAAGTGTACAGGGGCCAGCCTCTTTTGAGAAGTTTGCAGATTTTCTTCAGGTCAATATATATATTCCATTTTTGCCTTCATTCTCTGTTTTTTTTTCTTTTTATGATTTGTTTGTTTGGTTAGGGTTGCCTCTTACATCATCCAACATTTTTCCAAGTGACTTTGCTTGTTCTGGGCTTTATTTCCTCAAAGGGTTAAATTGTACAAATCACACAAAAAACTAATTTGTGTTTAGCAAGACTGTATAGAGTCAACCTCAAAAAAATTTACCCTGCATTCTATAGACTAATGGAGTATTAAGAAAATAAGGAAAACTTAAATCTCAGCATAAAGAACCCAAATTGGACTCTGGTTCTGTGGGGGCTATATCCTATTTGAGCGCATACAAGTGTGTTGAGTAGTCTACTCACAAGTCACTTTTGTATTGATTGAGAGTGTAACTTGCAATTGCTTTCAAAGTTTATATTTCTAATATAATATAGCAACATTGAACCCTATTAAACATACAGAACAAAATATTTGTAGGTGATTGGTAAACTTTAAGTTTGCTATTGGGGTTGATTAGGTTTAGGGTTAGCTTTAGGTATTGTGTTGGATTCAGAGTTGAAGTTTAGAGTTGATCGGTGTAAGAGAAAATGAATCAATTATTGCAGGAGCAATTTTTCATTTATAGCAGTTTAAGCTGTTTGTACATAAAGTCTTGGCTCTTTGGCTGTGGCTTAAGCATTCAAATACATCGATGTGAAGATTACAAACAGATTATCCTTCTTTACATTGCACCAGTTATGGTTATTATATATGTTGGTTTCTAATATTTGATATGGTAGAGTTAACAAGCATTCCTATATCAATGCTGACATGTCTCTGATATTTACATCAGTCTGTCTACCAACGTGGTAGCTATACTGTAACAAAACCTTTTCCATCTTCACTTGACAGATATCTCTTTGGGGGAACAAGTGTGATCTGTCCATATCAGCAGGTATAGAGAACTACCAGAAATTAAGTCCAGTGGCTCAGCTGGCCTCTTTACAATCCAACATTCTAGTCAATGACATCCACCATGTATGGCAGACCCTATGTGGTGCCAGAGATGCATCCAAAAGCACACCCAGTCAGAAGGTCAGACTGGACGTCATCTTGGACAATGCAGGATTTGAGCTCTTCACGGACTTGGTCCTTGTGGACTACCTACTTCAGGTCGGGCTTGTAGACGAGGTACATTTTCAGCTGAAGGCGATGCCTTGGTTTATAAGTGATGTCGTCAGACACGACTGGGACTGGACACTTCTGAAGCTGCAGGAGAACAAAGACAAGGCTGTATCATCTCTAGGACATCGCTTCCAGGATCGAGTCGCAAGTGGTGTGTGTGTACTGGATGAGCATCTCTTCTGGACGACTTGCTTTGAGTTCTGCTGCATGAAGAAGGTGGCTCCAGATCTCTATGAAGAGCTAGGTAAAGCCGATCTAATCCTCTTGAAGGGAGACCTGAACTACCGCAAGCTGGTGGCTGATCGCTACTGGCCACACACCACACCCTTTGAGGAGGCCCTATGTGGCTTCCACCCAGCACCCTTGTGTACTCTGAGGACACTGAAAGCTGATGTGGTTGTCGGATTGAGGGAAGGACTGAGTGAGGAGAAAGAGGCAGAAGACACAGATTGGATGGTCACAGGACAGAATGCTGTCATCGAGTTCTGCAACAAAGTTGTCCATTTGAGCTAGTCCATGACAGGAAGACGAACTCTTGTATCAAAATGTGTGTGTGCATCTTCATTCATATAGCAGGTAGTGTGGCACATTGTCATTAACCTGCTAGTGTAGGGCAATTTATTCATGGATGTAGTTCTCAATTAATTGCATGAAAAAGATATTTCTTGATGTCATCAATGATTTTAAGAATTCAAAATTACAAAAAAAAACTGAGATCTGAACCCACTTGGCTGAAATATGAGAATATTTGAGTACAGTCGAAGCATGTAGCAAAGTGTTTTTTTTTCTCTCCTTCTTCTTTACATGTTAATTTTTAAAAAATATGAGCAGTCTGAGTATTTTGGTTACACATACCCAAATTTATTGACATGTAACATTGCATTTTCAAGTAGTCAAGTGTCTACAATTGTGCATGGAGATCCATATTGCAGGGTCATAATGTTGTAGTATAACAACCTTAAAGTAATAGTGTGACTCGATTCTCATGAAATAGTCTATGACAGGATATATTTTCATTTGAAATCATGAATTTGGAAGACAAAAACAATGTTTTGATCTCTTTGCACCGTAGTTTGGATACCTGTTTACAAATTACTGTGATCAATTATTTGTCATTCACATACTGCTGCGGTTTACCCGGTGGTTGTTTGTGTACTACTGTCTGTGAAGATGTGATGTCACCATGAACAAAATAGCTGTGCGCCTCAAAGGTCCTATGTATACTCTCTTTCCTGTGTGTTATGCGAAGTATGAAACCCCTGCAGAAATGCAGGGGATCCAAAGATCCTAGAGAGTAGTAATGAGTGGGAAAAACTTGTCAAGTCAGTGAGAGCATTTCGACCTTGTTAAATAAATAACAAAAACTATGTCTGGGCCCTGTAAGAAAATATATACGATTTATTGTATCTTACCAAAATTAGTTTCATCCCCTTTAGTGAACTGAACTTTACAATAATATATCGGTAATAGATTACGATTAATGTTTATGTTACATATGGATACAGTGTATGGTTATGATATACTTTATTGTCGCAAGATTGGAGTTAGGATAGATTCATAAGTTTGATTTTAAGTCAATTTTTATGTTACAGGGTGCCCTTTGCCTATGGGAACTAGGTGGTCCATGTATTAAACCTATGGGAATGAAAAAATTTAGTATTCAACAGTTTTACCTGATATGCACATTGCAAACCATTAACTATTGTCTACTTGAATATTAAGTATTCTTGCAGTTTATTCCAAAGGGATTCCTAAACTGATTCCTTGCCCAATTTGCAACCTTCAAAAAAGATTTTATTGTGAATTTTGAAGAGGTCATGAGCATTGAAGGTATGACATATGTGTCAGCAGGGATGGTGGTTCACGGTGTCAGTGAATAAGGATATGGTAGTCTCTTTTTACAACTCTTTAAAAGTACATTACCCCCTCTATGTTGAAACAAGAGAAAGCTTACAAACCATGAACCAAGAATGAATGGTTTTGAAATGGTTGTAATTATATTTTGTATGTGTGAGTTGTGAACAGCTTGAAAATACAGACTTTACATCTTCAATAGCACTTTCTTCCATATCATTTTCTGTTTATGTTGTGCAATTTATTTTAGAACTGATAGGACAACAGGGTAGACCTAGTAAGCTTGCATTAACAATATTAATAGAAATAATAATACTTGCTTGCATAAAAGATTCATGTAAATACTCTGACAATGTGTAAAGTTATTAATCATACTGCAATATAGTGTGATACACCTCATTAAATGAAAATTGTATTGTCAATATTTACCAACCTGGATGGTGATGATGCATTCAGAACAATTGATAGTTTTTTTTTTATCAGTTAAGAAAAGTGTTCCGAGAACAGATGAAAATGTACTTTTAAAAGATTACTGTTGAAAATGGGAAAAACAAAAATAAAGATGATGCAAGATTATATCATTCTTCTGTTTTGGGCTCTTTTCATTTGTGTTTAATGTAATTTGATGTGCAATGTTTTGTTCGAAAATTTGAGTATACTTTCAGTTATTATATTTTGTTTTGAAACATTTTTGGCTAATAATTTTGTTTCCTTTTGATACAAACTTTCTGATGTTCTTTTCTGTTTTGCATGAATTTATTTATTTATTCATTCGCACCTTTATCCATTATTAATTAATTATTCATCCATTCATACTTCGATCTATCCCAATCTTGTCCATCCATCCATATATACATCTCTCCATCCATCCATCCATCCATCTGTCCATTCATCCATTCACCAATCAATTCATACACCCATAATATTAATTTACTGTTGATTTTGACTAAATTATGCGAGTGGTATTCATTGTTTGGGTTGGAAACTCATTTACGGGCTGCTTGATTTATAATGAAGCCATTCATTCATCCATCAATACGTTCAAACATTTTCAGACTGGTAATAAAAAAATTTTTTTTGATGAGTTGGCTGACTAAGAATTGACTTGATATTTAGTGAGCACATTTTGAAGAGCCCATTTTCTTCGGAGAAGAATTTCTCAATGTTCCAACCATGCTCCACGGTACCTACCGAAACATATTATCATACAAACTAAAAGATCGAGCTTCTACAAACCAAGGATGTTGTCCGAATCTAAAGACGAAAAAAAAACGAGCATACACGGAAGAATCTTTTTCAAAAAGTTTTAATTCAAAAGTGATAAACGATAATGGGGAACCGAAATCTACTTTTGTTATCCAACTCACATTTATCTAAGTTTTATTAATTGTAACTACATGTAGTCTATCAATAGAGCCGTCAAATTTCGTCATTATAACTTTTCACTAGCTAGAGCAGAACAATGAATTACATCTCTCCGACATCTACTTTCTCTATCCCACTGATAACAAACTCTTCTTTACAATTAAATTTTATATCGAGATATCGAATTGAAATAATTAATGTGATTGACATTGAAAAATAACGTTCATTTACGATCATTCAAATCGGCAGGAAACATATTAGTATACCCACTGCAATGCTCTCTCGCACCAATACAAAATTATAACTCATATTCATCTGATAAGCAAAAGTAACAATGGTTTTATCATTTTATAGCAGTTATGTTTTCTAACGTGTTTTGTTTTTGTTTGACACTACCAATACGTTAAATGTATTGCACAATTATGGTAAAAATCAAAGTGAATTACGTTGTTCTATAAAATAATTACAGAACAGTGATGATAGGTTTGGTCTAAGACCAGCTAGATGCACCAAGAGAACAGATTTTTCATCAAATCTCATAAATAAGAGTACAATGATCCTCGACGTCACATTGGTTTTGATGGAGACAAATAACGATGGGGACAACATTTTCTTTTTTCGCTCCTGTACCGGATGACGAGTCATTTCATCAACTTTCCTAAGGCACTCGGGAAGTTGATTATAGGGGAGGTGAGGCCCCGTGAGGCCCCATTCTCAAATATAAAAGAAGTGATTCTTTCCCAAAGACAAATATAGTAGTAAAACATCGAAAACACCTATCTGTTATACTTTTATGCAGGAGGTGACCACTGTGGGCAATGGTGATTAAAAAAAGGCTTTACCATGCATGGATTGTAATTTTTTTCTTTATTCCATTCGTTCATAACATCAAGGGGAATATCAACAAAGTCACTTTGAATAATTATCTTTCGTTGACCAACTTACATATTCGTGCAATTTTTTTGGTGTGAATTTGGTATCGGGTAAAAATGGACCATAACGTATGTTTAAGCTAACTGGAAGGTTAAAAGCGCATTGATGATTAGTGTGATTAAAGTTACTTTCTCGTTCTTTCATGGCGTTCATTGCGTTAACAAAACAAAAAAAACAAGAAATCACCCAAATAACTTAGAAATGATTCTTCTCCTTTTCTTGATGAAATTTTGATTGACTTTGCGTCACACAGTACCGTTCTGATATTTTGGTAATGAAGATACAAGTCGCAATCTAATGCTTTATATACAGCAAATAACGTCATATTTTCACAGACAATAGTATATTTACATAGTATAATAAAGAACAACAGAAGCAGCAACAACAATCGCAAAAAGTCACCCAAAGTTGCTAACAGTATTACAGTATGCATAATTTATGAGCATTCCTTAGAATAGGTCGTTCGGTTTACATGCGGGAATGTGGGACATTTTAAAACGAATTCTTAACATTGAATGAAGTGGAGTCAACTCTGGGGCAATTGATTAAGAATTGGCTACCCAATCTCCCTTTATTCATTGAGATGTGAATTAATATCTCTCATGCTGGAATAAAAGATTACATCTGAGTGCCCGTAGTCTGGAGTCTACTAATTCAGTCGACCTTCACACTTGGTCGTCTGTCTACACTAAGATAAACATTATCATCGATTTTCATAGAATATAGGTCTCACATTTTTCCTAAAAGGCTATAATAAAACATTTTTTGATCAATGGTGATTAATAAGCTTGTACAGTGACTACCAATTGCCACTAATAATCCAATGTTAAAGTCAGAAATGCTTGGATACAAGGATGTATCACAATTCCTAATTGGTACAACGAACAACATATTTATGGGCATTTAGGCCTACTTTACTACTTTAGATACCTTTTCCATTTTGTATGTAATATAATTTGCTTCTTAGCTCCGAGATTGTCGCTGTTTCTGGATTTATTGACGGATTTTCTCAAATTTAAACTATACGGTGAATTTGGAATGTCAACGTTGAGCTGTGGTATAAGTTTGACGCTCGGCACCAGGATCACACTGAATGACTGACGTTACACTGACGCTAGTCCGTTTTGGTTTTAGATCAATTTCAATTGGATAATCAGACGCCACGCCAATACCTAGACGACCTAAAACAAATCAGAAAAAACGACAAAAATTACTTCACACCACCTTCTGTCTATAATTATCTCTATTCACGAACAGCACCGAATATTCCAAAGCAGTTGTCAAGCAGAGGGGTTTATGCGGCACCCTCGTCGCGTCTTAAGGCCCGAATTCCTGGCCATTAAAACATGTCGCCTTTGTCATCAGCGTCATAAGGCATCAACGTCAAATTCACAGCGCGAGAACGTAATTGAACTTAAAAGCCTTCGGTTTCGGAAAGTCTGCATCGCGTATGACTTCAAATTCCAGTCGGACCTCGCCGCTCATGGAACGGAATTCGAAGTTATTTTCTCCCGGGCGGACCGGGGACTTGATATGGTGGGGGTCCACGCTTGCCGATATGGGTTTCTTTCCATCGATGATTTGAGTCTTCTTGTAGCCTCGGTTTTCGTAGATCCTCACGCCTTGGTGCTGCGGGTCGATATAACAGCTGAGTGGAGAAAAGAAAAACACAAACAAACGGATGTTAAAAAGTAATAAAAGCGAAAATACTGCGCTGTAGCTATGGTAGGGGGAGGGGCTAGGGCGAGAAAGGATGGAAGGGGGAATATAACGAGAGAAAAAGTAAGCAAAACAAATTTTAATGACTACACTAATGTTCTCGAGGTTCACTATCCTAATCATTCTGTAGCTCAATGATTGAAACCACTCATGAAATCTAATCCGAAGCCAGGAAAGGTTAGAAAGACATTATTATTTTAGACGACCAATTATTATCGGGCTGATGGGAATCGTTACTTTGTACAAAGTCACGATTTTGGTGTCAGTTATAATAAGACAACGTCTACAGTTGCATGGAGCAATTAGTTATCAGACAAGGGACGAGTGACGTCCTGGATCGAAAGTTTGAAAGTCGTGACATCCACCCCTCCCTCTTTAAAACTTGAAATGTTGTTGCCGGCACGGTGACAACTCCTCAGACATTGCTTTTGCATTGAACATTCCTATATAGTCAATAAGCTGTGTAATAATGAATAATAAACGTCAAATCTTCCAAACATTGATACGCAGTGCAAACTCCGCAAAAAGGCGCTCGTCCAACGACATAACAAATAGCATCCTATACCCAGGTCTCCATAAACTTGTATAGGTCCTTCAAAATATTTAGGCGGTTCCACAAACAGATACTGAGCATGGCTTATAGAATTATAATCTAGACATCCCTAGCTTATAGTATGAGTAAAGTTACAGTCATTAATAATAACTCATCTTGTTACGTATTTTTGTTACGGGGAGGTCAGATTATAATGCCGCACATCTTCACGTCCTGTCTGTCGCAGACGAACAGATATATTGATTCCACCTGGTATTACAGAATTACAATCACGTGATATATATTTGGGCTTGTAAACTATATGACTGCAATTATTTATGACGGCAGCTATAGCTCGTTTGGTTTTCATTTCAGCTCATAATACTGTGCAGTCCCTGGATAATAATGCCAGACGGTGCTATTTCCGAATCTTGATCTTAATCCAAAACTCGAAGCAGGTGTTGTCAAATGAAATTAAAAGAAATTAAATGAGGTAATGACAACGTTTTGATTTTTCAAACGATGGGGAAACATATTTTAAAGCCCATTTCGAGAACAAACGGGGATCAATTTAATTCTGAGGGCAATTTGGGACTTTTATGATGAGGAAAAACAGAAGATTGAAAGTTCTCATTTTTGGCAAAAAGTGGCGATTTTCGATTTTTCTCAAATTTGCCCTAACGCCCCTTTTGTAAACAAACGGAACTTAATATAAATCTGAGGGCAATTAGGGACTTCAATGATGGGAAAAAAATATGATTGAAAATTTTTATTTTTGGCAACATCAAATATCATTTTATCCCAAATTTGCCTTTAAGGTACTATGTCCCATTTGCAGGCCCCAAAAAAGAAAAGGTTAAATTCCAACGGCATTTGAAAGACAATACTAATTTAGAACTTACTCTCACAGCGAAAGAGCTTGAAAATGGCTTTTAGTGGGAAATTAACGACCTTTACTTGTCGAGTCGACAAAAATGATCAACTTACCCCTCGCCTTGTTTTCCAAAAAAGTGGCGATTTTCGACCCCCCCCCCCCCCGCTCCCCAATTTTTTTTAATTTTTTTTTTGACCTAACGCCCCTTTTTAGGAACACGCCGGGATCAACAAATTCCGAGGGCATGTTGGACCATTCATTATGAGAAAATGGAAAGGATTGAACAAAATTGTTTTTTGATGTTGAAAAAATGATAAACTAACCCTTTGCCATTTTTGCCATAAAGTGACGATTTTCGATTTTTCCAAAATTTGCCCTGACGCCCTATTTGGGAACAAACGGGACTCAATATAATTCTAAGGGCAATTAGGGAATTTCATTATGAGAAAATGGAAAGGATTGAAAATGTTCGTGTTTTTTTTTCTGGAGAAAATGAATGCCATTTTTGCCAAAAAGTGGCGATTTTCGAATTTTTCCATAATTTGCCTTAACGCCCCTTTTGGGAACAAAGGGGAGCCATAATAAATCTGAGTGCATGTTGGGACTTTCATGATGAGAAAACAAAGATGATTGAAAATGTTCAGTTTGGGGAAAATGATGAACTATATAACCCCTTGCCATTTTTGACAAAAAGTGGTGATTTTCGCATTTATCCCAAATTTGCCTTAACGCCCCTTTTGGGAACAAACGGGAGCTTTGATAATTCTGAGGGCATGTTGGGACTATCATGATGAAACAACTGAGGATTGAAAATTTGCATTTTTGGCAAAAATGATGCAGTAACCCAAAAGTGGCGATTTTCAAATTTCCCAATATTTAACTGATGTCAAATTGCAGCAGATTTTGCTTAAAACATGCAAAAGCTAGGTAAAATCTTTTTCGAACCGTCCCTATACCTCCACGCGTATTTTCATAAAGATCTAGTGTCATTTTGCAACCTCCAAAATATCAAAATGTAAGGATTGTTAACGTTTAATGGTCTGCTGTTATGAAATATTGCTCCATTATCGAGGGGGGGGGGTGTCAACTTCTCGCCTCCGACCCCCCCCCCCCCCCGCCCCCTGCACCATCCATTCTTCACATCCCTACATCCTAAAAACAACATAGCTAAGTGATGTACACATGATTAATTGCGTTTGACATTATACGACCCCGCAATAGCTGGTATCGGTCTCTAAAAAGATTTTTGGTATATCGAGCCTTGGGCTCCGCAATCAAAATAAAATTCCGATGTGAAGAGTCGTGTAACGGGCAAGTGCTATGTTACCATCAGCATTAGATTGGGAGGGGTTATTTTTATACAATGGGTAATGTGCGATACGTGAGGTATAGCTAAATTTAAAGTTCATGCATGTGCCCTTGATAATACTTGTTATCATTGAACATACAATCAAGAATTAAAAAAAGACTAATGTCAGCATTGGACAAAATTTTCAATTTCATTTGATAAGAGTGGGTTAGAAATGTTGTTGTGAGGATATATTGCTTGGAAAATCACTCGCACCGCCTTTAATACTCTTGTTATGCATCTTCTCAATCTTTAAATTAAAGTGGTATATAAATCTTTTGAGAAATATAAGTCTCTTGAGAAACCTGAAAAACAATTTTCAATAATTCGATATTTCACTCTATAGATTCATGTTTTACCCCTTTCGCTAAAATGGTTTTGTTGAAGTTTGTCGTCTCATAATTCCCTTTTGACAAAACAATGATCCTTTAATAAATACCAATATTCTGAGTATTACGAATTGTTCTACGTCTTTGTCCAATATTTACTTTTAATCTACATTTCAATTTTACAAGGGTATAATAAACATTGTTTAGCCCCGACCATATAGATTTTAAAATACATCTTCAAATTGGTATATCTCACCATTTTATTCTTACCATTTCTGTAAAGTCACATGAATTGGAAAAGAAGACCTTCGGGTTATAGTTATTAAGTTAATCTTTTTCTTTTCCCGGCCTTCATGTGACTCTTTTTTTATTTATTTTTTCTATTCAATTTGATTTTATTCAAGTCCATTTAAAAAAAAAGTACATTTAAAAACATTGTACATTGACAAAATATTTACATGTTGGATACATAGTATACATTGAACTTTAAACACACAATTAAAAAGAGAAGTAAAGACAAGAGTAAGAAATCAAGGAAATAGATAATGAACATGAAATGGAAATTGCAAAAGAACCAAATAAAGGTTCTGTCGAGGCAATTCCCAGCTTATTAAAATACCAACATTTTTACTGATAAAGAATTAGAAAAGCATAGTGACATTATGGCAAAAAAGAGTTTAAAAGTTATAAAAGTTAGGATGGATTAATTATTTTGTAGAGTCTGTGAATAAAAAAACCTTAAGTTAAGAGAATTAAGAAACGAAATTGTTTTAATATAATGAGGAAGAGAGTTCCATGTTGACGGTCCTTTTGATTTGAAAGAAAAAGATGCTGCTGTATTTTTACATTTTTCGACATAGTAATTTTCTGGATTTCTGGTATTATAATTATGCATTTCTGTTTTACATTGAATAATAGAGACAAGATTATATGGTAATTTGTTATGCTTATGTTTAAAGACCATTAATGAGATACAGTAGTCATTCAATTGATAGATTGTGAGAAGATTAGGTTTTTTTAAATTGTGGTTGTGAGGGAGCAGTATAGTGAGACATTGAACATATTCTTACAATCTTTTTTTTGCAATTTCAATAATCCAAGGAGCCTACTGGGATATGTATTGGCCTATACAACATTGCAATACATTAAATTAGGTAAAATCATTGAATTATACAGTAGGATTAAAATATGTCCTGGCAAAAAATGCCGCAGTTTGCTGATGACACCAATATTCCTTGATATTTGTTTATATTATGTTCAACCCATGATAAATGTTGATCGATAACAACTCCTAAGAAATTTGTGGATTGAACACGTTTTATGATTACATTATTCATACTAATATTAAGATTGGTTAATAAATTTTCTGAAATTGTATTTTGCTTACGATGAAAGTATATAAAGCTAGATTTGGAAGTGTTAAGAGATAACTTATTACAATTAAACCACTGTGAAACATTGCATAATTCCTCATTAAGAAATTTACATAAATCATAGAAATTGTCATGGCTATAAAGGATATTGGTGTCATCAGCAAAAAGAATGAATTTCAATTTATCAGAGCAATTAATCAAATCATTTATATACAGTAAAAACAAAATGGGCCCCAGGATTAAACCCTGTGGTACTCCACACTTTACTCTCATTGGATCTGATAAAACATCACTGTAAAAAGTTATTTGAGTTCGATTTTTTAAGTAGTTTTCAAACCATAAGGATAATGTGCCTCTAATACCATATATATTCAATTTTTTAAACATAATTTCATGGTTGATCGAATCAAAAGCTTTACTCAAATCTAAAAACACCCCCACGGAGTGTAATTTGTCATTTAAAGAAGATATCAGATAATTATGTAAATCAACAAGAGCCATTTCGGTGGATACATTCCTGGTAAAACCATACTGGCAAGAATTTAATATTGCATGCTTTGTTAAAAAATGTTCTAAACGATTGTAAACAATTTTTTCTAAAATTTTTGAGAAAAATGGTAGTACTGATATTGGTCTATAATTTCTAATAACATGTGTATCATCCTTTTTATGTACTGGGATTACTTTTTCCATTGATTTTCTTCGTCTTTGCCGAATGAATAATAATAATAATCTTGCCTTCTCAGATCCGTTAATCTGGTACGTTATTTTGAATATATGGGCTGCCAGTCTTAATAAATAATTTATAAACTTTTACTTTTTTCTATAATGGCTTTAAAAAATAAAAATTTAATTTCAATCGACGACAGAGTGGAACCTATTTGAAAATACAAATATTTTCATTCAAAATATAAAGACGAATTAAACACGAAGAAAAACATGAAAAAAATTTAAATAAAATTTTCCATCATCAGGGTTGATCCTGACAAGCATATCATACTAGAAAATCGATATGAACACCAAACATCAGAGGCCGTCTTCATTATTTCCATACTATTGGGATAAGTCATGACCTTGTGACCAATTTTCTAGCTTTGTGTGATGTTCGAACCATGTTTGGCTTATGCAATTGGCCATAATGAAAGTCAATGTCGAATAGATTGGTGAGAATGTGTGGAATGCAAAGCATACGGGATACGCCGAACAAATAAAGAGTACAATCAGTATTTACAATGCCGGAATAATTATTATACTAGCTCTCTTGAGAGCTATACACGTGATAGAATTTGAAGCATGAAGATCTAAATATAGGGTTCTAATTTTGCCAGGCCCCTCCCTACTTTTTTGCTCAATATTATCCGTGGTAATTCATGGACGTCATTGTACAATAATATTTTTCTCATCTTAGGAATAAAGTACAATGATTTATTCCTATTCCTTGTTTCTACATTAACTATAGCTTTTTAGACCATTTACGCACTGATTGTCGATCGGAATATGACAGGAATAGACAAAAGAAACGTTGCTTCTAAGCAAATATTCCAAAGAGAAATTATAAATAGATTGGAAAGTCAGTCATATATTAATATGACCTAAAAGCGCAAGCTTTTACCAAAAGAGTTGTTACGTGTTATTTAAAAGAGAAAACAAAAAGTGAGAAAACAAAATTATCAGTATAATTCTTATGTTAATGATGATTCAAATGCTTTGCAAAAAGAAAATTAATTTCAATTCTTTGATATGCCAATAATGATGCTTTTGTGATCATGTAAGTTTGATTTGTATCATTGTATATTTGAATGTAAACCATGTATACCTAATAAATCCTCTGATGAGGCAAAGAAAAAAAATCTTTCTCTTCTTAGTGAAATGATAAATTCCTTTTACAAATGACGTGTCTTATATTACCGTCATTGTTGGTCAAACACCTTGTGAGCGTCAAGTAACGCCCGGCTGGAATGCTCCCCAGGGAGTGGAGATTGTGCACACAGTGTGTGCGGGCAAGCACTGAATCCAATGACCGGGTATTTTGTAAAGCGCTTAGAGACATTTGTATTAAGCGCTATATAAAAATTAAATATTATTATTATTATTATTATTATTATTATTATTATTATAAAACCATTTTCTGTTTGAACATTACATTTTAAACCGATTATTATTTGCATTTGTATAAGTATCAACTGTTATTAAGTGAAATTAAAAGAGACTTGGAACTTAGGAATGGACTTGCATTTACAAATTTAGTTTCATGAACTTAATCCAATTTCGACATTATCATACAATAATTATAGGGTTTGCGAACGAGATATTTGATTAACCAGTATTAACCAGTTGGACAATCGTCAGCTCCTGGCCGGGAAGAGAAATGGTGATTTGGTTTTTGGTTTTTGGTCTTTTATTTTAATAATTTTTATGACAAAATAACCCTTTTTGGATAATTTATTGTATCACACCCGAAAAGGGAATATAACCGGCAATAAATACTGGAGACCACAAAATCAAAATGTTCATTGCTTATAAAATACATTGTAAAATATAATGCCTTATTCATAACAGTGTGGTAACAAAGAAAACGCCAATATTGAGCAAATACGATGGCGAAAGTTCAAAGTTGATTGGTAGTCACGAATGGGACAAATTTTAAAAAATAAATAATTCGATACTTACTTGAAGTCATCTCCTTGTGTTCCGTATTTAAATCTGACTTCAATCGAGCCCCTGGGGTTGGTCCATAGTAGGTATCCTCGGTCAGCCTTGAGTTCACATGTGTCACATGATCTAAATCCACTGCATCACATGACCAGCAGGAAGAAAATAGTACAATTTGATAGATTCATAAATACCGACAGAAACATAAAATTAATATAAATCACATTCTAAAATTGCATGTTTCATTAACAAACATTATTCGTAGCCCCACATACGGGACTGTACAATACTTAAATTCCAGAAAATATATCGTTTTATAAACTTATACACAAGTTGCTATCATTTATATTTCAAAATAAATACATATTTCTTTAAAATAAACATGTAAAGATTTCGTCGTCATCTTGAAGATAATATACAAAATAGACTTACATGCATAATAAAATGAATAAAAATGTTTCATGCAAAAACCGTATATGCCTATCGTTATTGAATATATGAAGTGGTATGGGGAAGGCTATAACGCATAACAAAAACTCATGTAATCTTGTTCAATTACTTTTCGATTTATAAGGTATATATTTACAATTTCTTAAACAACGACAAACTAAACTATAAGTGCATTTATTCTGTAAAGTAAATAAACTAACATTAAAATGGTTATTATCATTGATGTTACTTATCCGTTTACCCTTCATTGCATTACATTCGTAATTAATTCACTGCGATATATGGCATCAAAAAGTACATTACAGACGCAATATTAAACATTAGTAAATAATCTATTACTGAATGAACTACATAGTTCAAGAGTATTTCAACATACTGTCATGCCATTAAGACAAGTCGACTCTTCGCAAAGAATAGAATGATGTGACCATTTGAACTTTGAAGCCAATGTCATACTAATTAGGCCTATGCATCTTTCGGCCAGACGGTATATTGTATAGGCTATATAAATAGTACATGGCTCCTTGCCATTACTTTTCTTAAATACTACCTTAATTCTGCTATAATAGAGTTGAAATCAAAACAGTATACTTTAAGCATAAAAGAGTCGCATATGTATAATTGACATAGATAACTGAATAAGAATTTTAAAGAGACAATACTTTACCCTTTTTCGAATTGGCCCATGGATACCAGGCGACTTGGTGAGTCTATTACAACTGGAGGATAATCACCAGCGCGTATGATTAGCTTTGTATCCTCAGACCAAACCATGTCCATATAACTAAAATCCATCAAAAATTTCCGCGGCTTTCGCCGGTTCAGGTAGCTCATGCAAGCCTCCATTTCTGGTTGCTCCTCTTGCTCTGCTTCTTCGGGCATTTTCATGTCAACTTTACGAGAATTTGTTGGGAAAAGTTTATTCCACTACTTCTGTGGATAGCCGTGGCGTATGGATGATGGTGATGGTGTGTGTGCGTTGATTTGTACGGAAATTCTTGAACCGGTGACGAATACATGATGAATGTGTGTATGGGAGACTGGGGGTTAGATGTAGACTTGGTGTATCGCACCATCAGAGTTGGATCCCGTAGGGAAAACTGTATCGGGGACCATGTATGTTTTAAGAGACCGTCCGTGACGGTTGGATGGGAGACAGGCGAGATTACACCACGCAAGGGAGCTATAACAGTATTCTTACAGCACCTCACTATTATGTAGACAGCGAACTAGCTTTGCTATCAGGGGAAGACGTGTCAGCCCTTTTTATACCAGACTCTCTGGCATGCATGCTTCGTGGGCAGACGGTCTGACCTAGGATTCTATAATACGATCATGGTTTGCCGCCAAAAGCTCTCGTCTGTCAACGTGAAGATTTATCTCTGCTCGTAAATAGTCAAAGGCCTAGCAAGGGGGAATAGGAGGGAATTATCTTGGGAAATGCAATTTGGTCACGTTCCTCGGTCCTGGCTCGCCGCCACCCAATCAGAGAGATAACCACAGACCTTTGCTTTCATTTCAGAAATTTGATTGGAAGTTTGATTTGTGACGGGAAACCCCTGTCATGCCTGGGAATCCAATTATTCGATAAGCAACATGGATGCATAAACTCATAAACCCCATAATCATGCGGATAAAACCAGATTGAAATGCTCTTATGACATTATGTAGTCCAGATGTTCAAGCCCATGACATTTCATTCGTGGCGTTATGGAATGCTACACGATTTTACCACTCTGATAGTTCGAGCAGATATTTTGAAAAGCAAAATAACTCGACAGTTCATTTCAGTACCATAGCAATCATTGCCTATGATAATCTAAATCACACCCAAAATATATTTGTTTACTTCGGATAGAAATAGCATTCGTAAAGGCATTATCTGGAATCGTCATCAGAAGATTTAGAAGAGTTTGGGCGCGGTGCACAGCGTTATCAGTTGGAGCGTGCTAGAGACTACCATGTACAAATAAGGTATGCATCCTGATCACGTGGTACCGTATGTCGGCGTTGGGGTCTGTCAATGACCGGTGTGTATTAATTTAAGCTGAACGTGTTTGTTAGCACTGGTGGAAACACATGCACAGCTAGCCCACCACTGAGCTGAGATAGTGGGGCGTCCGATCAGAGGCGCGATGTCGGGTTAGTTAGTGTAATGGTCGGACGACAGTAATGTTAAACAAGAAAATAAGTAGATAGCAGAATCTTTATCCTGCAGTTCAGAAGTAAATCATGTCCTGAGCGCAAAAAAAAAGGAAATTCACCCCCTAGCTCCCTAAAAAGAAAATATTTCAGGGATATCGCCCCCCCCCCCGCTCCCTCCCACCGAAATTTCGAAGAAAAAGTGTAAATAGAAAGTCAACAATACATTGTTAAAGCCCCTCTAAAGTGTTCCAAATTCGCCGAAAATTTGATCCCAAAATTCGGAATAAAAAAATATATAATTTGGGTTTTCTGTTGTACACAGAAAACCTAAATGTTGTATACTTTCATCAATTTTCGACTTCAAACACATTTTGTTATAGATATCCTTACAGAAATGTGTCTTTAATGACATCCTTTTTCACATTATGATACAATAGAAATATTTAAGTGAAATTTGCCATCAAATTTTTGGGGCTCCGGACACTTTAGAGGGGTTCTGAATAAAAACATACGTCTAAGGTTTTAATACTCTAGAAATAACAGTTTCTGCATTCAAAATTGGAAGATCTCATCACTCGGTCGCAAAGCTCCCTCGCAAATAGTTAATCATTAAGTATAAAATTATATACACTTAAAATATTGTATCAAACCATATTATGTTCATGAAAATGTATGATGAAAAAAAGTAAAAAGATGCAGAAACCAATAAATCAAATCAAATCAAATCAAATCAAGTACTGTAGAAGTTATGCCAACTGTATGTACGAGCAAACTTTGCGAATCATAACGTTATAAAGGCTGAGCCCTTATGTTACTGCGTGTTTTCAAATCGTTATTTAAACTGCAATTCTCATGAGGTCTACTCCAAACTTCGGGTTTGGTGATTCTTAGCTGATGGAAAGTGTCAAAGGAGACCCCCTCCCTGAAATTTATGAAATGGGCCACATATTTATTGAGTTTTAAAACTACAAATTAGATTTATATATTTATGTATATATTTATTTCAGTCTTCTTTATAAAGGATGGCCCTTTCAATATCTAGTATTGATCTTTTAATTGGCCCAGTCTGTACAATTAAACAAATATGTACAGGACTATTACAATAAAACACGATAAAATAGATAGATAAAACTTATAGATAAAGGACAATAGTCGTAACTAGTCTCAACTCCCTAACACATGTTTACGAAATATGGCAATACAAGTTAATACAATAGATCTTGTTCGATCCCTGCACAATAGAGATATAATAATTTAAATATCATGACCCAAATAAAACATCTAACATTAAATCTAGTCCAAATTAAGTATTTGTAATGTAAATGAATTAATTGTAAGGTCATATTTTTTCTTCAAAACTCTTCAGAAAATGCCAGTTGGATAATAAGCAGTTACGTTTTCCTCCCCCCCCCCCCCCCCCCACCCTAAACCGTATGTAGGCCTGATGTAGGCCTACATTCAGTCCCTGTTCCGTGTTCATAATGACGATGTCGATGTTGACGATGATGATACCGTATGACGGCTTTAGAGGTCTGTCAATGAACGTGCTTGTTAGCACTGGTGTAAACACATGCACAGCTAGCCCACCACTGAGCTGAGAGAGTGGGGCGTCCAAAAGACACGATGTCGGGTTCGTTAGTGTTATGGTCGGACGAAAGTTAAACAAGAAAATAAGTAGACAGCAGAACCTAAGTTTATCCTGCAGTTCAGAAGTAATTCTTGTGCTGAGCGCTAACAAAAAGGAAATTAGCCCCCTAGCTCCTTAAAAAGAAAATGTGTCAGGGATATCCCCCCCCCCCCTACTCCCTCTCACTGAAAATTTGAAGAAAAAAAGTGCAAAATAATAGATAGTCAACAATACATTGTTAAAGCCCCTATAAAGTGTTCGGAGCCCCAATTTCGCCAAAATTTGATCCCAAAAATTTGGAATAAAAGAATACACGATTTGCAAAAAAACCCTTAATTTTGTATACTTTCTTCAATATTCCACTTCAAACACATTTTGTTTTGAAAATCCTTGCAGAAATGTTTCTTAAATGACATTCTTTTTCACATTATGATACAATTTAAGTAAAATTTTGCCATCAAATTTGTTTGGGCTCCCAACACTTTAGAGGGGCTTTAAGTAAATATACGTCTAAGGCTTTTAATACTCTAGAAATTACAGATTCTGTATTCAAAATCGGAAGATCTCATCACTCGGTTGCAAAGCTCCCTCGCAAATATTTAATCATCAAAAACTGTAGAAGTTATGTCGACCGAAGGTATATGAGCACACTTTGCGCATCATAATGTTATTATATATGCTGAGCCCTTATTATTATTGCGTGTTTTCAAATTGTTATTTAGACTGCAATTCTGATAAGGTCTACTCCATACTTCGAGTCGGGTGATTCTTAGGTAATGGAAAGTGTCAAAGGAGACCCCCCCCCCCTCCTGAAATTTATAAAATAGCCCAAATATGTATTACGTTTCAAAACTACAAATTAAATTTATGTATTTATATATATATATATATATATATATATATATATTTATTTATTTCATTCTTCTTTATATATAATAGTCAGGTCATATTTTTTTCTTCAAAAGCCCTCAAAAAAATGCCAATTGGATGATAAGCAGTAACGCTTTTCTCCACCCCTACTGATGTAGGCCTACACTCGGTTCTTTCCCATAGTGCCGTGTTCATAAGTACGATGTCGATGTTGACGATGACGACGACAATGCAATATAATTTTGTAATTCTGCAGTAGGTGAATAATGAGAATGCCTGCCAGTATTTAAAGTTTGTAGACGATATCGAGCATACAGGTCATCCGGTCAGCTTGAATGATGTCCTGCATGAACAACCCTTGCAAAATGGAGTTTTCATTTTGTGTGGGTGCGTGTGCGTGTGTAGGGTGTGGGTGTGGGTATGTGGATGTATACGTATCCAGTAAACTTGGTATACAGTGCGTACTTGAATATATAGAAGCAGGATAAGTAAAGCATATTATTTTACTGCAATCTCGGTAGATATAGAACAAAATAATCAAAAATATAAAAATTCTTGCTTGGCAGACTTAGATCTAATCATTTTCGTCACTCAACTAACAGATAAACAAAACAAACAAATAATATGATAAAATACCACCACAATATGATTATGGCATATACATGGTATAGCGATTGCATGGTCGTGACAAGATCGCAAATATTAAATACGTCTCTATGGTAATATAATACAGACTATTCCTTAGTTTCTTCGAGAAACTTCTGACATAGCACCATATTTTAATGTATACATCTGCACTCTAGCTAACGAATCACAATGGCTTGTAACAAGGTTGCCAGGTAAAAATGTCAGAGGTAAAAATGTCAGAGGTATTAACAAAATGTCAGAGGTACACAAAAATGTCAGTGTAAAAATCAGTGCCGTCTTGATATCTCAGCACTTTGTAACACAAAATGTCAAGACTCAAGCTACTGGGCTAGTCTAGTGAAGTGAAGTAAGAGAAAGAACTCAAGAGAAGATGAAAACACAGGCACTGAAAATGTGTGAGATGTCATGGGACATCGTCTGCTTAAGTGCAAATCATGTCCCTGCTGTGATCTCACACATATCAGCAGCGTTCGGAGAGCTATTTAGGTGCTATGCCGGGGCTGTATTTAAGCGTTTTGTAATTTATAATAATCATTACTTCGAATGTTTCCAAGCATTGAATTTTGATAACCTTGTCGAATCAAAGTTTCAACTTTGCAATAATGAAAATAAAGCTAGATTTAAAATCAATGAATATCTACTTTAAGGAAAGAACGCGGGTGCTTTTCCCCCTTATCTATACTATATTACACAAGTTTAACAAACAGTATCAAACTTCGCTTGAAGAATGTCAGATAGTAGGCCTCAGGAGTGGCAATTTCATGGCCGGGGGGGGGGGGGGGGGGGGAGGGGAGGGGGTCGTAAGGCGAGGTAAAAATCTGTATTCCGTGGCAGGTTATCCCGGTGATACCAAAGAAATACAGATTTTCCTTCGCATTTGTGGTTTTGTACGAATCGTCCTTGTTTTCACGAAGTGACGGTAGCGAGGAAAATTGTAACGCAAAGTGAATGCAATTTTTTTTCACTACCGTCACTTCGTGAAAACAGCGACGGAATATGTACCTGCTGGAAACTGCGTTATGAAGCGGATGACACAGTTACTTTTAACATTGAGCCCCTCCCTCAACCAGTTATCCCCCTCCTTCTCAGGGGCCCAATGGGGGCCACCCTGGAAACTGTTATGAACACCTTTTATTCTTCACCTAAAATGTGACCATGCGTTTTTAGGAAGAAGATGAAAATGTAAAAAGGGCCGGACAACGGACGGAGACGGCAGTTTTGAGCGATGTACTGTGTGATTCATGGCCTTGGCGTACAAGCCGGGTGAGAGAGAACCCCCCCCCCCCCGCCCTCCCCTTGGAAATAATTGGGTAAAAAGTCAAAAATTTGGGCCGAAAAGTAAATAAAAGTTAAAGTAGGAAGAAAATAAAGCAGCGCTGAAATAATGACTGCAGAGAATCCTTCGTTATTCTTTTTCGATAAGCCTGATATACAACCATTACCAATATTCAACTTGTATGTATTTAATAACATGCTATTGTTTTGATGTTTTTGCCTCTGACATTAATTTTTGCCTCTGATATTTTTACCTCTTGACACTTTTTACCTCTGACATTTTTACACCGAGCCGTAACAACTAACAAGTGATTAAACATTTCATTTATAGGGAATATGAGCATTGATACTTTTTTGTGAAGTGATGGTGAAACAGGTAAATCATTCTCATATCAGTCATGAACACCCAATCACATTCACGTACAAATTCGATATGGTTTGATAGATATCATAATCCTTAACTTGAAGAGAAATGGAATGCATTACTCACCCATCTATATCTCAAATCTGCCTATTTTATCAATCGCAAAAAAGTCATAGTCACTGGTTCTTTAAGGGAAATTTTGCAATGTAGGAAGCGAACAAGGAAACTTTAGTGCAACATTTTGGTGATCCTTGGAATTGGTTTAGCGTACCGTCCTTAGTCCTATCACCTCCCTGGCCTTAGCTTTGCCCCGACATGTCAGCTACCCCACAGTGCGTATAGGTTTATCCGCACGTACTATATGCAAACTCTGCAGCCAAATGTGGTACGTGATTGTCAAATTAAAGCTTGTGTCCATTTTGTTCGGACTGACAAAGACCACAGCTGAAATTCAATGGATACTGATTTTCTAATGTGAACATCGAAGGAACGGAACAACCCTTTTGTATGTACTGAGTTTAATCATGCGTGAACACCACCCCCCCCCCCCCCCCGCCCCATCCCTCCCTTCTTCCTACTCATTATCTTCCCCGGATCGCTGAATCATGTAAATTCTAGTTGTGGTATAAATCAGAGGCAGCGAAGCCGGGGAAGGGGCACATTGCCCCGCCATTTTTCCAAGTACCCCTAAAGTGCCCCCTTTGTTAAAACCTCAGACACTGCCCCTTTTTATTTCTAATAGGTGCCCATTCCCCTTCTGATAAAAGTATCCCTTTTCATCTTTGATGAGTGCCTCTTCTCACCTCTGATAAGTGCACCCTTTTTATTTTGATACGTGCCCCTTTTCTTTTTTAATAAGAGCCACTTCCATATTGCTCCGATTGTCTCAATTTCGTTCGCGTGAACATTGCCAGCACAAACCACTGACCTCTACCTCCTGAACGGATCATCGCCCATTCCCATTCACTATACGTTACGTGCTAAAATGCTGTATTGTCTGACCGTTCATGAATATTCATGTTTTTGCTAAACTCGGCAAAATGTTTGCTTTTACTAAATCGAAAAATTACGGTGGGGGGTTGGATGAATTGGACATAATGAAATAGGCAGAAGTGATTTATGATACTTCATGCTTTTTATGTTTCGTGTGCTCGACCTATAACCTTCAAATCGCTTGGTAAACTGAGTCCAAAGTTAGACTTGTTTCACATGTGTATTATAGGCAATGACGAGCTTGCAACCTATTTTGAAAAATTACGGTGGCGTGGGTGAACTTTCAAAAGTCAATGAGACATGAGGGCTCCAATGAAAGAGCTAGTGATAACGTGTTAGGCACTGATCTCTACGATTTTTCCGTAGAGATCAGTGGTGTTAGGCTGCTGGCTCTGATCATGCTCTGACGATAGGGGGCGTTGTGAAATGAGACTAAACGGAGCCATATGCCCCTTCTCATAAATGCCCCTTCTGACATCTTTGATAAATGCCTCTATTAAAATCTCATAGGAGCCCCTTTTCCTTCGAAAAGTGCCAATTTTCCTTTGCAATAAGTGCCCCTTTCCATTCTCACAATTTACCCTATTCATCTCAGGTGAGTGCCCCTTCTCGGTTATAAAAATGGCCCCTTACCATCTCTGATAAGTGCCCCATCATCTCTTATAAGGCTCTTTTCATTTCCGATGAGTGCCCTTGTTCAAATTTGAGAGGTACCCCCTTTAATTCTATAACAAGTGCCCCTTTAATATATATGGTAAGTGCCCCTGTTATTTAAACACCTTCCCCTTTTCCTTTGTAATAAGTGTCCCTTTTCCCGTTCTCATAGGTGCCTTTCTTTATTTATGGTGAGTGCCCCTGCAAAAAGTGCTCCATTTTTACCCCAGATAATTCCCCTTTTTAATTTGATATGTGCTCTTTTTTTTCTTTTAATCAGTGTCCTTTTCCCTTTGAATATGTGCCTTACCCCCCCCCCCCCTCATTACTTTCACAATGAAATGTGTTCCTAATTTATAGCGATTAAGTGCAACTTTTTCTTAATTTCACCCTTGCTCGCATTTTAAGGTGATATATGTATATTTTTTATTAAAGATCTTTTCAGTCTTTTATGATTAGATTGTGCCTAAAACCCCACGGGGATCGTTCTTTCCTCTTTAAAAGGTGGGATTTTTCGGACTGAGAGCTCAAAAATCTTTAGAATTTTGCTCGCTCACCTTACTCGTTCGCAAATAGATATTCAGACCATCACACCCGACTGCAAAGTATGATGGTTTAGAGGTATCTTGGACCATGTAAATAGAGAAACAAACATTGAAATCATCCCTGATAAATGATAATACATTGTAAACACAATATAGGGGTAAACACCAATGTCTAAAAAATGTATGGGAGACCCATAGAGATATATAACTACATATCTCTATATGGGGAGACCACAACATTTATGGTATAGCGTCCTCAACGTCTGATTAGGGAAACAATCTCAAGTCCTTTTGCCTTTTTCCCGGGAAGTGGGAACTGTCTTTGAAATCAAGGAAAATTAGTACAAAATCTATTGCTACCGATTTCATTTTGGTGTTAAAACCAACCCGTTATTTATAGAAACTGATTAAGGTTAACAAAAGGAGCTATGGCAGGTATGCAACCACCGAATGTCGCATCAATGGGAGGTGTTCCTCAGTCGCATCCTCAAGCGATGCCAGGCCAGCCGACCCCGCCGACACAGGTCCCACAACAGGGTACTCAGGGGCAGCAGCCGCCGCAGCAGCAGGCTGCAGCATCTCATCATCATCAACAACAACACCAAGAACATGATGCCATTGCCAAAGTGAAGATGACTGTGGTCTTATTGAAAGAGGCATTGAGGGTGAGAACAACCTAGACTAATTATTTGTATTAGTATTGTCAGTACTCAGTAGGTCATTTGCCAGGTTTCTGGTGCGAAAAAAAGAAGATTTCGGCACTAATTACGATGTGGATGAATTTTTATTTCACTGTTTATTGTTTAATTTATTCATAATGTGTAAATTGTAGTGGCAGTAAGTGTGGAAGAAATGGAAATGATTATTTCAAGATTAGTCAGTATTGATGAGTTGGAAAATCTTACACTAATTAATCATAATAAACTCTCCAAACAGAATTTCTGAGCATATTCAGTATTGCTTTCAGACTGAGTTGAATCAACCTAGACTAATTTGTAAGTGCAATTATGCTGTCACCGCGACAGATTTTTGTAATGTAAATTATCAATCACTATTTGATTATTCAATTTTTAAACATGTTCATGTCATGTGAACAGCAAGTTCCTTCAATAAGTTGGAACATGTAAACAAACAAAAAAGGCCCACTTATGATGTGAAAAGATGTCAGAAAAAAAAAATTCAAGTATAATGTGCAATCCTATCTAATCTAGATCTATGCATTGCTGCTGTATGATTCTTTTCTTTACAAGGTGCAGAGAAATGTATTAATATTTTGCCTGTGTGTATTATAAACTAAATGATTCATCTGAATATTAATATCATAATCACTTTCAACTTTCAATATATTTATATTTCTAATCTTCATATTTGTTTTTATGTTTTCTAGAACCTTATGAAGATTTCTGCTCAGGCCTTTGCTCATTCTGCCACGATTGACAATACAACGTAAGTCAATACGCATTTAATTTTTTACATGTATTCAGATAAGTGTAGGAGTACACATGACTTGGCATAAATATAGATGTTCATACAAGCTGTGTTTTACATATTTCATAGCCCTTTGGAAAGACCTTTGAAAAAGACCATACCCCTGGTAGAACTATGTGCATGTTGATTTATCAAGCCTCAACATTAGTTGAGGTCAACGATATATGGGTCTCTGAATTCAGAATATCCCCCAATTTGTTTAAACTATTGAAATAAGACATAAAGTAGTATCCCCTTGTTTTTTGCATAATTTTATGGTCTTACTCTTGTTAATAGATTAAGGAAATTCTGGAGCCCTAATTAAATGTATGAGTGAATGCATTTCACTCATTATTTACTTTTTGTTCATATACATTAAATGAAATCAGATTGAAGCATTGGGTAAAGAACGAAATTCTGACCGAAAGGCCATTTATTTCTTCTACTCTTTGTAAAGAAAATGTGTAAGTTTACTTTAGTATACTGTTTTCTGTATTGATACTGTTTTCTGTATTGATGGCACATTATTTGTGTTAAAAAAACTACATTCTTGTGTTTGTTTCTTTCTTTATAATTTCAGTAAAACTTCAGATGAGATTGCAGCAAGATTTGATAAAAGCTTGGAGGAATTCTATTCTCTGTGTGATCAGCTGGAGTTGTCACTTGTAAGTAGAGTAAAATACATGCCTCACTATATAAATGATCAGTAATTAAGCTGATTTGATTTGTTAATGTTTTATTAGATGTATCTGATACTATCTACCTTTAAAATGTTTAAATTTTAAAGTTTATGAGTAATGTTAAATGGTATAATTGCATTCCTTTTCAAGCATACAAATCATTCCTCTTCAAGTGATGTCTTATCTGTTATTGTTTGTTTCTTTAATTCGTAGTTTGCTTGTATCAATTATGTTGCCCACACAAACAAACAATTTCAATACACATGAAAATAAAATATTTAGCATTGATGTCATCATGTCAGTAATAAAAAGAATTTACTCTTCTTGAAACACTTACTGCTTTAAAAGTTTTTAAAAGAGTTGTATTTTGCAACCTGTTTTTTCTGTTGTGTGAAATTATATCAGTGTAGTTTAATTGAAAGTGAAGAAAGTAGAGGGTGAAAAGAACCCTGTTGTTTATATCATGAAAAATTTCTAAATTTGAATGACCAAATGACTGATAAATTTATCTAAACTTTTGTTTACACAGCGTCTTGCCTACGACTGCACGACCCAGTTCATGGACGGGGCACGCTATACCCCTGTACCGCTTGTCCATTCCCATAAACCAGACATGATGCCGACGGAAGCCCTGACCTACGGCCAATACATCAGTACAGTGAAGGCTCAGATACAGTGCGCTTCCGACGTTCATACCGCCCTCTTGGACTGCTGCCAGAAATTAGGGCATTCAAGCCAGACATAACGAACTGTGAAAGCAGGCCAATGACCAATGAACATTTTGTATGTTATAGACTTGATGGAGCAAGGAGAATGTGATATTTGATTTTTGATTAACTAATGTGCATGGAAATTCTGAAAGTGGATTTGGACAAGAGGTTGGCAAAAGCTTTGCAGGAAACTACTGACGACGTGAAACACATGAACAACTCAACTGCTATGTGAGGTTGTGAGCTTGAATTTGGATTCACTGTATCAGTGTATGGAATGGATGGACTTGATCTTCATTGAGATCTAAACACAAAGTGGGAAAATGTATGATGACTCCAAACTGAATAATAATAGTCAAGAACATTAGAATGCTGAATCACCTGTCTTTATTTTGTATGTTTTTATCATTGTAAAGATTTTTTTAATACTGGACGGATAATGATAACAATTATGATAATAATAATGGTAGTATGGACACTGTACATGTAGGATACAGTGATCCTACATCTGGATTTCAAACTGCTTGTTCCTTAAAGAGCATATTCTCCAAAATGGAAGTAACTACATGTACCGGTATGTTAAGACTACGTATGCAATTGGGGAGTGGCATCATGGAAGGATGATTGAATCCTGTACAACTCATAGCAAAGAAAATGCGAACTTTAGAGCAGTGGGCCATTTCCCTTAATGCATACATGTACATCTTTCCAACGGCTAAGTATATTGAAAAGGATAAACTCTGAGTAGTGAGCATCCCAGAAAAGGCAATTAATTAACTGAGGTCATTTTAACATTCCTCTCTTAAATGATTCTCAGATGATAGGAATCACTAATCTTGTAATATATGAAGTAAACAAGTGCCATGAAAAAAATAAGTATGTTCTGGCAATTCTGTAATATCAAAGGGGAAGTCTGGCCCAAGGATAAGGGTTTTCTGAAAGAAGAAGTCTGGATCTGGGCTTTATAGTCTTTTCTGTTGATTGATGTCCTTGGATCATGTGAAGACTATTGATTTTTTCATCATTAAAACATTTTTACATAAAAAAAGATGCATTGTCGTTTGATTTCAGTTTTTCATGATTGCTCAGCATGTTTAGGAGAGAGTAAAAGTTTTATATGACATTGACACGTTTGTCTAAATGCAAGCGAAAATCTTTACATTATTTTTTTGCTTAGGTGGTTTCTTATCTATTATTGCAACCTTTGTGTCTCAAAACTATTTTTTTTTTAAATACAGAGCAGGTATCAAGATTGAAAGAAAGGAACAAACACAGACCCATTGCTATTTGGTGAAGAGTAAAAACTAGGAAAGACTTCGTTTGTAGAATGAATTTGAACGGTTGGTGTGGTTGTACACTTTTTTCTGCAAAAAGTGCTCCGTGATTATTTCCTACACTAACCAAAGTCTTAACAGCAACCCTAGACACAACACCATATCTAACCCTAGCCCTAGAGCTAACCTAAGACACAACTGCAGCCCTAACCTTAAACCCAGAGCCAAAATCCGAACATGAGTTGGTGTTTGACCGTGTAGTAGTAATAGTATTAAGGCTTATTCAATACCAGTTGTTTTTAGCTTATAACCCTAAAGCCTGTAGGATGCCTATACAATAGCAGAAATTAATGAATGCAAAGTTAAATTCTGTCTTCACATGTGAGAAAAGAGAAAAAAGGATTATGTGTAGGATGAAGTGTAATTGTTGGTGTTTCACCTTGTAAAATAGACAAATGTATTCAACCGCATATTTTTAGCTGATAACCCCAAAGATTGTAAGATGCCAATATGAATATGACAGCAAAAGTTGAATGAATAAAAGGTGAATTCCATTCTTACAGGTGAGAAAACGGCAAATGGAAAATGGTTGTGTGATATGAATTTTGGGTGGATTGTATATGACCTTGTAGAATAGCAATGCATTTGTCTTTAGCTCATGACCCCAAAACTTGTAGGATGCCTATGTGACAGCAGGAATTAATGATTGTGAGGTGAATTCTGCTCTTACTGGTGCTATCATGCTTGAGAGTTAGTTGATACTGAAAGGGGTTTTGATAATGGTCTAGTGAACAATGCCATCCCCACAAGACATTTAACTAATTGGTTCAAGATGCTGTAACAGCAACATTCACAGACTTTATAATTCTAAGACCACATCGTTTTCCCTCTCTCTTTCTCTCCCTCCAGTCCACCTCTCTCACCTTCCTCTGTCTTTCATAGCTTCACAGTCTCAATACTATCTTATTCTCTCATCCTCATGTCTTTTTCTTTCATAGTCAAGTAGCTTTGTGCAGTAATTTCTATGTGAAAACTTGAGTCACTTGCTTATTGAAATATCAGTTTTTCACCACAGCACTAATGTAAAGACCCCAAGACTAAAATATCTTTTATATCTTTTTTAAAACAAATAACTGTATAATTACGGGCCAACTGACATTTTTTACCCTTCAAAATGTCACATAGGGGCAGGGTTAGGGTTAGTCATAGATATAGTCATTACATCAGGATCTAGACCAAGTACATAATGTACGCCCAAATCATTATTTACACAAAATTAAAACAAACATATCAAGGACAAAACAAGATGAATAAAAAGACACAGGCACAAGTATCTCTTCATGTAACGAACTGTTTCATTACAATATTATTATTCTTATCAATCATACATATATTTGTACATCACACCGATAACTTGTACGAAAACAAACCATTTTATGTACATGTTGTGCAGCTTGTTGTGAATACTTATAACAGGACTACCTCCTAAATTCCAGCTTGATTAAAGATATGAATACAATCAATGAGAATCCATCCCGACATCCATCGTAACAACTATAAGAATACAAGGTCATGGTGCAAATAAATGTACAGATTGTGCAAGTTCCTATATAAATATACAATTACTTTCTTTCAAAACGAAAGTAATATAAAAGAGAATTGAATACATAAAATCAGGTGTTGGCTTGAAAACAAGACATCTTGATGAATACTCTCCTAATCAATAATAAAAGTTAATTTAAGTCTTTCTTGATTCCATGACAAATTTGGAATTTCATTTCTGTGTTTAAATACAAAATTACAGTATTTTCATCATAAAATCATTTTATTAAGTCCTCTTAATGAAATCAAATGATAAATATAAAAGCATTGTAACAAGTGGTTAATGTGTACATAATGCCATTGGGGCTCTACGTATAACATAGCACCAAGGTGAATACAAAATCTGAATGTCCGTTATTTAGCGAGAAGGAGAAAAATATAAATGGTGTGCATGGTTCATAGGCTATTTCAAATGCTGAAAAATCTATATAAAAAATACCATAGAAACTTTTCCTAGGAAGTCAGAGAATTTTGATGATGATGATGATGATGATGATAATGATGATGATCAAGAAGACAATGATTTCATTCTTATCAGCCTTTCCTGAGAAATACATTCAGGTTAATAGAAATGTCAACACTTGCCTAATTAGGAAAGTACATCATACAACTTCTAGAAAGGGTTCCAAATTCACTGGCCCCAACTTTATCAGGAGGTATTTTAACATTGTATCAACTTGCTCACTCTGTGCTTGTTAGTTGATCAGTGCAGATTTATCAATATTGTGTTGGTCATTGATTTTTGCTAAGTTTAGTGAATATTTCTGATTTTTGACTAATTGGATGGTTACTGTATTAGGCCTATGGGAATGAGAGAAGTATGTAGCCAATGGGTTAATTTCATGGCATAAAATGGCCCACATGGGCTGAATGATATCAAAATTTAGTTTCCCATATGGTCATTTTGGTTGCCTCTATACACCAGGGCAAGTGGTTTTATGGCCCCTTGCTGACTGAACAGGATCAAATTGTCTGTGCCTAGCTTGTCTTCTTCTTCTTCTTCGTTTGGTATTATAATGGCTATTAGTCAAATTTGACTATTGTTGCCAATTTCATCGCATCTCTTAATGTCTTGGTAAAATAATTTTTTAATTTTTTATTTTAAGGATGGTATCTCTACTTTACAAATTAAAAAGCAAAACATTCTCACAAAACACCTCCTTACCAATCCAAAAGCACACTAACATGGTGCAATCACATACCAAACCAACCAGATATAGATATTCTTCACATTAGAACATACACTTTCAAGGCATTATTACCATGGACCTGCAGTGTTACATTTTCTTTTATTTTTGTATCTTCAGCAATATCTATGTTATTGATCATAAATAAAACCTACTGCATTTGATGAAGCCATATAAACGTCTTGTTCAGTCCTGAACCCACAAATAAAATATTACATTAAAATATCATAAATAATACTTATAAAAATAAATGAAATTGTACTTTCCTGTTCTAAAATATGTATAAACTTTCACTTACGGTACGTAAAGAAAGGAAACTACAGAATATGGCGTATTACATGCTGTAACAGAACTTCATATGAACTTAATACTTTATAATGCCTGGGACCTATATATCCTCTTAGTACATCAAATTCATGATGAGTTGCATAGAACAATTGAAAACCTTGTGTATCTACTCATCTACTCCATAATTTATCTGGTGGTAGCAAATTATTAACACCAAGCAAATTCTTTCTACGTTATTTTTCTAAAGAGAAATACATTAATCAAGGTTGGACTCTATTTTTTAAAAACCAGTACTTATATATGTATTGCGCAAGATTTAAACAACCCAGCAGCCCTGGGAATATGTTCTCACGCTCCTAAGAAGTCAGATAATACCAACTTTATTCTCATGAACTATAATGATATTATTAAAATAAAGTTATTTAAACTGAAATTTAAACTCTGAAACATGTACCATTATCTTGTCTTATCCATGATGCTCAGTGCAAAAATTCAATAAAGAAATAAGAGAAATGGAGAAAGGATAACAAATAACTAATTCTTATATCTAATGGGAATGAATAGGGGAAAAATATATATGTACAAAACTTAAAAAATCAATACAACACAAATAATAAATACATCCATTATATAAAGTCACTGATCTTGTCAATGTATGATACAGTTTACAGTGTCCACCACATTAAAGCTCGGGGGTTGACCGGGCCTATAGCTTGGATCGCCTCATGTGCTGTACAGCTAGAGGCAGGCTGACTGGGAGGAGACTGGTAGTCTTGTCTTTGGGCCATGCTTTCTTTGGTCATCTGACATCAGCAATGCGAGAATGTACTAGATGAATTGAGGCATGTCCAAGCAGATCCTGGTCTACCCCCGCATGGGTGTTTCAGATCCTGGTCTACCTTGGTCCATGACTGCAGAGAGCCTATGTATGAAAGGCTATCATCTATAGAGAGGCTTCACTCGTGGGTAAGACTGTTGGAGGAAAAAAAAGACAGGACTAAAATTGTAAAATAGGATATCTAATAATCTATAATAGATAATAGTACATATTTTACACAGAACAAATTAAAAAGACATGCATGGTCAAGGGACACATTAAAATATATTATTTGTCTGAAGATGATACTATACCAAGTATAACAGAACCCTTGCTCTTCTTGAAATCCTTTACTGAAAGAAGTTTACATTTTCTTTCTCATTTGACATTCATCATCTTTCTTCAACAACAAAAATCCCTTGAACAAGAACAAATACCAAGAACCCTTGAAAGACTTTCTCAAGGATGTCTTGCCACCAGCAGAGTCTTTGCAAGATATCCTCCTTCTCATTTGACATTTATCATCTTTCTTAAAAAAAAAATCCCTCTTCCATTATTGAACATGAACAGATACAAAAACTCTTGAAAGACTTTCTCGCGGCTATCTTGCCACCAGCAGAGTCTTCGCATAATATCCTCCTTCTCAAGTTGCACTTATAATCTAAATCAAAGCCCTTCATCTCATTAGACATTTATCATCTTTCTTCAAAAAAATCCCTCTTCCATTCTTGAACAAGAACAAATACAAAGAACCTTTGAAAGATTTTGTCAAAGATATCTTGCCATCAACCAGCAGTCTTTGCAAGATATCCCCTTTCTCACTTTGCCTTGATAGGTAGGATAGAACCTCGGGGATGACTTACCGCTAGCAGGTTTCTTGGAATGTATCCTTCATTGTCGTTGACCCTGGCCCACCACCACTCCTCCTCCTTGTCATCTCCCTTCCTCTTGATGGATACCTCATCCCCATCACGGAAGCTCATCTCATCCTCCTTCTCAGCAGAGTAGGAGTAGACGGCGCAGACCGGGACATTGGGGTCAGCACCCATCTTCTTTTGCATTCCTGTGTGGTGGGTGGAACGGAAAGATTATAAATTAAAATGATGGTGGCATATTTTTATCTATTAAAGACTACTGTGATGATGTTGTGTACGGGTGAGAGATAATTTAAAAATCACCTTTTCACAAGTTGTAAAAGAGTTTTTTCTCTTACATTACACATTGGTAAAGCATTGTGTCTGTTCTGTTTAGATATTTCGCTCCTGTACAACTGACCATCTTGTAAAGGTTCATCTAGTTGCAAGTACACTTTTCAAACAAATATCCAGAGTCTACTGATTTCAAAGATAGTTTGAAAAACAGGTAATAGGAAAAAGAGAAAGAGAAATAAAGAAAGCACCTGGGAAAAATCAAAGAAGAGAGAGACAGCTGCAGAATACGATAACAAACAAAAATTGAAAATAACCTCGCATCTACATTTCTTAACACCTAGACAAAGTTCCTAAAATAGACAAGCATACAAACACAAGCCCCCCAAAAAATGAGAGGGAGAGAGAGAGGGAGGGAGGGAGAGAGAGAGAGAGAGAGAGAGAGAGAGAGAGAGAGAGGGAGAGATAGAGAGAGTGAGGAGAGAGTGAGAGAGAGAGAGAGAGAGAGTGAGGAGAGAGTGAGAGAGAAAGAGAAGGGGGATTTCCATTACTAGATACTCTGGCTGAAGATACTCACCAAAGAGATAATCTGAGCACCCTTGGAATCCTTCTTCCTCCTCCTCACACTTCTGAGCTGGTGTCTCCCTGTCACTGATTGTGGTTGCATAGAGGCAGGCTCCGTGCTCTACCAGGTTACGCACCATAATGATGTTGTTACAGGAGGCTGCACAATGCAGTGGAGTCCTGCAAGGTTGTACAAAATACAAAGGTTGTTTCATATAGATCACTTTGTGATAAGAGTTTGTTCGTACATAACAGTGCACTGCAGTGGCTGCCGGGCTCACCATCAATTGGGCAAAAAGAATTTCCATTTTCGGTTTAACTTAATAAAATTTGGAGTGGACTTTAAAAGATTATTATTATTATTATTATTATTATTGTTTGTTTCTATCTTCCACTAAATTAACAAAAGACTTGAACCTTGGTGAAGCAATCAGAATTAGAAGAATTGCATTCTACTTTTGAAAATTCTTAATGATCCTTCTCTTATTGTTTTAACGTTCAAATAATATAGCCAGGAAGATGTATCTGTGTTCCTGGAACCAGGCGGCACTATGTTAGAGACCACATCAATATGCTAGCACTAGTTCAGGTACCATTACTTCTTTGGAAGAACTCATATACCTAAGGAAATTAATATTCAAACAATATCTAACCCTTCTACAAATATTTCTTGCGATTTAGTCTCAATGAAACAATCATAAAGCAATAACTCAGCACAGAATGTAACAGAGAAATAAAGCAGAAAGCCAATTTACCATCCATCACTGTCAGGAGAGTTGACATCCACACCGTATTGGATGAGGAAGTTGACAATCTCATAATGGTTGGCACAGATTGCGTTGTGGAGTGCGGTGATACCTTCATCGTTGGCACCGCTGGGGTTGGCCACCTGTAAGTGGATGAAATATGAGAATAGAAATCAGCATTGTCCACCTTTTCTTGAAACCAATAAATGTAACTTGAAAACAAATAAATCAAATCAGCAACACATTCACAATACAAAAAAAATTGTCTTGAATTACCAGAAAACATTACCAAAGTGGTGGATCAAAGAGAATATGACCAGGTTAAACATTTACGATCTAAGGAAACATACTGAATGCTATCACTAAACATGTCTTCAAGAATACTTTTCCAAGAATAAAGATAAGTGTATTCGTTTCCTTATATTTCTATGCTTCTCTGTAAAATAATGATGTGAATTTTGAATTTTTTTCACTTAAGCATAAACATAAAATTATCCCTTTCCGATGTATTGAGAATTGATCAAGGTTGACTCACCTCTGGAATGATTTGTCGGACGAGGCTGAACTCTCCCTCTAGCGATGCATCCAGGAGGAGTGCTAAGGGATCAAAACGAACCCTGATACCCTTGATTATGCTCTTTGGATTCTTGAGTATGCCTTTGATGCCCTTGACCTGTTTCTTGGTCTGTTCTATGATTGGTGAACGGCCAACCTGGGACAATGCCTTGCTATACTGCTGGTGGCTCATGATGGCATCGTTGCTATACTTGCTCTTCTGATTATCAGTCTTCTTGTCAGTATTATCAGCAGGCTTGGGTTCTGTCTTGGCGATCTCTGGAGGGGTTATGTCCGAGGTTTTGTCGGATTCCGCTGAAGCAATGGGTGCCAAGGTGATGGTTCCTGGTCCTCCCGGAGCAGGAGGTTGCTGCTTGAAGAACTGTGGTTGATTGGGATCATGGAAGTTCTCAGGCTTAGCTTGAGGGTGCTGGTCTCCCTGCTGGTAGAACGGAAGCTTGTTGCGAAGCTCCGCGTTGAGGAAAGAGAAGTTCTCATCCTTGCTCTCTGTGTAGGAGAGCCGTTTCTTGAGAGGGCGTGGCATGTTGTGGATCCTCTTCGGGTCCATGTACCGCTGCAAGGTGAGCGTTGGGAATTTGACAGGGCTTGCTGGTCTGTTGGGGGAAACTGTTACATCTTCCGACTCCTCTGGCACCCCCTGCATGCCACTGTTGGGGAAGTTCCCTGATCGACCTGGGTAGTAAGGTGGGTTGTGGTTACCTTGCTCATAGCTAGGCCTGTTGTAGTTTCGATCATGGGCATTGGGTGGAGGGGCATACATGCCAACGGTGGCTGGGGATCGTTGGTGATGAGGCCTGGTGGAATCGGTGCCTTCACCACTGGCAGGAACAGTAGCATCTGGACCATGAGTAGCATTGGTCTGACCATAGAGTGACTTATTGGGGCCTTGGAAAGAAGGAGCATTTGGAGCACTGGAGGTCGGGGTAAGCCTGGTGTTTTCATTTCTTGGAGGTGGAGGTGGGCCCTTCTTCCCTGAAGGAGATGAAGGATGCCTCATAACGCCTTGCTGAGCTGGAGGTGGCAGTGGATTAGGATCAAGGTCTGGACTATCCCATGACGAAACAGAGGGTTGACCACTTGGGCTATACATGGGGGATCGGTCACCGGCAGGACGATTGAACAGGTAATTTCCTCGAGGGTCATTCTGGGAGAGTGGAAGATTTCTCTGGACTTGCACCCGAAGATCTTTATTATCTTGACTTGGAGAGTTGGGCCTGTTCTGTCCTGGCCAACGGTTGGCAACTCCTTGATTAGGAGATCCTGCTCCTGGCCTGTTATTAGATGCAACGTTACCACTTTGTCTCAGATGAGAATAACCAGTAGAGCTGGGTACACTGTCCAGACTAGAGTTCTCTGTCAAAGAGGATGTCTCACTACCACTTGCATCAACGCTCCTCTGACCCACATCCAGCTGCGTCTGTGAGGGTACCAGAGGAGTTCCTTGGGGGCCTGTGATCGGCACTGAAGATCCAGTGCGAGGTTTGAACCCACTTGGGTGATTAACAATGGGCGGCTTTGGGGCTGGCACTGGCTTGTTGCCCGACACCAAAGGCCTCTGCCGATTGCCATCATTGCCATTAGTCCCATTGAAGAGGCGATTAGGACGAGGCGCCAGTGGTGGCCTCTGACCAGGGTACTGACCACTGTTTTCTAACTGAGGGCTACTCCTATTATAGTCCTGAGGTCCATCTGACCGTGGCTGACCTATGTTGCCATTGGGTAAGCTCCTGGTTGTCGCATTGTTGTTGGTATTATTAGACGGAGCTGATCTCTGTCCACCTGGGACTGGGGACTGGCGTTGCTGGTTCTGCATTGCTCTCTTCTGTCGAAGCAGTTCGGTCAGTTCTTCAATTCGCCTATCAACAAGAATCACATCACCCTTTCTCTGGCCCAAGACCGTCCTTTGGTTATCTACCTTTCTACTCTGCTGCTCATTCATCTGATTGCGATTCTATCAAGACATAAACACAAAAAATATAGGATAATAGATGCATTTAGTTATACAAAAATTCAAGACTCAAGGTGTGAATATGAGGACATCAAAATAAAAATAAAAAGGAAGAGACTGAAAATAAAGGTCTGAAATTAAATGAAAAACTTTGAACATTCTGTTAATCCAGATATGATTTTCAAAACAAGTATATTAATGCTCTGTGTATGTTCAAAACAAAAGTTTAAAACTAAGAAAGAGAACATCATACTGGTGTAAAGAATTAACTAAATTTATAAAAAGTCAAACAGTATGAAAGAAAAGGCAGACAGAAAGATATTTAAAGAGAAAGATAATCCAAGCTTCTGCTCACCAAGAGCTCTCTACGCAGTCTCTCCAGTTCCTGTGAAGCAGCCGAGGACTGGAGGGAGCTTCCCGCGTTGCCTCTCCTGATGTTCTCCAGCTGGTGGGTGAGTTGATCCACCTTGGCTACGGCGTTGGCCAGCTCGTGCTCTTTCTCCTTGAAGAGCGAGCGCAGGTTCTCAAGCTCACCTGCTGGAAAAAGAAAAAGAATACAGAGTGAGAATTTTTGTTATTCCCATACGATGTGGTAAACTGCCTTCAAAATACCACAGGAAATTGTTTGAATGACTGGGATGAAAAAAACATGACAGTGGCTCAGGACGTGGTTCACAACTATGAACACAAGGGTTTAGCTCATATTTTACAAAAATTGTAAACAGATATCTTACAGAGTGAAAAAAACAGGAAAACTATAAAACACCCAAAGGGCTTAACTTTGCCAATAGGTTGTAAGGGATGATTTCTCTGAATAGATATCATTGGTTGCTCCTTTGATAACTCAATAAAGAAGTAGGTTTTACTGGGGTAAACTGCATATAGGGAATAAATAATTGGAAAGTTTGAATGATTGAATCTATACTCAATAAAATGAAATATGAAATGAGTTCTGGTAATTTATTGGCAATTTTGCTGATTTATATGTACATCTACTACTGCTCAATCAAGAGGGGAGGGGGGGGGGATCTATCCTTATTCACCATCTACCCCAAAGGTTTCAATGCAGATTGATACTACTACTTCTGTTACTCCTTCAAGGAAGGGGGGGGGGGTAGGGATCGATTATCCACTCCCTGAAATGTATTAATGCAGACTGATACTACTACGACAGCTACTCCATCAAGAGATAGGTACCCTCGCCTTTCTTCTCCACCTCCTTCCCCCAAAGGTATCAATGCGGATTCGGTATCTCAACCCATGCTATCCATCTAGTTTTTTTCCATGTTTTGAAACTCAAGTGCTCCATCAATAGAGCTTGCAAATTCAAAGCTAAATCACACCCGCTGCATATTGCAGCATGGTCTAAGGTTTCCTAATAATGCAGACACTCTAGAAGACGGATACACCTCATGAAGGATGTTTCGCCTGTAGGTACGACGACAAAGGACAAGCATTATACAGCTCATTCAAGAGAGAGTGAGAGGGAAGAAGGGAGGGAGGGAGAGAGGGAGAGAGAGAGGGAGGGAGGGAGAGAGGGAGAGAGGGAGAGAGGGAGAGAGGGAGAGAGAGAGAGAGAGATAGAGAGAGAGAGAGAGAGAGAGAGAGAGAGAGAGAGAGAGAGTGGGAGGGAGGGGGAAAGGCCATTATTTAGAACAAGAAGTATTCAGGGGCTTGTTGGGGGGAAGGATGGTTGGGTTGGGGGGGGGGGGGGGGGGGGTTGCGGCGGTTTGCAGTTTTTAGATACAAATATACAGTCTAGGACACCCCCATGACTCCATTCATCTTGCTAGGTAAGAACATCCTGTGCTGATGCATCTTGCAAGTTCTAGAAGAACATTTGGTGATAGAATTATGCATGACTCTGATTAACTGGATCCACTCGCCTGGATCTATGTCTCCATCCATCCAAAGCTGTGAGCTGCCATTTCTTTGTGACAATTGTATTTTATTCCAATACCCAATCATAGAAGCAAAGCCAGTACAAATTGCTTTTTAAAATACAAGATAGCTTCCTCATTTCCGTCATTGTTAATCTCTTTCCTCCCTCCCTCTGGTTGGATCTTTGGCAAATTGATACTCGTACCCCTGATTCATTTAAAAGCAATCAGAATAAATCGTGGAGATCCAGAATTCATCATCTACAAATCGTCGCTGTTTTCACGAAGTGACGGTAGTGAAAAAAAATTGCATTCACTTTGCGTTACGATTTTCCTCACTACCGTCACTTCGTGAAAACAAGGACAAAATATATATAGAACTGTCTGCTTATGAAAGGCATGTTTTTCAAAGTTTTCTTTTTTTATAACTGGGATCAATCTCGAACACCAGTGGTACATTTCTGAAGAGTTCTAAAAGCAGTTAAATTGATTTTAAATCTATCAAAACCATATATTATCATACACCCGTAAAAGCATTATATAAACCAATCACAGCAACAATAAAAGTTGATATTTGATTATTTCATTCCATTTTGAATAACTAGAATAAATTGCACAGGTTTTTATATGATGCAAATAGAAAAGTCTTCCTATCCATTTCGTTATCATTTAAGAAAGTTATAAACTTCAAATATCAATTTCAGATTGAATATTACACAATTTCTTTTGATAGAAGGAAGACATTTGAGGTAATCTGGGAGATTCTGCATGTCATTGGAGATCCTGCATGTCATTGGGGCTTCTTCCAACTTTTTCAGAATCATGCAATATATGCGATGCTCATTCCCTACGGGCAGCACGACAACATTCTCAATCTTATTCTTCTGTAATTATCTCTAGAATGCTGTACAAGACATGTTTATCGGTGTTTCTCTCTATATTACTCATACAGAGCCTTCAGGGTGAAATTCAAATTAATTTGGTGGACTCACAGAAGCATGTTGATGGATGAAGTCATGAGTGCAGGTTGCTCGAGCAACAGACAAATCATTTTTCATTAGGTAGCACCAAATACGCTTTAGGCCGAAAATACTTTTATCAAAATATGTCACTTCATTTAAAACTGCTTCGATATAAAGCTTGTTCAAACTATAATGTAATAAAAGTAGCTTTTGCATGGTTTTAACAGTTGGGTGTTCATGCACACTTAGCATACAAAAACAAAGACAAACAAGGAACTGAGTGCTTTTAATGATAATAGTAATAATAATATACCGTTCTTGTATCGTGCATATCACATTATCATATAACGTCTCTATGCGCTTCCGATGGGCATTGGGTATAATAACCCGGCTTTCTTAGTGCCCATTTTAATATTGGGTCAATAGTATTTATGCAAGTAACAGAAACACACAACTAGGCGTTGTGGCGTGCGCCTGTAATCCAGCTATAAGTGGAAGTTACATAAGGCCCGTCTTCACTATCTCGAGATTGCCAAATATCCAGCTATTTGAACTATCCCGATCGCAAACTATCCAGCTATTTGTGTCTTCATTAGACCGAAGTAGCAAATTAGCTGGATAGTTGGTCGGGATAATATCCCAAGATATCTCGGTCTAGTTTGCAAAATATCCCACTATTTCCGAACTAGCGGGATAGTTTGCGACCGTCTTCATTAGACCGAAGTCCGGAGTCAAATATCCTGATCCCATCATGCACAACGATTTCCGGTTCGCACATGCGATCTATACCGCTCAGCGCGCTAGTACAACCACTGACCTCGAGTAAGCACGGAAAACCGCAAACTAGACTGAGATATCTTGGGATATTATCCCGACCAACTATCCAGCTAATTTGCTACTTCGGTCTAATGAAGACGCAAATTAGCTGGATAGTTTGCGATCGGGATAGTTTCAAATAGCTGGATATTTGGTAATCTCGAGATAGTGCAGACACGCCTAAACTGATTCAGCCGAGGACGCAGGTTCGAAACTGAGTCACGTCTTTCGGATGGTGACGTTTAAAGGTCGGTCCCCAGACGTAAATAATCATATCTGATTGATACACGTCTGTAAAAACCCAATACACACACACACACACTACAAATTTGCATGAATACTTGAAGGCTAAACAATTTGTTTAGTTTTGAAGTAACATTCACATTCCTGGGTAAGGAGGGGCAAATCTAAATGAAATGAAGAGTGGTCAACTTACAGAGGTTGGTGTTAGTGACCTTGACCGTGTCTGCTTGACCTTGCATGACCCTCAGCTTCTGAAGCTTCATCTCTTGTTGCTCCACTTTACCTCTCAGCCTTGACAACCTCTCGTTCTCAATCGCAACTTGCTGCAAGGTGATAAAAAAAAGACAAATATTAAGATGACATTACTCTTTCAAGAATAGAGGTAAAACTTGTGATATTTGTGCAATTCGTCCCTATTTTCACGAAGTGACGGTAGTGAGGACACTCATCACGCAAATTGCATGCGATTTTCCTCACTACTGCACTTCGTGAAAATAGGGACGAATTAAAGGAAAAATAGCCATGAGTGTGACAGCGTACACCTGTAGCAAGTTCTGTAACATTATCTTGAAATTTCTTTGAAAAGATTTCTCTATAGGACTGGGGGACGGATCACACCTCTAGGAAAAGGAGGAAAAAAACTATGAGAGAAGTCAAAGAAGTGGAGAAAATGAAGGAGGAAAAAGGAAAAAGAAAATGGATACCATTGGAGGATGGAGGGGGGGGGGGGAGAGAAGAAAGGAAGGGAAACCATTCGTAAAAACAAAGGGTCAAATCATGTACCGGTATTAGAATCATCCCCTGAAGCTATTTCCTCATGAAATAGTGATTGGCATATGACTGACAGAAGCAGGTTAAGTATGCACAAAGCATGTAGAGATTGAGCATCCTCCTACCAATCACAGCTCCACATTCCCTCTTTATTACTCAATACAAGGATTTTAAAGGGGACCCATCACAAAAAAAAAAAATTCTCGGTGTGTTTAGGATTCCTTCCCGGTATCATATACATGTATAACATATATCAGCTTTAAAGAAAATAATTTCTGCAAAGGATTTCATAGGGGACCTATTACCAAACATTGGTTTGCTCATTGTGTTTAGGATTCTTCCTTGTATCATCTAAAATATCGGCTTTAAAGTAACATAACTCCTGCAAAGGAATATTGTAAGCTTAGCAACCTAGATTGCTTTCCTGATAATTTTTTTTTTAGGTAAATGTGTCTTTTGAGTGGACCAGTCGACGCATCCATCTAAGACTTCAAGTTCATGCCCATTATTCATTAACCACTGGAATGTCTCATACAGTTTTAGACAGTCATTTCTATATCTTTAACTACATCAAATTGTTATAATCGATGACTGGTCTTCTTAAATGATAAAAATTGTGCAGATATCATCAAATTTACCTTTATACTCTTGAATCATTAACCTTTTTGGCGTGCATTGCATAGTTTAGGACAGTAGATTTGATCTCAATCTGTACAATTACCGTATTTGCCGGCGTAAAGGCCGCACCCCCGCATAGGCCGCACCCCCGATTTTGACATTAAAAAAAAAAAAAAAAAAAAAAAAAAAAAACCACGCGTGGAAGGACCTTCATTTAACATCGAGGTGCAGTTAAAGGCGCTGATTTGTGCTTGTAAACTTGTCACAAATAATAGTAACAATGTTGTTTTTAGAAGAATGTGTAAGATCATTAATGTGAATTAAAAACAATAAAGTACCTATGGTACCAGTGGTGTACCTTGTGGTACACCATTTGTTATAGAAAAAAATTTGAGGAACTATTATTATAAACTACATATTGAGATCTATTAGAAAGATTACTTTCAAACCAAGATGACAGTCAAATTTTAGTGTTGTTGTAGTTTCCGAGTGGTGAGTCAACACACTGATTACTGAGCTGGGAGACATTGCCAGGCATAGCGCCATAAATCGAAACTAAAAAAAAAACTAAAAAAAAAAAAACTAAAAAAAAAAAAAAAAAAAAAAAACTTTTTTCACTCTTTCGCCGCATAGGCCGCACCCCGACTTTTTGATATTTTCTCTTCCAAAAATACTGCGGCCTATACGCCGGCAAATACGGTAAGTGATTGGATTTCTTTAATAAACCAGAAAAGATTAGGCATGCATTGTCAATATTCCCTGTATATTTTTGTAATGCTCTTTTATCAGAAAAAATAGGATTTCTCATATAGTTTAGGACAGTTGATTCTCTATCTTCAAATTGCATAAAAATTGTTGATATTGTTAATTGGTCTCCTTTGAGCATAAAGGACCCTTGTACTGAGGACTAAAGGGGGCAGGGCTCAAATTAATTTTTTGTCCACGGGGGCTCTTCCCCCGAAAAAAGAGCCCCCGTGAGCCTTCTCACGGGGGCTCTTTTATTACTGACGGGGGCTCTTTTTTATACAAATATCCATTTAATTGGTACCTATGATACTCCTCAATTATTTGCTATTTCATCATTATCATTTCAATCAGCATTTTCCCTCTTACAAATTTACAAGCTACATAGCTGTTACTGGCCTGTGTATATAATATATACGCATACAACACTGATCTTTATGATGTCTTTAACGTGACATACCAGAACAAATGTTGATTATCAGAATGTCATTTTGGAATACCTCTATACAAATACCACATTGTCTTTAGTCCGTATCAGTATTAGTATGATCCAATATAAAGCTATTATTCTTTATTTAATTCAGTACAATGCTTTTCCTCAAAAATAGTTTTGCTATTTTTTTAGGGTCGAGGCGTTACACGAACCCTGAACCATTGCAAAATGATGGTGGTTCTCTCTCTCTCTCTCTCTCTCTTTATTTTAATTATGCATTATCAACTACATATAAAGCAGCAACCAAAAACTTAGGGTTATCTGAGATAGGTGAAAGTAAGAGTTAAAAAGAAAGTCATGCTAAAACGGCGCTTCACTTCCCACCGCCCCCTGAAAAAAATAAAATAGATTAGTAGTCCTCCTCTCCAGAATCCACCTCCCCCCCCCCCCCCGCTTTAATATCACATTTTCACTTGGCAGCCCAAGGGGGCCGGGGATGGGAGGAGGGGGTTAAACCCCCTACCCCCCCCCCCTACCGTAGATCTGCCCATGTTACCATATCATTCCACGACATTTTGGTCTTCCTCTTCTCCTCAAAAGGGACTTTTAGATTTGCGTGGAATTGGACGTGGACGTGTTACGTCCTTATAAGGCACTGGCAATCACATGTGACGTCCTTTTAAGCACTGGCAGTGCCTTAGAAGGATGTCACACGTTGCAGTCCACGTTCTCATCGTGCAAATCTAAAAGTCCCTAATATTGATTTACTGGTCGAGGTTTATTATTTGCTGACAACGAAAAACTTCTCCAGGCCATGACCATTATGTTTCTGCCCTTGCCCGATCGCCTCCAGCTCCAGCAGACATGGCGCGGCAGCGTGCGCACGCACCGCTACTAACGGCGCAGTAGGCCTATAACCACTGCTGACGGCGGCACTGCACTGCGAGCTGAATCTTGCACGCCTATAATCTTAGTTCCATTTCATTGGTTTAAGGTTTGAAAATTGAAACTCAATATAACTCTATAACAGAAAAGATTATCTTTATTTTATAATTCCACCGGGGCGATTTTTAATTTTGCAATCGCCCCCGTGAGCAACCTGACGGGGGCGATTTTGTAGCTCACGGGGGCGAATCGCCCACCGCCCCCGTGTATTTTGAGCGCTGAAATGGGGGTTACACCTATACATATGTAATTGTGTATCTATTGTAAAATAGCCAAGGACATTTTGTTGGCCAGTCAATGATGTGTGACTCATCCGTTGTTTGCAGACTTTACAAGCCATTAGGTCATCAACACACCTTGGCCAGATGACCAATTAAGGAACCCATACAGATTATAATGTAAATGATGCTGGAACAGGTTTTCTACACATGTACAACACAGATCCCAGGGCATAAATACACATGTCGTGCAAACATATTAAATGCTCTTTCCTTTCCCACGGGAGCAACAATTTTTTAAAGAGATGTCGTTTACAAAATCTAACAAAAATGGTATAACCGTAGAAGGTTGTTTGGGAGGGTAGTATTAGGTTGTGTTGTATACAATTATTCTACCAAACTGCACTCATACGATGAGTCAACCACAATTTCTCTTAGGCTCGATTCAAATCCTCACACTGGTCATTCCATTTTACTACTTTCAATAAACTTTGTTTTGCTATAAAATGTTCACACCAGAAATTTTTCATCAGTTATTTGTGATCACAATGTACAGAAAAATGGACAAAATATCAAATAATTGTCTACGTCTAAGCTGGGGTCAATCTCTGTGTTATCCTCTGAGTACCCTTCCAAAGGCAGGTCCCATATGTACACGTGTGTACCTTTTAAAGCCATTGGTCAACTGTCCATATTCTCCAATGCTTGACCCTTAAAGGTAAAGACCAGTTATGGTCATGCGATTGCATTGTGAAAGAAACGTTGTGGAATCGATCAGAAAAGGTTGATCATCTAGCATCTAGCATCTGCAAGGTTCTGGAATCATCAAAATGATAAGAAATTTGGCCCATTCTTCGTAAAGTTACAAGCACTATACACAGAAAGATGTATATGGGACTACCCTATATCTCTCACAGACCATGAGAGAAACAAATTTACCAAATATATGAATTAGTAGGCGGTTTCCTGGCAAATTTTTTATTATCATGTATTAGTCAAAACATATTCTTTCACATGATTGGTAATGAGAGCTTCCATTTCATTTTTTGAAATTGGGGCGTTTCCAATACTGGTCTTTACCGTTAACATGTGTCTAATGTCCAAGATAATCAAATAAGTAAACATCAAATGAAACAAATATCTAGGTTCCATGCAAATACATGAATAGTGTAGACACAAAGATCTAGGCTAGCTCTGTAAGGGTCTCTGCCCACGCCCAGCATTCTAAATTTAGATAAATTTAAATTTGTGTCTAGTCTAAGTGCTCGTCTAGACAAAATATTGTTAAGAATGTCTACAGATATGTGAATTCATGCATATCTTGGCACTTTCTTAAAATGAAGCAGAATCCTTATCAACTCAACAGTCTCCAAAACATGTAATGCTACTACAATTCTGAAATACAAAGATGACTCACAATATGCCAGACAAAAATTACAATGTTTCAGAACAAAAATTAATGGAGATTTATTTTCTTTTTCGATATCACGCAAGGAGAGATAGAGAGAGATAATTGGAGGAAGGGCTCCACACTAACTATCAGGGGTGAAAGTGAGCACTAAAAAAAAAATAGGTTTTTTGTTTTCCCCTCAAC